CCCAGGGTGCGCTAACTGCGATACTCTCAGGACAGTTCGAAGGCATGGGTCTATGGCCTGATGTTAGGGATAGAAAAACTTCTCTATAAGTGCTGCATCATCCGCAGAAATTACAGTCAGTGCTGCCCTATGAGGGTCCCGGCGATGGATGCTTTCATGCCAACATGGTTTGACTGGAGAGTCATTCGGTATACATGCAAGAATCAAGAGGCCGCAGGGAAACCGGGATTGCTGCACGATTGCGAAGTTGTCCTGAGTACACATGGGGTTTCGAACACTCTTGCTGCTATTCTTGTGCTACCCACATATTACACGCCAACACAAGAACACTCAAACCTCCCATACCAGTACTCTCTGCAGAACTGACGGATGGTTTTGGTCAATCTGTGCAGAAGTTTGAGGTGTAGCGCCCTGTAAGAGGGTTCGGCGTTGTTTTGGATTTTCAACAGCCTGCTCAGCGGCATGTATGCCAAGATAGGAAGTATCTTGTTGAAATTCGGCTTCTTGCAGATGATGCTTGGCTATGCTCACTTCCTTCTTTTTTAACACTACAACAAGATAACCGACGACAGGCTGGAGTTTTGGTCGGTCTCAATACCCCAAGTAAACCCCAAAATGACGCACACGTCAACCAGCTTGCGAAGCTCTTGAGCCTCCGAGGAAGAACCACATAAAAACAGTGGGGTAGTCTGAGGCACCAGAATAGCCGGCGCCCTTGCCTTCGACATTGATCCGGTGGCATTAAGAAAAATGGAAAAACCTACACATGCTTCAGAATTACCGAAGCTGAAAAACTCAGACAGAGACGTCAGCGATCTTTCTCTGTGCTACACATGGCAACCGCATCTGTGTTGTGACTAAACCTAGATTTGATGAGAACTAGACAAGGTTCGGGTGGAACGTCAAACCCTAAACTCTAAATCGTAGTTTCCTTGTTCTGACAAAAGAATAGACTGCTTCCGATGCAACCCCAGCTGTACTGTAACTCCCGCAAGGCAGTAATGTTTGATTTTTCTCTCCGTTATCACAAAACTACCGTAATATTACATACCATTTCCATAACACCAATATAAACCCTAACATTACCAAACTAGTATTCCAGCTGAGATTTCTGTCTGTCACCTGCCGGAGCCATGCCCTACGGTCAGGGAGGAAAATCAGGGCTCTCCAAAACGAAGGGCTCCCTTGAAAGGGTTCCTTCGTGATCATTATTTTGGGGCCGATATTGGGGTCCACCTGTCTTGGGGGCCAATTAAAGCCAGAAGTGCCCTGCGATTCGTGTCTTCGACGTGCGCGTCGTCCTGTACTCGCCAAGAAGAGGCAACTTGGAGTTGTTACATCCAAAGCATGCAGCGGTTTAAGGTTGAGGATTTGCGGTAAAGGTTTAGGGCAGAAGGTGCATCCAAAGCCAGAGCCGCTTGCAAACCTGCAGAACCCCAATGTGAAGCAGTACAATAGGCTTTCCGCAACACTTAACCCGTCGAGTCCTAATCTAAACTCCTTGTATCCCCCAAAATTACCCATCATACTCACCTATATGACCCCTTACATAACACTCTTTAAGGAATGTAAGTCATGGCCCGTACGTTGCTCGCTGACTAAACATCTGTTGCTTTGATTCTAGAAAGGACTTGTACCCTAAAGCCTTAACCCTAAATTGGTACTAAACCCTGTGCAGCCACAAGACTACAGATGTCAGCTGGTCTACGAAGGTTTCCGAAACGACAATGGTCTTTTGCATGGGGCTTCTCAAGAACCGTTTCAGGCATGTTGTTTAAACGCCATAGCTGTAACCAACATCATGAATTCCCGCCCGGGTTGCACCGCTAAGGTTGTGGGCATAAAATGGAGCTCGCATCTTACCAAGCGAGATCTTGTGTCTAAGCTCCAAGTATCCCCCTTAATGACCCCTACGAAGCTGCCCTGTATAATCCCTCACCGCCTTGAAGGAGTTCAGACTATGGCTCATATGTTCTCCTGGAGTTCCCGAACCACCCTATGGCTGCAACGTCAGGGGGTTCTTCAAGCTTCTAATTCCTTTCTTCGAATATTATATCCCCCTGATGTCAGATAATACTAAAAACTCTGAAGAGAGCCACTTCAAAGGGCAAGCTATTCTTAGGGGCCTGCCAATAATGAATTGACGAGTCCTGAAGTCACTGGGAGGGGCATGATAAGGAATCAGGACGAATTAGGGATCTCTCGTACTTCTTCGATTTCAACATAGCGCCTCTACAGGATTACATATATATATGTATGTATATATCTTTATATACAGATAGAGGGACATATGATGTTAAGCACCGTTGATTCGATTGTTGATTCGATTTTCGTTGGTTTTAGATAGATGTGTATTGGTTCGAGCACGATTTTTCATTGACTCATGACAAACCTGACTAGATTTGAATTGATCTTAATATGAACTTGAGCTGGATTACATCGGCTGTGCTGGGGGTTGAACTAGATTTCTATTGGTTTTTAACACATGGTAAGATGGCAGTTGATTCTACCTTGAACCGATCTTACTGCTATGTTAACTGGGTTAGGATTCAAGTAAATGTTACTTGACTTAGCTAAGCTTCAACTAGGTTTCAAAACAGAGCCTGCCCTATCTAATTCTTCCAGTACTTGATCCAGAAATGGTTAAACAAATGTGGGGCGGATAGCCCTAAACCCTATTGCCTGGAGCTCTTTACACTCGGCATCCGGACCGCGAATTCTTTCCGTTTCTTTTCTAACAGTCCCTTCCATTGGTAGAAATACCCATCTCTTTGGGGAAGCCTGAAACTGAAACTAGAGCTTCGACAACCGCTTTGTAGCTGCCGGTGCTTAAGCGGAGTGGGAGAATGAATGTAGGGACTAGGGTGTGATACAAGGAAAGTTAGAGGGATCCCCTTCAGCACCAGTTTGACAAGGGGCGCGACAAGATCTAAACACCAAGGTCCATGATGCTGGTTCTTGCGCGATTCCTTTATCTCAGACCTTCGAAGCTCTGATTGCTGATCTCAATTAAGCCTAAGACCATTCAAAAGTGCTTCGATGGTAGCTTCAAAAAGGAACCCCGAGAATCTAGTATGAATAGCCCTTATTTAAGCCCCTTTAGACCAGAACCTCTGGCTTCAACTCACGTGCTCCTCAAACATCATGTGGGATGCCAGGAAGAACGTTCGCCCAGGCCTTCACCAGGTTCAAGGCACTTGTTGTGTGTCCACACATGGCCCTAATGCATCATAAGAGCCCTGATATTGAACGTGTGAAGCAGCGTGCCAAGAAAAACGGAGTACCAGTCGCCGTCATTGTCCCGGTCGTCCTCTCTGTCATCCTCGTCGTCGTCCTCATCTCTGTACTCGTCGTCCTACTCGTCGCGGTCGCCTTCCCTCGTCATTGTACGTCATTGTCGTCTCTATCCCAACGGAAGTTCAAATCTTGTTTCCGTATTGCTTCTGCCTGCGCTACACGATACAAAAACTCTTGCTCCTCCTCCTTTTGGCTTGTCACGGAACAAATCAGACTCCGCAAGGTGACCGGGGCGTGTGCGGGAAAAAATAAATCCTCCTCCTGCCCTTCATGAACCCCAAAGCCCAACTGAGGTTTTCGCAACATGCGCGGTGCTACCAGTTGTAGCTGAAATCCTCATAATTGCTTGTGCTTCAAGCTTCTTCGGTAAGGGACCCAAGCGCCAGGCCCCAAACTAAGTCCGTTATCCTCTGCTGGCTTGAAAGAAACTGAAGCCTGGAGTAAATCTTCTAATCCAACTGAAGGTAGTAGCCATGGCCTAGGCCTATCAAAAACCGGCATGCTGAGCAGCTTTTTCGATAGCCAGACGAATACGTGAAGCTCCTTGATGACTCGAGATGGGCACTAGCGAACTTCTGAAACATCTTTTGCGTGTGCTGGCTGGTGCCTCCGCCCTTTTGTTGTTCCTGCAAAACCGCAGTTTTGAAGCATGATCCCTTTACATTCCCTAACAACGCTGCAACGTTCTGTTCACGCGTGCCTTTGAAAGGATGAAGCAGTAGGTACAATAGTTTTACATGGCAAGCGCAGCGCTTTTAGGAAATACAACATGGGGCAGTCAAGAACGTCGACGCACCGAAACTAGAAGGTTTTTGGTTTTAAATGCACTACGCTTAGGCTTGGGTTTTCGACGCATCGAAGCGTTTAGGTAAGGCTGCTTACTGAGCAAGTCTGTACTTCGCACATGTTTTGCATGCGAGACACTCACATTTTGGCCCAGTCCTTGTCCTTTGCAGGGCTGAGAAAGTCTTGGGGGCAATGGATACGGTCTGATCTGGAGGTTATCATGGTTGGCACATGGATGCTCTACGGCAATGGATACGGTCTGATCTGGAGGTTATCATGGTTGGCACATGGATGCTCTGCTGCAATGGATATGGTCGGCACTGGATATAGTCTGACCTGGACGTTATCATGTTGGCACATGGATGCTCTGCGGCAATGGATATGGTCTGATCTGGACGTTATCATGGTTGGCACATGGATGCTCTGCGAAAACAACGGCAGGCGCCACGTTTTCGGCTGCAAAGTCCACGAAACACCGTAAATACCGATGTGGTCGGCGTGTGCGCGGCATGCGTGAACAGCACGTTGCTGCCCCTAACAAGGACCCCGAGAATCCTCTTCTCCTACATGTCCTTGGGGTCGTTGCAATCACCCCAATTTAAGCAACTCCCAAAAGTCCTGCACTGTCTGACTGACCCGCGCGCCTGCTGCTGAGGGGCCTGTTCAGTGCGGTGACCCCAGGCGAATCCTGACAGAATTTGTAATTTCCATACATGCGGGGGCCTCAATCAAGATGCCTGGGGTTTTGGGACTACAGTAGAGGTTTGAATCTCAGAGTGTTAAGGTTTCGGGATGTCGTAGTTTCCATTGATAGGGGACCACACTGCAGACTTCTGAATGTTTTGATGATTGACATTAAGGCTCCCCAAAGAGTGACTCTAAGATTTTGGGAGCCCTCAATTAGGGGCCTCGTGAACTCTCGAACTACTGATGTGGGGTACCCATCCATTTCCCTTGGCAAGCGGCGCTAAGACTCAATGCACAGGATTCCGATGGGGCATTCTGCAAAGATTGATATGACAACTAAATATTTGCAAAGCTCACTGGTATATCGTAGGGAGCGGATCAACAGGAATGATTACGTAGGGATATTTTTGCTTCATGCACGACTAACCACCATGAAGAGGGTTTATGGAATGTTCATGTGGGTGGCTTTGGCCGCATCTCTGAAAGCTTGCCTCCACTTGTCTTCTCCCTCCACCTGGGTGGCCCTGGCCGGACCCCTGGAATGCTTTTCTCCACTTGTCTGCCTTTATGTTGGTGGCCTTGGCCGGAACCCTCGAATACTTGTGTCTGCTTGGCGCTCTTTGTGTCCCTTCATGTGAGTGGCCACAGCCGGTGGGCCCTTGACCCTGGCATCCTTCTAGATCTCTTATATACACTATATGTACCTTTACGGGTCCGTAGAATCACCCTAAAAAGGCTTCAGAGCCCATAGTAAAGGCCCTACTTCTAACCTTTAAGTACTTTTGACAGAGGGCTTCGGGCCTTTTTTCTCGCATTGTCTCGGCCCTTGGTCAGAACATGGGCATGTGCAGAAGACTGCAAAGAGGGTCCATCCATATCACCCACGTGCCATCAGTAACATAATATGATCTACTACAGAAAAAACACGTAAAAGGGATCTTGCTGACCCAGCCCCAAAATTCAGACCTTGTTAGAATTTTTTAGTCTTGGCATTGGGGCCTCCTCCTCCTCATCGCAATTCTAGTGCGAGCAAGTAGATGTCCTAGCAACGGCAATGCTAATAATAAGTAACAGCGGGCAAAAAGCAACAGGAGCAATACTAGGTATTTATATGTAACGAACGATGAGTAATGAGTAGTAGGTAATGAGCACGAAGCACAAGTAACAGGTGATTAGAATACCAGTAATGATGACAATTGGTATTTCTGCTTCTTGCACCCCTGCCGCTGCTGCTGGTATTGTAAGAGCAGCAGAACCAAGTGTATCAACAGGTACACGTTCTTCTAATCTACAGGAAAGCCTAAAGCCTGAGCCCTAAAGCCCTGCCATGGAGACTGCGCGCACGCACCCTCGGACGCGCGTGGCAACCGTAAAAAGCTCTACCAACGCACTCTTAGTAAAACGCGCCGAACCCTAAACTTTACCTAAACCCTTGTCCCAAGCCTTAAACTCGCATACCCCCATCCCCTAAACCCTAAACTCTGCATCCCAAGGCTGCAAGCCTCCTTCAAGTCTTGCTTCGGAGAGCTGGGAGAAATTGGAGTTGCGACGACCGGGAGGAGCTTCCTGTATCAACTCAAGGGTTTTCAAGGGTTTGGGGTTTAGAGGAGTTTAGGGGTTTCGGGGGTTAGGGTTTACTGAGCCCTGGAAATCTACCATGTACTGCACGGTGTCTCATGTTGTGTTATCCACATTAAGGGATCTTGAGGAAAATACTCTCCTAGTATCCCCCATAAGAAGCCTTGTAATACTCCCCTATGTAATCCCCTAGAACCCTTTTTAAGCACGGACCTTTGAGTGTATGCCCTATAACCCTAAACGATAGGCGGGTCACTTGTGACTTCTCTCGGGTGTCACCTGTGACTTCTCTAGCCGGCCAATTTGCAACACCTCTCAGCAAAAATGCATGAAATCACTTGTGACTTCTCTGCCTTGGGATCGGGTTTCATCGGGTTTCAGCCTTGCATCTTGGACTTTCTCGCACGGGCTCGCGGTTTGGGCTCAGGGTTCAGACTCAGGGTTCAGGGTTTAGGGTTCGCGGTTTCGGGTTTACGGCTGTAGCGTTTGGGGGTTTTGGGTTTAGGGTCTGGGGTTTGGGGTTTAGGGTTGAGGCTTTAGGGTGACCTTTAGGACTTAGAATTTCGGGTTTAGGGTTTCGGGTGTAGGGTTTCGGGTTTCGGATTTAGGGTTTCGGGTTTAGGGTTTACGGTTTAGGGTTTCGGGTTTAGGGTTAGGGTTAGGCTTTTTGCGGTCATGGGATTGGGGTCTTGCCGTCCTGCCTCAGGGTTGAGGGTTTAGGGCTTGCGGTTTTAGGGTTTTAGGGTTTAGGGTTGAGGGTTTAGGGTTTAAGGTTTAGGGTTTAGGGTTTAAGGTGTAGGGGGTCAGCTTTTGCGGTCATGGGATTGGGGTCTTGCCGTCTTGCCTCAGGGTCAAGTGTTTAGGGCGCACGGTTTAGGGTTTGCGGTTTTAGGGTTTAGGGTTTCAGGTTTAGGGTTTAGGGTTAGGCTTTTGCGGTCATGGGATTTGGGTCTTGCCGTCCTGCCTGAGGGTTGAGGGTTTAGGGTGCACGGTTTAAGGTTTGCGGTTTTAGGGTTTAGGGTTTTGGGTTGAGGGTTTAGGGTTTGCGGCTTTAGGGTTTAGGGTTTTGGGTTTCGGGTTTAGGGTTTGGGGTTAAGGGTCAAGGGTTTAGTATTTAGGGTTTCTACAAGGAACAATATATAGTATACACGCACCAAGAACAAACGCGACTCAGATGGATGCGACACGGATCCTAAGGTAACCTTTAGGGTTTAGGGTTTAGGGTTTAAGGTTAGGGTTTAGGGTTTGGGGTTTGGGGTTTAGGGTTGAAGGTTTAGGGGTTAAGCTTCCTTGCCCTAAACCCCCTTGGCCCATTCCCGGAGTTCTTAGTCCGTCCTCTACAATGTTTTATTTTCAAACTTGATGTTTTAATTTTGATGGATTGTTTGTGTGAGGGTTTTCCCTCTGCTTTGGAGGGGAGGAGGTGGAAGAGGGAGGAGAAGGGAGAGAAGAGCGAGGGAGGGCCGCCAAGGTAACCAAAGATCCGAAAGTAACGACACTGCAGCATTTTGTAAGGGCAGAGACTGAGAAGCCACAAGCGACACCGGCACAGAAGTCACAAGCGACACCCGATAGAAGTCACAAGCGACCCCTCTACCACCCTCAACCCTAAACCCGTAAACCCCCTTTAAGGAGTTTAAAGTCTAGCTGACTCTAGCTCATGTGGAGGCATGATCTAGTAGCTTCTTACACTGAGCCACTTCGTCGCTGACGCCTCAAGTAGAGGGCATAGCCCAAACTCCTTTGAGAGGGGTTGCTATACCAAGGACCATATGGGGGACGAACAGGGAATTATTGGGTTATATGGGGCTAGATAGATAGGCACATTGAGAATTACCTGGCCAAGACCCCTGATCCCTAAACGCCAAACCCCGAACCCTACGGACGGACAAGCCTGGGGCCGTCCCCACTGACTCTTGCCTAGTTGAGAGGGGACCGGTTTTTCGAGGGTTCTTTCTTTACTCAAAGAAATGGTTGTTCCCAAACAAACTATACAGACCTCCTTACTCATTTATAGTGACACCCCAAAATCGTACCTCTGATTTTGGCAAACCACAAATTCCTCCCCCAATTCGCAAGTCAGCATGAAGAAGCTTAGGGATGTGGCCCCATTGAGGCCGTTAAACATGAACCGTCCCCAGGCACTAAAAACCAACACCTACACCCCCTAAGCCCTAAACGCCGAACCCTGAATCCTCAATCCTATCCCCTCACACCCACTCGCTAAGTTAGCCCTCCAAGTTTGCCTCTGGCTCTTTGCCAACTTGCTCCTCGCAGCTTCGGAGGTTCGGATCTCTCATGGAAACCCACCACAAGTAGAAGAGAGTTTAAGGCTCAGGATTCAGGGTTTTGGGTTGAGGGCGCCTGGCTCCCTGTTGGGAGATGATTAGAAATTAGACTTATGTATGGCTTCTTGGGCTCTGGAACAAGCTCGACGTTTGGAGTTCAGCACGGTCGTTACAGTAGAGATGACACATTCACAGGTTTCTCTTTCGGAGCTTTCCTGTGGTAAGAGGCGTGAGTTGAGCTTGAAGCAAAGGTCATGGGCCATCTTGAAAACAGAAGGAATGTGTGCATAAGGCCCAGTGTTACCTCCCAAAACCGAAGTCATCCCACAGCCCGAAGGAATCACCAGCATTCAGGGACGAACTAAGCATCCTGCTTCACATGCGGGAAGGACTAAGCTATACGATAGTAGACAATGGTATACTACAACATACTGGACACAAACTGTGAATAGAAAAAATCGCATGTAGTATACTATCATATACTATAAATAAACTAGAACAGATTAAGTATAATATACTATAATATAAACAGACTATGACGTACTATACCCTGAATCGCCCTCTCAATAGCCTCGGCATCTGCATAGCCTTCAAGCCATCGCGCTTCAATCCTGGACGCAGAGTTTAGGGTGAAGACTTTAAGGGTCTGTCTACTCGGGTTTCGGGTTTAGGGCTAGGGCTCAATCACCCACCCAAAGAACCCTTTCGGACAAAAAAAGTATTCCTAGAGTAGCCCGCATGCCCCCAAGGTGTTCCATAATCATCTCCTCACCTGCTAAGCACGCAATTCAGTTGGGAGCTTGCTCTTGTACTGCAGGGTTTAGGGGGAAGATTGTGTACACTTTGCGCTGGGTGCTGCGCATCTGAGTTCAGATGCCGTTTTTCATTTGCCAGAATTTCGGTGAAGCTACAGGCTCCGAATATCGTTTATGATTGGGATGTGGCCTGTTCTCCAAAAGATGGGCTTATCTTGGTTATACAGTGTATTACCGCGCCTAATATTTCGGGATACCAAGAAAGGACCCCGCCAAAAGGGTTTCCAGCACCCCGTCCTTCTGCGAATCCCCTTGCTGAGCAATGCCGCCGATGCCATCAAGCCGAGTGCCAAAGCAAGGAACAAGGGAAGTATCACCAAGTCCTGCAAAACAGCAACTAGAATCACTAGAACAAAGTTGGTTGAAGAACAGTAACCAAGGCGGAAAGCACAGCTGGATGAGCAGTCCCAGGGATGGTGGCAACAAACAGCCGAAAGCACAGGAAGGACGGCTCGCCACCAATTGGGAATGTTTGGATTATGGCGGGTGGAAGAGCTGCGTGTAGCTTCCAGTCGCTCCAGCGATGATGTGCCTGCATGCTATACACCTCCTTGAAGGAAATTTCGAGCAAGGGCTGGCCTTCAATTTTACGCAGATTTAAAACCAGCATGGGAAAGGTGAAGTGCGACGTGCACACACTACTTGGTGTTATGAGTACTCTCTTCTGCTACGACTGCTGCTGCTGCTGCTGCTGCTGCTGCTGCTGGCGCTGGTGTTTTGCGGAAAAGCCTGCCAGCGAGGGGCTTCAGCTCACAATGCAGACGCGTGTCGGCCATGAGTCCAGAATCAAAGAAAAAGTAGTGAGAGAATGCTGCTGCCGCCTTCTCATTAACAATAGCAGTATTCTATTTGCACGAAGCATGCCAACTGCAGCATGGAAATACAAGAAGCGGTCGCACCTTGTAATTAGTCAAGAGCCCAAGCATGTCCTGGAGTAAGCTCATGCCAGTGCTCATGTACCAGCCGTGTGCATCTGCCAGGCGGACGTTCGCCAAGAACAGCATCGTGTAGACCAAGCATACAAGCCTCCATTGGGCTGGAGGTGAAGGGCTTCGGTTTGGGCTTAGACTGTGTGTCTCCCCACTTTTTTGTGGCTCTCATGATGACCCCGGTTAACATTTCCGCGTACATTGCAGAAAGCTGTTTGGGCCTGCTGGTTTTTCCCTAGTCTCTGAGCCATGATCCGTCACTCCTAAACGATGCCAGGCAGCGAATAGACCAACCAAATCAACCAAAATGCCAGGGCTCGGCACTTCCAAACCCTCATTTGCCACTTCTTCGACCTTTCTGTCCAGTCCTTCATTGCGGAGGAGCTTATCCAAAAAAAGCTGTTTCAAGGGTTCCCTTGAAGGCATCGATTTGGTTCTTTTGTGGCGCCTACATACGGGGGACAAGGGAGCCTTCTTCGACTTACATTACCAGAGAAAAGCAGTTTGCAGAGTTGGGGCTCCTTGGAGGCGGCAGTTGGGGATTCCTCGGCCCTGGGGCCGAGGCTATGCAATCGTGTAGCGCTTCGGCTGCGTACCTAGAGAGTCGGGCTTGCAGACCACCAGGAAGAGGGGTTCACAGAATGCCCAAGATACGAGGCTCTGGGGCCTAAAAGGGATGCGGAGGCTCCCACCTCAAACCCTAAACCCTAGGCCTCAACGCTAAACCTTCATGGGTAAGATGAAAGCAAGAAAAAAAGCTGTCTGAAAGACCTTAGGGCTTACCATTTCGGATTTTTCAAAGCTTGGACCTGGCCGCCTTCGTGGCGGTGTTTACGGCGTTTGCGGTTTTGTTTGGGTGTTGCGGCTTAAGGGTTGAGGGATGAGGATGTAAAAACCGAAGCAACAAAGGGAGCATCCGCAGCAAAAGACAAGAAGAGGCGTCCGCGGGCAAGATTCAGTTTTGCCAAGATATGTGCTGCCAAGCAGGCTTGCACTCAAGAATTGTGGTATTTTGGTTTGCCCTCACACTGCTGGGTCAGAAAATTAAATTGCTTCTGTGAGGGAGGTTTGTTGGGGGAGTTGGCTCCGACTGCGCATTGCAAACTTTGAAGGGCACGCCTGGATCCATACACCCTGATCCAAACCTCGCACCCACAATCCAAATCCTCGCACCCACAATCCAAATTCCCCTAAGCCACGGGTCAAGGGTTTAGGGTATTTCCCAAAGCCATACTAGTAGTGCCCCCTCGATGTTGTAATACGGTCCCCCCCCCCCCCCCCCCCCCCCAACTGCTGAGAAACCCTAAACCCTAAACCCTAAACCCTAAACCCTAAACCCTAAACCCTAAACCTGAAGAGCCGCAGTCCTTTTCCATGGGGCTGCGATTTTGAACCTTAGCTTGCTGGCGAGACTCCAGCTCCTGCAGTCATGCCTTCAGCTCTCTTTCGAAAAAGTATTGCTAAAGTTCTCCTCTCCATCTCCTACTACCCCAGGCCTGCCTGCCACAGGGCTAAACCCTAAGCTCTGAAGCCTCAACCCGAAACCCTAAGCAAGACAATCTCAACTTTGTAACTGTATCTCGAGTCATGACACCAAGAAGAGAGTGAAGATGATGACGTCACCGAGCAGTGCAGAGACCACGCCCACCACAGTATTCCTTGGGGTGGCTGTTGCTAAGGGACCTATATTGAATGACCATCATGGGTATCTCCCTAGTATGGTGACTTTAACTAGCAATCCAATTCCGGCGGCAACATGTTGGTGCATGTTTGTTGCGGCTGGCGGTGTGCGTGGGCTTAAAAACCCACGTAGGGCCTGACCATAATCTACAAGCCCCGTTGCAGAAAAAAAGTGCTTATAAGGAACTCCGCAAAAAATCGAAATCCTTGAACTCCACCTGACCCCCCTCCAGTGCACGGACTCGAAAGAAGCCCTGTGAAGCCGGAGTTTGCCCAATCTGAGAGTGTTGGGGCTTGCGGGTTTGCATGCAGGCTTCTGGCCAGTCATTCGAAGACTTGGCGTCAGTAGCCCTGAAAGCTTCTAGGATAAAACTCTGATACGACGCAAGACTGTTTCAGGTGATAGCTCTCCAGGATTCGAAGCTTGTGGATTTTTCAATCTCCGTGCACCTGGCAACGACCACAGCTCCAACGAAGCCCAAACACCCCCACCGCCCCATTTTAGATATGTTCGCAGATACGTCATCTCATGTCTCTTGAATGGCCGGGAATATTCAGTACGAGGCTTCGGGAGCAGCATAGGGTTTAGGGTATTGGGGCATTAGGATATTGGATTCCTTGTTCAACACTTCTCCATACCACCGCTTAATTAAGGACGATACCTTAAGCCATAAAGGGGGCTGCTACATTCCTGAATTAAAGGATACGGTTATTGGGCTCTCTCAGCAGGCCATGTGCGCGCGTAACGCATAGTCCATGCACAACACTCCGTTCCCACCAAAACAAACATCCTAAACCCTAAGCCCGAAAACTGGAAGGGGGCTTTCAAGTCAAGACTAATTAGACTGCTCCTGGTGCGAATGGTCCGGTTCTTCGTGTTAGCTAGGGTTTAGGGTTGGTTCAGGGTAGGAGCAGAATTGGCTGTGAACTGGAGGCGTCTGACACGTGGGAGCTTCTTGAATTTGCGAGCGTCTCTGAAGGCCCTCTGCTTGAAAAACCTTCAGGCCCCAATCCCTCAACTCCAAACTTAACCTAAACTTCACTTCCAAGATCCTAGCCCTAAGCTCCGAACCCGAACCCTGGACCAAGATCCACAGAAACCCTTACTCCGACTGCCAAGCCCTAAGCCCCCCAAAACAAATTCCGAAACCTAAAACCCCCCAACACGCTAAACCATAAACCCTATAAGCCCAATAAACCCCATAAACCCTATAAGCCCTATCAACCATATAAACCCTAAACCCCCACAAAAGCAGCCATGTCTCTGCACCAGCTGCGCCACAAGAGTCTGTGGCTTTTTACAGCTTGGATCCGAGTCGGGACCCGGGGAGGAACTCGTGAAGAACCTAAGCAGGGGTACGGGGAGTTCTGGGCTCCCTAAACCTACGGGGGGGAGTTTTGGGCTCCCTAAACCCCTAAAGCAACCCCAAACCCTACACCGTTGAGCCCTTTGGCAATCCCGGGTTAAGGGCTTAAGTGGCATATCGGTCTGCAGTTTAGGGTTCAGGGTACATGCGTCACAAGTCAGACTGTTGTGCTCAGTTGTGCTCTACTTTCATGAGCCAGCCCAGCAGCAAAGCATTGGTAGCCCCGGCGGTGCAGAGCTTCAAAAAGATCAGGGACACTCGCACCTCAAGGTCCACCGGGGTGTGAGAGGTAGTGCTCAAAAAACGCTCAACTCCTCCCAACTACGCTATAAGCATGAAACCCAGCCCTCAAGGCCAGTCCTTGTATGAGGTTAGCAGGCTCAGCCGCAGCAATGCGATCCAGGGGTGGAAGGCGGGGAACAGGAGGCCAACACGCTTGTACCTCGGCTCTACCAACAAGCTGGCTAAGGGTTTATGGCTTTCCATACCCTCAGACAGGCAAAAACAATGTTTGAAATAGTTCCATGGAGGCACGCTGCAACTGCACAAACACCGCCATTCCTAAAAATGAGCCCTAAACTCTGAACCCTAAGCCCTAAACCCTAAGCCCTGAAACCCTCACCCGAATAGAGGGGCCTGAGTGTATACCGATAACTGTAAGAAGGAACCCCACCATAGCATTGGTAAGTAGGCTCCCTTACAGCAATCCCCCAACTCGACTTGGCTCCGGTGCCAACGGCTGTCGAGGATGCACTGCACGGTGTTGGCCCCGTGGATGTGCACATTCCATCGGGCGCCCAAGTCCTGGGCGAATCTCTCGGGGTTCAGCGGTTTGCGGGGCTTGGGGTTTCGTGGCTTTGGGGGGCTTGGGGTTTGGGGGGGTTTCTGGCTGCACTCCACACTTTGCATCAACCCTGCCACCCCAAGGCCCGAATATCTGCCCCTAGGACCCTAAACCCTAAAGCACTAAAACCCTGAAGCACACCAAGACGTCTTCGAACGCCGTACTATAGGGGCCCAAAAAGTTACCAGTTGATTTTGGCGGTTCCCTTATTATATAGTTTTAGTACCAAAAGCCCAAAACCCTATTCTAATTATTAAGGCCCCTATATTGGAGTACCCTGATAGATCCATTATCGTAACCCTTATAGGCCCCTTTAACTTCGACCCTATTCTAAGTATGAAACGGTTTAGGGTTTAGGGTTGAACCCTGTTCCAAAACAGAAGCCCAGATTCGCGAAGCGCCTTGCCGAAGCCGTCCATGTTGGTGCCCACTTCCTGGTGGGGATTCTCCAAAAGCGACGCTCAATTGGCTGAGGGTTTTGGGCTTAAGGTTGAGGGCTTTTGGGGTTTAGGGATGTAGGGTTTTTAGGTTTATCGGGCTCAAGGTTTAGTGTTGAAGATTGAGGGTTTGGGGTTTCAGGGTTGATTTGAAGTGTCGGGCAGTCAGCACTGGCCCTCGTGCAAGCCTCAAAGCCCTGCAGCCCTGAACCCTATAACCCTAGAAGCCCTAAACTTCCAAGCCCAAGGAGAAATGAGAAGTATTCCACATACGTTCAGCTCCCTCAATGCCTTTTCAACATCCTTGTCAGCGGCATGTTGCGTATTGAATACCACCGAATGGGAACTCCAAACAAGCAAAATAAGGGAGAGGGTTCGATGGTTTAGGGAACCCTAAGCCCTAAACCATTCGGGTTTTTGCATCTCCTATCGCCAAACCCAAAGACACCACCCTAAAGCTCACGCTCTGCAATTTTGAAGCCACCAAGGAAGCTACACTAAACCCTGAACCATCCTGTACACCCAAAACCCTAAGCTCAGAGCCCCAAATTCTGCATTCGAACCCTAAACCCCAGACCCCGAACCCTAAACCCTGAGCCCAAACCCTTAACCCTGAACAACCCTAAACCCACAATCAGAACCCTCTACTTTTCCGGGGGAGTGCCTGTACCAAGCGAGAAAATCGGCTCCGGCGGCCGACGCTCCGACTCATCTGCCGGTTCACAGGCTCCTCCTGATTCAGGGCTTTAGGTTTAGGGGTCTACTCTTGGGGCCTTAATGATTAGAAGAAGGCTTTGGGGCCCATTCTGCTATAATTACAATAAGGAGCCCTGAGACGGTAGGTTTTCTAGTCCAGAGAGCCCAATACCCTTTAGTTGCCGAACACACTGAAGGGATCCCAATTATGATTTGAGCTATATTCCTCAATAGAGGGGTATCGGGCTCTCTGGGCTGATTCAGGGCTTCAGGTTTGGGGGTCTAGGGCTTGCGGACGTGGGTGTGAGCCCCATTTAAGTCGAGGATAAGGAATCGGTGGGGGGTAGAGCTTCGAAATGACAAAGGGGGACGGCTTTCTTTGGTTTCTCACCCTTTTTATGGGGACCCCCCCACAAGGGTACCCTTAATCCACGCCCAGCAAAGTTTCGGTGCTTGGTGAAAGCTGCGAGCCGAATTGATTTAAGCCAAAGGCTGGAAGCCTCAAAAGGGACTAGGGCTTCGGGGCCCCATACCCCAATTGACCCTAAATACCTTCAACTCACTACATGCTCAGAACCCAGAAAGCCCAACACCTCTTAACTAAAGGAATCTAGCTTAAATCATATTATACATCCCCTGAAAACTCAAGGTACGTTTCTTAATTAAGGGGTATTGGGCTCTCTGGTCCTTTGAACCCGGAGGCCCGCAGTCCTCCAGTTCGAATTTTTCGTCGGGCTGCAGGATGATTGCAAGGCTATCCTTGGCCACGCCGCTTCGATGTGCGTGCAGGGACCTGGTGAAGGGGTGAGCTCCGCAGGAAGGGTTCATAGGGATTAAGAGCTTCAAGCAAGGACTTATGGCTTAAGCTTCCAAGCAGGGGTTTGGGGTTGAGGGTTTAGGGCTCAGGATTTTGACGTAGAACTTGGGAGCAGGGGTACTTTGCAGCTTTACCAGCTTAGGGCGACGGCAGCAACGTTAGCTGGCTAATTCTAAACTCCAAGCCCTCAATCCTAAACCCTAAGCCTTAAGTCCCCCAGCCTGATACACCTGTTCACGCTAGCCTCTGGGGCTTTGCACTCCAAGATCAACGAGGCGATATCTTGGACGCCGAAGCAAATGCCTGTCCGAGACATGAGCCTGTCATTGTTGTTATTACTCACACCACGACTATTGTTGCTAGCAGCGCTTCTTCCCTTATGGCTCGCTGCAACTGGTATTGGTATATATTCGCCACTATGTTCATTGCTACTCACTCCTATTGTTGCTATTCTGGAACACTTGTGATGAGCACTCCGCTGCTGAAAGAAGAATATAAATTAAGCGAGTCTTGTGCCATGGAGCGAGCGTTCTTGAGCCTCGCTCTCATGTTCTCATTCCATCTGTCGACGCATCTTCCGAACCCCTAAACCCACAGAACCCAACAAGTGTACCGCTTCAGGGCCTGAGGCAAGGTGTGTTGAGTTGCTGTTCCTTCCTTTTTCGGGTTATTTGGGTTCCGAAGAGCAACAGTCTATACTCCTTTAAGGGGCTATGCCATGGAGGGTTCTGAAGGGTTATCAAAAGGAGGATGATGCTACTAGGAGTTTGGACCCCAGTTGGGTCCGTGCTTTGAAGCGCCCAGTGAGCCAGGAGGTCGGGCCGATCCAAGACACGCTATCAAAAAGCTACAGGCCCAAGAAGAAACCGCGAATCTCCCAAGCCAGGCTGAGTAGGATGTCGGGTTTAGGGTTTTTAGGGCTTCGAAGCCCAAATCCCCCCACAACTCGGCGAAGCTGGACCCCGAGAATTGTGAGAGTGGACTTGTTTCCTGGCCTGCGCACCACAGGGTCCAATCCTTGGCCTCTGCCACTCGCTGCATGCACCAGCCCTTGGGGACCTCCACTTTCCCAAAGTTTGGGGTTTGGGTTTAGGGTGTAGGTTTTAGGGCTTAACGTTTTCGGGTTTGTGCTTTGGGGTTTGTTTTTGCAGGTAGTTTCGGGTGTATGACTTAGGGGTCGATGCTGGAGATTCAGCAGGGAGGGTTCGCGGTTCAGGGCTTGCCGACAGAACAGACGTCAGTCTGCACATTCACCTCCTCAAAGTTCGCAAGTCTGTGTATTTTGAAGTTTGCTTCATCACTTTCCAATGCAAGTGGTGACAGGGTTGTGTTGGGGGGCTCAAGCAGTTTTCATAAACAGACTAATGCTGGAAGGGTTTTGGATTGATCCTGCCTATCGCGCGCTACGTCGAAGTTCAACTTTTGGGCATGCTGTTCGCATTTTTGCTTTTTGGAGGGTTTTTTGGGGAGCATCTCCCATGCTCTCCCTACAGTTGAGTATCGTGTTTCAAACCGAGTAAGATTATACTCTTCATGCAATACAGAACACTAAACCCCATTGAATAGGAGGACCTAATCTTACTTGATGTTGAGTACCATAGTAACTCCAAATAAAACTTTGATCTCTTGCCAGGGCCCTATCCCCATGCCTGCTTCACTGCATCAATACCAGCATCAGCATCTGGGGGGATCCAAAAACTAGCAGTACCTTATTGGGGGTAGAAATCATCATAGTATATGGTTGTCTACATTGGGGCGCCCTGTTTTGGGAAACGGTCATCTACAGCAATGACAATTGCAGCAACCGTTTCAACTGCAAGAAAGCCTGGAACCCCTAAGATCTCTGTGATTAGCGGGACCCTCTCCTCCTCCACCTCGGAGGCCGGAGCCTGTCTGAAGAGTGCAGGCTCAATCTCCTGTGAAAGCGTTGCAGAAAATCCAAGGAGTAGCCCTCAAACCCAAGCATTCTCGCGTAGAAAAACGTGCAGGGCACGCTGAACATCTCAAAACGTCTCATTCGTAGACTGATCACCAAGAATTGCCTTGAGGCATGGGGCCTTTTGTGATTGATGAAGCACTCAACGTCAAAAGAACGAGGTTTAGTGTTGCCTAGACCATCATGCTCCACATCTAAATCAGGCATGCCAACAACACTACGACAACGTCCTTCCGTAAGCAAATCCTTCATCAGAACCGCATAGCTATGGTCGTCAGAATGGCAGCAGGATCACCATGATTTTTCCTCCTTATCCTGCTTCGGTTCCCATCGCTTCACGTGCTACTGCCACCGCACCTACTACTGTTGATACAAGATCCTTGCAACACCCCAATAACTAAATGACTACAACTCCCAAGGTAGAAGTGTTTAATATAGAAGCCTTAATCATCAGAATAGGGTTTGGGTGCCCATTGCACAATAGTTATCACAAGGACTCCCAAAACAATATACGCAACGATTAAGGCCCCTACAGTAGGCAGGAGTTTACGGCATCAGCCGCACACCACTCCGCTCCGTTCTCCTCCCAGGGGACCATGTCCCGGTTCCGTCGGTCCACCAAGGCAGCACGGGCGAAGACCAGGGCAAAGAGTGCCTGTGGCTTCTGATTGTGTGTTTACACAGTGGTTTAGGGTTTTGGGTATATGTGTGTATATGTATATGTGATCTCCACCCACGCCTCCCCTTTGGTCCCTGTGGTGGTGCTGGTGGTTCTCCCCCCGGCCTCCCTGTTTTAAGGGGGGCAGGGTACGGGTTTTGTAGATGATCCTGCATCATATCCTCATATCCGATACTTCTTCTCATGGTGTCACTCTGCAGCTCGCATGGCATGTTGTGAATTGTGAGCTTGTCAACTGACGTCTTGCTTGATGCTCAATCCGTTCGTGGTATCTCCACGAACTCTCTCATCCTAACTCAAGTTGCTCTTGAGGGCTGCGTGTCCTAGCCCAAAAATGTTAACCATTCAATTATGATAGGGTTATACAAATCCCAAAAGGTTAAAGGTTACCTACTCAGCTACAAACTGCCTATATTTAAGATCGAGGCCATGTCTAGTTCAGTTATCGTTGCACTTCCTTCGCGCCCTTCTGAAACTTAACCTTTCATTCTGAACGGTTAGGAATTCAATCATCCGGCAATTTTTTTTTAAACTTTTAGGGTAGAAGACTCATAAGCGGAACCACAAAAGGTTACACCACTTCTCCAAGCACCGCCTTCCAAGGCAGCGCTCCGTGGCGACCCTCTGAGAGCAAAGTACAAAGCTACATGCAGTCAAAATCTGGTTCCCCAAAGTGCAACACATACCAGAACTAAAGCTCAACTTCAGCCACGGCACCAGGAAGACGAAGACGGAGACTGCTGGGAGGGTCGACTGCCACTTTGTCTCCTTGAGTAGAACACCCAACCCCCCCAAATCGGGGCCCACTAGCTTCACAAGGTAGTCATAGGGCTTCTGATTTGGGGGCTTAGCGTTACCAAACTCCTCTCTTCAGACGATTACGTGGACTTTGAGACTTTGACTGTCACAGGGTTCAGTCTTGTACCGTACCGTTAGGTTTTGGGATCCGTTTAAGGGGCGTTAAAGAACCCCATTGGCTCATGCAAGGGCATTTTGGCCACAACCCTGCAACGGGGACTGTCTCAACCTGATTGTTTTGGGATCCCTCTTTTGGAGTCCCTCCAATTCCTACATGAGCCATAGTCTAAACTCCAAGTATCCAAAAAGGCCCAAACTTCCCCTCTGGCAGGTTCGCAGATGCGTGCGATTACTTCGCCTTTGCACAACATTGATTAGGAGCCTGTTAAGGGGGCTTTCATTCTTGAAGCTTCTTGCTGTAGAAAGCATCACCTGCAGCCCTAAACCCGAAGTCCTAAACCCAAATTAAATTATGGCAGATGTACCTGACAACTATGTAAACTAGGCTTTCGCAACCACTGCATCAGAATCAAGACTTACTGGTCCTTCTTACCATGGAACAAGGGTCTTCAAGGGTCTATAATACACAGAGGTTAGAAAGAAGGCCCTGTTAGGAACCTTTAAGATGACGGAGCAGAAATCTGAAGATGGTAAGGCAAAGAAGGTACTCTCTGATTCTGAAGAACACCCCGAACACGAAACCCTGAACGTCTCTAGAGCTCACACTCTTGCTCCAAAACCTGCACGAAACCCGCCAAAGCTTCCAAAACCTTGCTGCTAAGGTCAGAAGTATGGGGCCCCTTGAGCCCAGAGGTCCAGGGTATATGGGGGCCCCCCCGAGGGCCCTTAGGCCCGTATGAGGTGGGCTCCTTAAGATCCGGGGGCTAAAGGGTGCATCCTAAGGGCCCCCTGGCTTCAAGGCTAGACTACTCATGAACCAAAACCGAAGCAAAACTTCTTTCATTCAATAATCTGGGAAAGCCTCACAAGTAAATCATGACCCAAAACTGCTGTGGGCAGAAGAAGTCTCCGATAAGCGCTGAAATCCTGCGGGGGTTAGCAGATCCCAAGCGCTGCTGCCTCATCTGATCGGGTTTAGGGCCGCGGTTTCAGGCGTCGGGTTAAAAATTCAGGGCTGGGGGCTGAGGGTGTAGACTTCAAGATTAGGATCGTTTTGGGACTCTGAGAACAACTTCTTGCAAATCCGGTACGGAACATGAACTGAGGGAATATAACCCCTTCTGTTTCCCAATGCAATATGATTTATCTCAAAAATTCTTCCATACTAAGAACCAGCAAGCTGAATGGTTTTTTTCGCAGGAGGACCTGCAAGGAGTTCAAAAGACGTCAGGTCCCTAGACCCCCTGTGGTAATGAATCCCAATGATGGAACTTCGGAATAATCCCCGGAGAATCCTCATAGCCACATATGTATATATATATATACATGTATGTATGAGCTTTCATCCAAACTCCTTCAAGAGGTATAGGGGATTCTATCCGGGAGTATTCCAAAAGTTATCTGGGTGATACTAGGAATTTTGAGTATAGCTCAAATATACACACACATGCACTTGTCTACTCTTGTCATAGAAAGCTGACCCAATGTTGTTCCAGGCCGCAAACGAGTGCCAGGAGCGCATTGTCCCAAATGACCTGCGCTTCAGGATTCAGGTCTAAGAGTTGTGCCCTTTCTTGCCTGGGCTTGAGGGCTTGGGGTTTGGGGTTGCGTGTTTCGGGTTTGGGGTCAGGAGTTACTTATCGTTTTGCGAACAGTCTTCGGGGTTCTACATCCACGTTTATTGGACTTATGCCTGGCACCTGACATGGCCCTCCATGAAGTTGATTGACCATTAATATCAGATTTGAAATCTTAGTTTAGGAGCCTGGTGCCAGAACTAGCCGAGAAATATCGGATTAGACTCTTGATGACTTTTCAACAAGTCTACGACCACCCGGATTGTTGGCCCATGTAGAGACGGTGGTTATGGTTGACCCTATCATCAATCCCCCCTCTATATCCATCTTCCTAATAAGCCACATTGTATTGGGACTATCTAGTCAAACAGGAAGCCCCATGGAGCTCAAACACACTGCGGGCGCACCTATCGTACCACTTCTAGTGAATAGTCTCGCGTCAGCTTTAGACGTGCCAATGCTGCATTCAGTGGTGTGGTTGGCTTCGGTGGCTTCGCGGCATATGAGCCATAGCCTACACTCCTAGTATCCCCCTTAATAATTAATAACCCCAATTGTGATACCCTCTTTTCATCCCTTACTTAACCCCTTTGAAGGAGGTTCTAGTTGAAGGATGGCGTGACTTGGCTCTGGGATGTAGGAGAGCTTCCCTGGCCCAAGGATGGGTATGGTAGCTGTTCAAACCCATCGGGCTCCCTTAGTTAGGGTGATTCAATCATTCTCAGGACTAGTTACGGGGGAGCATAGATACACAACTTAGTTTGTCACTGAGGAATAGTCTTGGGCTGTTTCGCTGGCTCCGCGACATCGTTCGGAACTGGTGAACCATGAGAGATGGCCTCCCAGCACGAAGCCCACAACAGCCGTCACTGAGCATGGGGCGCTCTGCAACTTCTGCTTCTGCGCCAGAAAAGCAGCAAACCCTGACTCCCGAACCTCAAAACCCTGCGCCCCGAACCCCACCTCGGCTACAGCGCTGAAGATCGAGAGATGGACAGTCAGGCACGTAATCTGCCCCGGAACAGTGTCCTCGATGCAGGTGCTTTAGTGTTTAGGGGCGCGCAAGGTCTTCATAAGACTTGTGGGTTTTTGTAGGGCCCCCAAAATTTTACACATAAGCAAACAATAGGATTTAGGGATATCCCATAGAAACTCCCCTTATAAGACTTGTTGGGTTTTCGAGGGCTGCCTCTTCACAGGGCTTCGGCTTTTTCAGGCTTAGGCTCGGCGAGCTGGTTTGGAACGGTTTGGGGTGGCTTTGTAGAAACTCCCAGAGAGCCCAACACCCCTTCAAGAAGGAAAAACCAATATAAATATGTACATGTATATATATATATATATGTATATTAGAACTATGATTGAAGCTATATTCCTGAATTACGGGGTATTGGGCTCTCTGAACTCATCCCCACTACCGAGGCAGAAATCGAAAGCCTCCCCCGAAACCAGGGGAAAAAGGGATTGGATGGTTTCTCCATGCCAGGGACTATGTAAGGATGCAAGGACGTCCGACATCCAAGAAGCTAAGCGGGTCACACATTGAGCTGAAGTCCACTAACCGTATACCTTTGATACTCACCGATATAACCCCTTTATAACCCCACTTTATGGAGCTTCGACTCTAGCTCATATGATATGTTCCCCTACGAGACGAACCCGGAAACATGAACCCTTACGAGACGACAACTCATACCCAGAGAGCCCAATACCCCATAAGGATTATACCTTAAAGTTTTGGGGGGATGCATATTATGATTGAAGCGATATTCTTTAGTTAAGGGGTATTTTCTTGGGCTCTCTGGGCCCTAAAAGGCAACCCTAGCCTCGAAACTAAACAGCAGAAGGTAGAACAATATGAAGTCATCTTCTGTACACTGGTTCCAGAATATACTATATTATGGTATACAATAGTATATAATGTATATTAGAGTATATTATAGTATATTACGGTACCAGTGTACTTACTATATAACGTATCTTAGCCTGAAAGCCTAATCCTCCCAAGCCCCTGATGCCTGAGGTCCTAGACTGTATGCCACCCTAACACACCTAAATCCCAAACCCTTTTTTCACCCCATTATAGTAGAGTAACTATAGTATAATCTAGTCATCTAGTATAGTAGAGTAGTTTCCATTTTCCATTATCCTAATTCCTAATATTACCATAAACCTAGCGCAGCTGCCAGATCAGGAGGAGCGGCGGGCACCGTTGTGACTCCACGCGGGGACCAGCGCTTCTCCTGGAGAAGGCAGAACCACGTGCTATCAGTATTCATCGTGCAAGCAGGGTCTACGGTCTATTTCCTTGGAATTTTGGATTTGCTGATTGAATTTCTATGCGCGTTGAGGGTTGGCGCGAGGGCGCCCGCAGGAAATGTGGAATCCCGCTCACGACTTGTGCCCTTCAGCGGGCATTAGAGAATGCCGACCGCTGAAGATCTGATTCAGCCCAGGATCTCGTTCGTCCCAGAAGGCGCACGTGGCGTTCTCCAAGTCCGTCTTGATCCTCATCTCTCAGGGCTTTCTATCCAAATAGCTCGGGGGCCCTGGCTTCCATGGGCCTTGAATTGAGGTTGAATGATGCATATAGGCTGCGAAGGTTGCGACGAACCTCTACAAGCCATAAGGTCATGAAGTTGCATGCAATCCCTGCGTGGCCCTTGGTACAAACAAGACTGGAGCCAAAGGCTCACCTGAGTTTTAAAACACTGCACCAATGGAACCCTTTCCTAAGGGCTCGGGTTCAGGGCTTAATGTTACAGGGCTTTTCCAAGTCCTTTCCTACAGTATCTCCGTATTGCCAAGACGGCCCTAAAGGCACCCAATTTTCCCAAAATATCTCCCGAAACCATAAATCCCAAACCCTAAGCCGAGGATCACAATCCGAAGGGGAACGTCCAGGTTTTGGACCCTGAGCTCCGATCCATCGGGCGCTCGCATGTTGATACTGACCTTACTGAGTAGCGTGTTCGGAACAAGAAACGCAGAGAGCCCAATACCCCTTAATTAAGGAATAAACCTGAAATTATCTACAAAGGGTTTCATCTTATGATTTAAGCCATATTCTTTAATTAAGGGTTATTGGGCTCTCCGGCAAACTACTGATGGGTGCCCAAGGATTGAGGTCCATGAACAGCGGAGTGGAACCCTTTACATGTCCTTGTCAATGTAATGTAGGAGCCTTAATAATTAGAATAGGGTTGTGGGGTATCCTATACTAAAAGGATAATAAGGAACCCCCAAAATAGTATAGGTAATCATTCAGGCCCCCTACATTAAGCTTTCAGTACCTCGGACATCGGCGGCCGGAAGGTTGAGGAAAAGCAAACAGGTGAGAAATCTAGCAGCGAACACATGCAGATTTTCAATGGAACAAATTTGGGTACTGCATGAAGGTGTAAAGGAGTGTATGGCTACAGGGATCCACTCCCCCACTCGGTTTCCACCCGGCACCCCTAAAACCTCAAAATTAAGGGTTACGCTAGAATCGCCCCCAAGAGGCCCCCCCCCCCCCCTCAGATTTCTTAGTCAGCCTTATACACATCCTTCATTCCCTCCTCAAGCCGGGGTTTAGGGTGCCTTTTTATGGGACGGGGCCTTTCTAACCCTTTTAAAACCCAGGGTTTAGGGTTTAGGGTTAGTTTAGGGTTTAGGATTTAGGGTTTAGGGTTTAGCACACCAAGCCGAGTCGCAGCATGGGATCCGACCACGGATGTTGCTTCGCCTTCGACTCTTCGATCTTGGAACTTACCTGAAAGAGGACTCAAGCCAAAGCCCATCAGTTTTGGGGCTTTGGGTTTAGGGGGGCTTCGGGCAGAAGTTTCGGGACTTTAGGAGGTTTTGGCTTTAGGGGGCGTGTAGGGTACCATGAAACCCCCAAGCCGATGAACCCTGGGAGCTTCCGAGGCTTTGCTTCTGCAAGGAACACCCGAATGTGAAACGCACCGCAGTATACCTGGGCCCTGAGCATAATTCTAGCGTTCCTGCTGAGCATTGCCTGACTCTTTTGTCACGTGCCCCATATAAGAGCTTCCATAGCTATTACTTTGCAAAGGTGCGTGCCCCCAAGCTGCCCCTGATCATGGGACACCCCGCAACTTCGAACAGGGAAGACATTCCAATGACATCCTTTGCTTCGAAAACCCCATCCTGACAAGCAGCGCCGTGCCTGAAGCCACAATTTGCGGACAGGGGTTGGTTTTGGGATTCTTGAACCCCAAACCCCTATAGCGTGTTTGGAGCTGATCTTGCAATCACTTTTGATCCTTATAGTGGTACCAGAACGGTGAATGCAGAGTCAGCAAAACCAGCCGTTCTGCTTTTTGCAGGTTAGAGAGCAATCTGGGTCATAGCCCACACAAGGCAAACAACATCAGAAGGTTTCACACAAACTGGCCCGTTCGAAACCTCACCCCAAGAAATCCACGAAATGGAGCCCCCGCTGCTTATTAGCCACCAAAAAGGAGTGGCGGGTTTAGGGTTGACGCCTCAGGTCTCAATGTTCAGGATGACATGACCCCTAAACCCTTCAACCCAAAGCCCTCAACTCCACTTCAAGCCCTGCTAACTGTGGTCTAGCCAAAAGGCCTGCAACCTTCGATTTGATGGTGGTGATGCTCAGAAGAACAGCTCCTGTTTCTCCGGCTGCTGTCGCGGCTTGGGCCAACACCTGAAACGAAGCGTCTTTGAGAAAACTGATGGGTTCCCATGCCCCTGTCTGTCGATTGGATCATGTGTATCTCATGCTGTCAACCCGATCCCTACGCCCTAAACCCTCTAAAAAATAAACCCTCAACCCTGCGCTGCCCCAAGGACTCTGCGTGTTAAGCGTAGTGGTTGGGTTCCTCAAAGGCACTCCCGAGCTAAAGGCAGGCTGAAGGCTTCTAAAGCACTGCTCGACTTCTGCAAACATCTAAATTGATATTGTGGGGGAACTCCCCAGAGCGGTAGGACCCGGTAGGATTTAGTGTGTATGTTTTTTTAATCTTGGGAACTCCACAGACGGGTAGGATTGAGGGGGTATTTGGGGTATTGGGGTGTAGACGCGAAAAGGTGCATTTTCGGGACTTCTTTTTGCGACTCAAGTACGGCAGTGATCCTGCCTAACGGCGCAATGAAAACTGTGGCGAAAACCAACAGCGCTTCAATCCCAAGCCGTGTAGGCATTCTAGGGTTGAAGAGATTGCGCTTGTTGGCTCGTTTGGCAGGAGGACTTGCTGTATCCGTTTGGCTATGTTCGCCTCGGTAACCCTCAACCCAAGACCGTAAACCTGAAACCGTGACCAGACAACCTTCTGCTTTTTCACTCCAAGCCCTCAACGGAGTATAGCCCTGATCCTTCCCCACGTGCAATTGCTAATTTTCACAGATGGGGAAACCCCAAATAGTCCTCCAAAACTATAACTCTTACTGTACTAGGCACCCCGAACATGGTACTACCAATGTTGGGACACCCCCCCATCTTGTTTTCCTTTACCGGGCGTACTCCTCTCACAATGGATCCAGGATATCCATGCCTACACAAAGCTGCAGCACGAATGACAAACTCTTTCTCGAGGTAGATGTCAAAACATGTCCGAGGGATGCATTTTTTGCCGCGCATTTGCGGAATTTCCATCCGAATGAACAAGGCGCCCTCAATCGAGATTGGGCTTCAGCATTCTGCTGTATGGGTCGATGCGACATCAGCACTTCTGAAACCTCGAGCCCAGGGAACTCACCGCCCCTTGATCATAAAACCCCCATTCGCCCGAAGATAGTATAGGGGCCTTAATAATTAGAATAGGTTTTTGGGTCCCATTATACTATAATTACAACAAGGAACCCCCAAAATAGTATTAGTAATTATTGAGACCCCTATATTAGATGTTCAGAAAGGAATCCGCTTTGAGCCTCATGATAAAGTCTAAGCTGTCCAGCCTAAACCCAACAAACCCCAAGTCTTAACCTTGATCTTAGGTCGCTCCCCAGTAACCGCTGCCAGAATAGGTGATAGAAGACAAAAAGCCGTATCCTCGAAATAGAGACCCTTGAGATCCTTAGAAAGACAGCCCCCTCAAAGAGGAAACCTCAACCTAAACTCAACCTTGAGCCCTAAACCGCCCCAACTCCATCGTGTACCCAACGGCCTCTCGAGGGACTTCAACCCGGGAGACTTCTTCCTGCGACGTTGTAAAGGCAGTGACGGTGGTCACATTGCTGTCCAATGCCTTCGACTCATTGGGCTTGGGGGTTGAAGGAACTAGGGATTAGGATTTAGGGTTGAGGGATATAAGGATTTGGGCTGAGGGTTGAAGGATCTAGGGTTTCCTTCAACCTTGGGTTGAAGGAACTAGGATTCGGTTTTAAGGTCGAGGGATTTAGGGATTAGGGCTGAGGGTTGAAGGATCTAGGGTTTCGGGATGCGTTGCAACTCTTGCAGGACTGTGATAAGGGCCGTAATAATTGAAATAGGGTTTTGGGGGCCATTATACTCTAATTATAAGGAACCCCCAAAATATTATTGGCAATTATGTAGGCCCCTATGGTAGGCCGTTGAGGGTGCAGGTGCTGTAGGGTTTCATCCCGGCTGCTGATCTCGCTTCCTTTCGCCCTGCCCGCAGCCTGACGCCTTCAGCCCCACGTCCTAGCAAACCTGAAGAACGTCCTTGCAAGCGGGCAGTTTAGACGACAATAGCATAGAGTAGAATAGAGTAGAATAGAGTAGAATAGAGTAGAATAGAATGTAGTATACCATACTATGGATCCTTCGGCTCAAAAAGGCCGTCTTTCCGCACTCCTAGAAGTTCGAAGGGCGTGAAACATTTCAGTGGATTGGAAACTACTTGGAGGTTCATGGTTAGTTATTAGTAGGGTTGGGGTTTTGGGTTTACGGCTAGGATTATAACCCAGAATAGGGGACATAAAGCCCCTGAACTCATCATGTACCTCCAAGTACCCTGAGAACGACCCCTGGGCTCTCGCATCTACGAGGTACCTGGGGGGTTAGGGTGCCGACTGTTTAGATGGCTTCTGCTGCACGGCTCTCCGCACCCGAGAACCCTAAAACCTAAACCACGGGCCTCTGGCAAGAAGGCCACCACCTTCAACTGCCCCGTGTCCACCTCTGCTGACACTTCGGCCAAGATTCCGCCTGAGAAAATGCTCAGGAGTCGGGGTGGGGTGGAGGGTTCAAGGGCACTTGGAGGGTTCAAGGGCACTTGGAGGCCGGGGTTACTCACAACTCTACCCACTAGTGAAACATCATGTAAGTGGCAGAAGCGAATGAACTGAACGCTGGAGCTTTGGATGCATCAGAAGTTGGGGCTTGAGAGTACGAAAGCTGTTTGAGGATTTCCTAGCCTTTGTTGATTCTTGGGTAGCCCGAATCCCCTTGTCGCGAGGACTTCACAATGGATGGCTATAATAGGTGAAGGGCTGTCAACATTCAGGTCCCCTTCTGAATCCCAATCATGGGGCGCCCCAGCTTCAGTTCGACAGCCTTCTCTACAGTCTCTCCAGGCATAACATCCCGCAGAGACCACTGACGCCAACAATCTTGCACCCAAACACCCAAACTCAAAACGCCAAATCCCGGCCTAGCTAGTCCTGAAGCCCTGCAGCCCATAATGCAAACCCCAAACACCCAAACTCCTTCCTGGTGCTTAGGCCAGAGTGGGGGAGTGGACCCCTAATAATCCCGAGACGAACCCCTTTCATGGTACCTACCTGAACCCAAAAGCCGAACCACTATATTCACTTCCCACTCCCCGTTCGGAATCACCGCAAGCCTGTCGCGTTCCCTTGGCTGGTGTTGAAGTTCAAAGACTCTGCCAATTCGACCGCCACTGCCTGGATTTCCCATAGTGCGTTAGAGTTCAGCCCGGAGGGCCGTGGGTTTAGGATGTGGGGAGCTAAGGTTTAGGGTTTAGAGTTGCAGGCTTAGGGTTTAGGACTCAGAACTTGGAGTCTTCCTGCCGCCCCCGACTGTGCTCCCGCCGCTACTTGCCGTTGCGGCAGCTTGCTCAGCATGAGCAGTATTCCTGAATGTTCGGCGCCACTTCGAATCATGCCTGCTCACGGTTCTTGCCACCTTTCTTCCCTAAACCCTAAAAGCTGAACCTATTCTTCCCTAGACCCCACTAGCTGTAAGTGCGATAGGTTCCTCACCTGCCCTATTGGTTCGGAATTGGGCATGCTCCGGCCCCACGAGAAGTGTTTCCCTGCAGCTCGGTACCAACCTAGACCCTCCCTCTGCCCTCTTTTAACTCCTAAACCGTCTATTAGACCCTAAATACCATGAGGAACCATATAGCCTCTTCGAAGGTACAAGGAAAGTCCTGGAATCCGAACAGTTGTGTGAGAACTTGCTCGCAAACTGTTTTGTCCTGAAAGAATATGGCCCATGTCAGGGGAGTTTTTGGTGGTGGAACAATTATAGTGCATTGTGCTCCATGTCATGTTTCTTATGCCGTTATTCATTGTTGTGCGTACATATATATAAGGGCCTTATTGATTAGAGTGGGGCCCAAAATAGTATTGGTAGTTAGGCCCCATGTATTGCCCCTACCCCTCCCCCACCTCCTCTTCGGCGTCCACCTGGAGCGCAGCCTTGAAAGCCTGCTTCGACGCTGAAGTATTGGGGGCTGAGACGCTTTAGGGTTTAGGGTTTAGGGTTATGGTTATAGGGATGAGTTGAGAGGTTTGGGGCTGAGACGTTTAGGGTTCAGCGGGCAATAAGTAGCCCCCTTGTCTTCATCTATCCCCGGCCGCTAGCCCAAATCCCGACTGAGTACCTGGAATATACAAAAGGCGCCACTGAGTATACCATTGTAGGTCTGTGCTCTGGGAGCTGCTTCCAGAGCTCATGGAGTTTTATGGGGGTTTCCGAAAAAATAGAGATACCTTTTTTGGTGCATGTTTTAAAGTCGTGATAATTGGGATTCTGGCGTAGACAGGGGACCTAGTCTGCGGAAACTCCCATCTGTTCTCAGGCCATCTACACAAGCAAGCTGTTACTTCCATGTTGTTCCATCTCTATGACGTCCCGGATTGCACGGAAGACGTCCTGCATGCACTAGTCAACAAACAGCAAGCAGACTACCAAACCATGCACTGAAGAAAGGAACATGAAGCAAATCAGCTAGTGCTCCGTCTTCACAATGAAGCTAAGTACAAACCAATATAACTATACAGGATCTGAAGCCCTCAGCTCCAACTCGCTACTAGTACGGTCTAGGGTTTGGGGATAGCGCTGGTGAGGCGTGGTTCCAGAAGAAACTTTCATCTGCGGATTTCCAGAAGTTGGGAGCATCCTCGTTGGGGGTCCTTCTTATGAGGAATCAAGCCATCTGGCAAGCCCAACCCGCGAAATTAGGGCCCCAGAGCCATCGTATGATTGTCATGTGGTCCTCATTTTGGGAGTTGGGTTACCAAAACCCCTTTGTGAATCAGTGTGTCAATGTGCTACATTCAAGTCTGAATGGGAGCTCCCTGTTCTTGGCAACTCATGGGGAAGGCCCGGGTCGAAAACCAATGCAATGCTGCTGGGCGTCGGCAGTTGATTTACGGTTTTAGGGGCTACAGGGTATGAAAGGTTGCAAATGCCCCAAGTCAGACTCAAAAGCCCCATCTCAATCATGTCGGCCAAAAAACTACCAATTCATGCGGTTCAAGGTTGAGGAGCTATCAAGAGACAATACGATCAGAACACACACGAAATACAAGAGCAGTTGTCAGCGATGCGCTTACCGAGAACACCAAGCCCAGAACGACACATAACCTGGGCTACAGTCTAGGCCTTAACCCCCATGAATCGTGTACCCTACATTGAAACCGCCCGCTGCTTGCTTCTGCCTCCTCCTGACGCCGTTGCTCTCTCTGCAGCATCGCCATCTCCTCCGGACTTCCTGGAGTCCTGTTTAAGCTTTGTTTAAGCTTTGGGGTTTAGGGTTTGGGGTTTGGGGTTGAGGCTTCAGGGTTTCGGGTGTCAAGGTCCAGGATCCATTAGGGTTTGGTGTTCAGGGGTTTTGGGATTAGGGCCTAGGGGTATATAAGTTATAATATAAGACCAATGTTTCGATTTTAGGATTGTTTAGGGTTTTGAGGTCTCCGTTGTTTTTGTGGGCGCTGCTGACAAGAGCTTGCGAGGCTCTGAAAGAGAACAGCAGCACTTCGCCCGGTTGTTTGATTCTGTATATATCGGTCGCCTAAGCAACCCCTGTATACTGTATACTGCACCCCCTTAAGTGTGTTTAACTTACCCTGAATGAGCCAGACGAAAAGCAGGAATCTTGAGGGTGCTAGTGCAGAAGGGGGGGGGGGTGGCTGGGTAAGCCCGTAACCCAATATACATATGCATATATACACACATATCTATATACATATACATATATATATATATGTATGTATACACACTATACATACATACATACATACATACATACATATGTATATATATATATATATATATGTATATATAATTATTTAAATATAATGGGGCGTCGATCGCAGCTTAGTACATGATTCGGACCGGAACCTCTTTCTGTTGCTTTTTTCTGTTCTGTATGAGAGGGTATTAGTTGTCCTGGTTCGACTGTTTCGTAGGTTTTTTATCGGTGGAGTGTCCGTCTCCATGGTTTCGCCCACGGGGCCCTCTCCCTAAGACCTATGATCTGAGCTTCAAATACCAAGGAGTCACAAATCGTCAACAACCCCGCGCGCGGTCGTCGAATCATAATGTGGGTTCGCATACCAAGCACGGGCTGCTGTTAAGGAACATGGACTCAGCTTCTGCAGCAGAACAGTATATTAACTAAGATGCTTTCCTATTATGTTAGGCTAACTGGACTTCCGGTACGGCGGCCCAGATGAAGGAGAAGGGCCTACACCCCTCACCGAGCCTAATAAAGGAGCCTAAATAATTATCTACACTATTGTGGGGGTTCTTTATTATGAAAAAAGTACAATATACCCCCAAACCCAAGCTAACTACTAAGGCCCCTATATTACACCCTTCACCACGGCTATAGCACCCCCGCATGGTTGCCCCTTACCTGGGTTTAAGCCAACTCCAATAGGCCAAGTGCCCCGAACGAAGATCAGACAACTCCTAATATTCGGGCCTTGGTAAGTAGAATAGGGTTTTGGGGCCCATCATGCTATGAATATGATAAGGAACCCCCCCCCCCCCCCCAAATAGTATTGGTAATTATCTAGGCGCAAGTCTACTCAGGCTTTAGAACGTGGTCGTAGTTTTTCCAGGCATGGTCTTGGATGCTGTCGTTGGGGGCACCCCGTGAAATACATGATGCTGAAGAGTAGAAATCTCTGCTTGAAGCGGGCTCCCGAGGCCCCCGAAACCTTGATCTTGATCTACTGTCCTGTGGCTTGCTAACAGATCCGATTGCACTGTGAGCTTTAGAGCTTTGCGCCTTCACTCCGGGGGTTTATTGTGCTGATACCATGGGCAAGCCATGGGGCAGGGGAGCTTCCGCCAAGAACCCTAAACCCAAAGGCCTAAGCCCACTCCAAGCCAACTTGTCCTTGTGGTGCTGCTGTGCGTCCAAGTTGTGGAGGTCGTCACTGAAGTTGTCGAGGTTCTGCTGAGGGTGAGGCTGCTGGTGGTGCTGGACAAGGTTGTGCTGGAGGTCCTTGTCCAACTTGTCCCTGTCGTGCTCGTGGTTGAGGTCTTGGAGCTAGTGCTGCTACTGCTACTACTGCTACTCGTCGTGCTGGTGCTGCCACTGGTGCTGCTGGTGCTGCTGGTGCTGCTGCTGCTTGTCGATATTGTTCTGCTAGTAGAACTGGTGCTGGTTGTCCACGTTGTCGTGCTGGTGGAACTGCTGCTGCTTGTCGACCTTGTTGTGCTGGTAGAGCTGCTGCTGGCGCTGCTGCTACTGGTGCTCGTCATGGTGGTGCTGCTGGTGCTGCTACTACTGGTGCTGCTACTGCTGGTGCTGCTACTGCTGGTGCTGCTAGTGGTTGTGGAAGTCTCGCTAGCAGTGCTGCTACTGGTGCTGGTGTATGAGGTTGAAGTGCTCCGCGTACTGCTGGTGCTGACAGTACTGCTCCCACTTGTGGTGCTTGACAGCGAGACTGTTGTAGATGTGCTGCTGGTCGTCTGTGTCGTTGAGGTTGTACTGCTGGCTGTGGAGCTCGTGGTGGTGGATGTCGTGAAGGTTCTTGTCTCTGTTGTGCTGGAAGATGTGCTCGCGGAAGAAGTGGTGCTTGTCGAACTGGTGATGGTCTGCGTATAGGAGGTGGTTGTCCTTGAAGAACAGACTTTTAAGCTCACTTGCAAGATATCACCCCAGAGCCGCTTTGCAAATTTCATGTCTCCAGAAGCTATCCATAGAGCTATACTAAATCGTCCCTTGTATAAATCCCTGTTAGCACTTTTTGACTCGAGTACATATATGCCGAGCATCGACGTTGTCGGCAAGGTGCCGAAGTCCAGTACAGGCAAGTGGTCACCCAAAAGTGCTGAATCCTTGCCACGTTGAGTTGTGTCGCCATACCCGAGCCACTCGCCATATCCCATACACTTCACAGTAGAATCGTCCAACAGAGCACACTGAAAGCCATTTCCAATGCTTATGTGCTGAGCAGTTCTGCCTGTGCCGTAATTGACAAAGGGGAGGTTATCTCCCATCTCGCCTGAGGTATCCCCGACAGCCCATTCCTGGGTGCAGGTTCAGGAGCTTGAATCAAACGACTGTAGTATTTGCATGTACTTGCTCTCTAGAGCGGGTTTAGGACTTTAGGACTTAGGGCTTAGGGGTCAGGATGCCCTAGTATTTACCACAGCGCCGTGGCGTGGTAAGTCTTGCTGTCCTAAACGGCAACCCAGATTCCTGGGTTCTTGCTCAAGGGTTTAAAACACATCACCATCATAAAGAAGCCCTGTTATTTCCTATAGATCTCTACTATGTTACTGTGGTACCTGAAGTTAAACCCCTTAACAACAGCCCAGATTCATCACTCGGAATGTCGTTTCCATAGCCCAGCGTGCCGTGTCCAGCGTTCCCCCAACACCTGTAGTCACTGTAGACCACTAATTAACACCAGACCTTTCAAGCCTCCTTAGGGTTCTAGGATAACAAAAAGAACTTAAAAAATTCCTAAAGAAACTACAGACACTTCGTCCTGTCATCTGAAAGAATCGCGCATGTGATGTCCCATCCTGCAAAAACCTTCTTGGCAGTGAGGCCAGTGCCCAAGTCCACAGCGGGTATCGTATTCATCTTTCGGTCGGATGTACCTCGATCATTCCGATCACCATAGCCGAGATGGCCAGCGTTATTATAACCCCAGCATTTGAGGTTGCCATCATCCGAGATCGCCTCGGCAAAGACCAAAAAAAGGTCTGGCAAAGAGAACCCACTAACTCATAGGTTTGACCATCACGGTGCCTTCGATGTTATGATGCCCACGGCGTCTTAAATCAAAAATGTCAAGCAAGTGCTGCTTGGAAACACATGTGTGCTTGTACCCTGCCACAAAGTCCGTGACCGTCCTTCCAGCACCCACGTCGATCGGAGGAAGATAGTCGCCCATTTGGTTTGCACTTTGTCCAATGTTGCTGGTACTGTCCTGCCTTAGACGGCTGAACACAGAGCCTCAATCCCTGAATGCCACAATGGCCCGCGGAAGCCGTCACTCTTCTACACACATTTTTCCTCATCTGCAGGCCAGGGCGCCCAGATTGTCCGTTGTAACTGCTGCCCCAACACTTCAGCGTGTTGTCATCCAGGAGGGCACATGCATGGTTGTCTCCTGGTTCTGGCCCCCCCCAAACGGTGCACCCATGATCCTACAAGTAGAACCACTCAGCGCTAGCACACATCGGGTTCAGAGTCTAGGGTTATCCGTTATCCGTCTTCTTCTCTCTGAATTACGGAGCCGAGCGTCCACACCCAATCTTTTGCACGGTTCGGCCGGTTCCCAAATCGACGAAAGGAAGCCCGTCCCCCATTTGTGCTTCGGTGGTCGAACGGTCGGTTGTGTCGCCATAGCCCAACCTAAGTTCTTTGTGCCCGAAGGTGGGCATGTTCTACCAAGACAATATAACCAGTGATCCTCAAGTTGCTGGCATCATCTAGAGACCACTGCCGTGCCTATTCCTAGACTGCCGAATCCATGCATTGCCGGCTACGGTATGTGGGCTTTTTACCGGACTGTGCCACTTGTTTGCTGGGATGCCTCTGAATTGGATCCCCATTCCTTCCCAAGCGGTAGTTGAGGTATTCACATGGAAAGTCGCGTCCTTACCATTGAGCTATAGTCTGAACTCCTGGTCCTAGTCAGCCTCATTATAGTCCCCTAAACAAGGAGGCCGGGATTTTGCGAGCTGCGCTTTAATAAGACGTTATTACATGACTTGGGGGCACAGGGCTTCATCCGAAAAGCCACCAAAACCTAAATTCCATGCTATTCTTCGTTTTCTTTGCCAAGGACCCCCCTTGACTCTGTAAACAGGAGTATATGGTCCAGTCTTAGGGTATATAAGGGTAGATGGAGGGGTCTAGGTATATACAGAGCCTAATAAATCTAAACCCGAAATCCTAAGCCCTACTAACCCTAAACCCTATGAATCCACAACCCCACATCCTATAAAACCTACAAACTCTGGACCCTAAGCCCTAAACCCTATAAACCTTAAACCCTAAACCGGTTGGTGGGTGTACCGGCGCCCGCGTTTTTAGCAATTTATAGGGTCAGTTTTTCAAGTAGACCCTGCTCAAAGTCATTCTTGTCGGAACGTGTAGGGACGCAGCTATGCATGGACCCTTCTCCATAAGGAAAGACTTCAAGATCGAGCTGATCCTGTTGACTTTCTATGGAATTTAAAAACATCCTGCGAGGAGCTGGAGCCTCCCCTTCTCTCAAATCAACTGTATCCTTCTCTTGTATCAGTTGGTAGGAACATAGGTTTGGTTCTACCAGTGGCCACATTAGGGAAAGGTTGGTAGTTTGAGGCTCATTTCTAAAGGGGGAGGCTCAAACCGATCACCATCCAACTTCCCATATAGAACCCTTACCAAACTAGTTCCGAATTACAGTAGACCTCTTTGATTGTTGGCTCGTCAGCTTACTTACCAAAAGAAATCCTGACTGAGTATGCTTCATATTCAACAACAATTTCAAGTCCTGAGTTTCTCTTGTTTTCACATAGGCCCGTGACGCATTGATTCGAAATAAACTCGCGGAAACTGTGCTTCAACTGTAAAAAGGAATTCTCACATGTATGGTTTTTGTGATTCACCACATACGCCTCTTGGTACATGCTGCATTTTCAGCGAACATTCTGAATCCTGGCTATTCGCCTTTCTCTATGTATTTAAACCCACACCAAAGCTGTTTTCAAATTTTGACAGGAATTCTCAAGCCTTGAGTTCTGTTCATCCCCTACATAACTCCTGATTGAACGTGTCTCAAAATTCAGCAGGAACTGGCATTCACCCAGAATGCGGATTTGTGCTGCCCAAGGATTCGCTATCTTCATGTTACAAAACCCAGAGCCCAATACCCCCTTAATTAAGGAATATACCTAAAAACAAGGAGATTCCTACTATGATTTAAGCTATATTCCTTAATTAAGGAGTATTGGGCTCTCTGGGAACTTGATTCTGAAGCAGGTCTCTGCTTTTGGCATGGATGCGGCGTGCAACAACACAGCGGCACACCTAGACCCTTTAGCCCCTAAGCCCTATAAGCTCTAAACCCCAAACCCTACAAACCCTGAACCCTATACACCCTAAACCCCTAAACCCTAAACCCTAAACCTATACACCCTAAACCCTAAACCCCATAAGCCCTAAACCCGAGATTTTGAAGCTGCAACAAGGCAGCTTGCCACCATTGTTCCAGCCCCAGCACTTCCTTGGTTGCTGTTAGGGAACTTAATTTACGCTGCACTTTAAAGAAACTGTATATTAATTTCATGCTCATTACGGTAACTCTTGAGGAAGTTGAATAATTCTTTAGTAACTTGAAACACAACTCCTTAATGGCAGCCCTGAACCCTAAATCCCAAATACTTCTTTACTATCCTTTACATTATAAAATTCTGTAAACTGCAGCCCAGCTTCACAAGGCTGTTGTCCAAGAGCGCGCACGCATATCTGTCGCCGACGGCGATCTGCCTCTGGGCACCCACCGGACAACAGAAAACCAGGGGCCGGTTCTTGGGAAAGGGGCCTTCATAATTAGACTAGGGTTCCCTTTAAAGGGTTCCTTTAAAGGGGACTATAAGGATTACTATCAGGGGTATTATGATAATACTATTGTTATGATAAGGAACCACCAAAATAGTACTAGCAATTTTTGAGGCCCCGAAATAAATTGAAGGAGCTCCATCGGCTTCCGGGTTTAGAAGGCTCAAGGTGTTGGGTTTAGAGGGTTTAGGGCTTCTGGTGTTTAGGGTTTATGAGGTTGGTGGGATGTATAAGCATATCTGTCATCACTCAGAACCAAAACAACTTGAACCATTCCTATGGAAAGCCTCGTGTACACACACAGCTACAAGCTCTGGAACTGCTTATGAGTGCTCAGTCAACAAGCTGATCAGAAAGGCTTTCCACACTGATGATACTATATCCGTCATAAGTACTATAGACCTGAAGACCTGCGGAAATTCTGAGTTCCGTAGTTGAACCGACACCCCAAAGTCTTGCTCCAGGCCCCTACCCACCGATAGGGGTATACCAGGAAGATGTAAAGACCGAATATACTTGCCATTATCTCCCGTGGTCACTATTTATGGGTGGCCCGCTTGGAGCGATGTCTGTCAAAGTACTCTTAAACCCCGCTTGAGTCTATATGTTCCATTTTCTTAAAACCTACGGCGCAAATTGAACTGTAATATAGGGGCTTAAATAATTACCAGTACTATTTTTTGGGCTCCTTATTCTTTGTATATTCTAGTTTGCCCTGAAACCCGACGTATTGTAATTATTAAGGCGTCTGTATTCGGTAAATGGGGTGACGGGTCGATCCCATTGACCGGGTTTTGGGAGCCTACTAAAACTGCTGTTCCTTGAAAGGAAGATCTTCAGAGAGGGAGAAATTGGAGACAGAGAGAGATATACATATATGTATATCTACATATGCATATTATTTGGGAAGCCCTATGTGTGGACGGTGAGAATTCTGCTCCCAAGATCTCCAATATTTACATGGTTTCCACACTTCCTGGTGCCACCAAGCAGGAATCATGGTTTTGACAACCCCTCACATAGGGTCCCCCCGCGACGGTCAATAACTACCAGACCATTGTATTCTGGGATGGTTTCTGTAGGGCTTGCTTAAAAAATTCTGGACCAGCAGTCGGCTCCCGACTTTGGTACCCAAACGGGGGGTTTAGTCAAATCAATGCATGGCGAGTTGCTGGGCAGTTCGACCTGATCCCAAGTCGATAGCCGGAAGGAAGTCGCCAAGCTCGGACGCGTCGTCGCCAATATTCGAACCGCTGACGCCTATCGCGGTTTGAACCTGATCCAACACGTAACCATGCCGCACCGACTTTTGGGAAACTGCGTAGTAGATACACTCACCCTACCACAGAAAGACTCTCCTCTTGAAAGGGTAGTAGTGGTTTAAGCGACTTTCTCAGGTTCCATATTTGGAGCAGTGTGTTTATCTTCATGAGCAGAAGCAGCTCCCCCTTAGCATCCCTCAATTAGCGTAAACTTCAGAGCTGACGGTGCGGATTCACGCAGCCCCCCGAAAGCTAAGCTTTAAAATTTAGACAGTACAGTCCAGGCCCTTGCAGCTAGCTACCATGGCATGATCATGCACATAATCCGCGAATGAAGTCTGCATGATCACTGCTTGAGTTCTATGCAAAGCTAGGACCACAACTCATGATATTGAGTGGTTAAGGCTGAGGGTTCAGGGTTTACAGTTAAGGGGTTGAGGGTTCATAGCAGCCGCGACACTGTGTCCGGTTGTCCGGATGCGCCGTTGGTCGTCTGTCCGTAGCATTTGACCAGGCCATTGTCCATCAGAACACACATCCTGGGCTCCCGGTGAACGTCTGCATAAGCCCCCGATGGCCCATTAAAATAAAAACTTCCCTCGTCCCCCCGATCCAAAGCACATGTGACTTCCACAAGCTGGGACCCAGACTTCGGCAGGGGTAATGCGGGATTTGTGGCATGTTCTAAATATTAGGGTTTAGGGTTTAGGGTTTAGGGCCAAGCAGCAGGATACTCGTTTGGATTCTTCAAGCCTTTACAGCGTCCCGATGTGAGCCAGGGTGCGGACTGATTCGTATACAATCAGAGGTCTTTAGCTACATACGGCTACAATTCGGTACTGCTATGACTACCATTTACTCTTGTTACTCATGATTCCCTAGGTACGACTATTACTTACAACTCCTCTTGCTACTATTGCAGCAGAAGAGGGGCACAGGAGCAGTCAAGAGTCGCATTACCTGAAACGCCGATGTCCACAGCTGTTCTGCCAACACCAAAGTCGGAGGCGGGTAAAAAATCCCCCATTTGGTTGGCGGCATTTCCGATGGCACCTGACTGGCCCGTCGCCTGCATACCTAGGCTGCCCAGTAACCAAGGCTTAAAAAGGGTGCCCCTTTTTTTGCTTAAAGGGGTTTATAAGGGAACCTAAACCCCCCCAAAAAGGGAATAAGGGTACTACTGGGCATCCTAGATACCATTGTACGTCATGCCCCAGCACTTTACGGAGTCATCATCGAGGATGACGCACGTTGCCCTTCCGTAGTGGTAGCCCGCGATCTTCTTCGGTGAGTACCTGGGCTTATAAGGCGGCTTACTAGCAGGGCCTTGATAATTAGAACAGGGTTTTGGGGTCCATTGTACTTGAATGATAAGAAGGGCTCCCCAGAATAGTATTGGTAATTAGTTAAGCCCCCATATTGGTGGCTTAGTGATTGGCATGCCTGGCATGTAGCTTTAAAGAAGCAACAACTTTCCAATGCAGAACGGTACGTTGCCACTCCTGCACGTAGGAAGATGAAAACTAGGAGTGCTCTTCCAAACTTCCTTAGCAGCTTTCGAACTCCTTGAGACTGGCTTTTTTGCTCATTCTCAAGCTCAAAAAGGGCGCCTCCCGAATATCAAAACACCGCAATCTCCTTGCTATTCACATACGGGGTTGATCCTGGGTTGAGACTCTTTCTTATTGGGAGGGCGTGGGGGGTTTTGATATCGGAGCATATTATTGCAAAGTCGTAGGGAGCCACGACCATCAGCAAGTCCACGATCAAATGTCTAAGCGGACCCAGCAAAGAACGCCAGAAGGAACCAACTGAGGAGACAGGTTATGGACAACAAACCAACGATCGATACGCCACGAAACGGAGGACAAGAATGGGAAAGAATGAGCGAGAGAGAGAGAGAGAGAGAGAGAGAGCGAGCGAGAGAGCGAGAGAGAGAGTGAGGGAGGGAGGGAGGGAGGGAGGGAGGGAGGGGGGAGGCGAAAACACAACCTGAACCTTTAATCCTAAACCCTTTGGATTTACAAGTGGGTCGTCTCCCAGAAGCCTTCTGTACCACTCCCATGCTATCAAAACCTGTTTATGGGACTACTATGGCCCACCCGTAAATTACCCAACCTCTATACGTTGTTACCAACTCCAAATAAGCCCCGAATCCCGGTATCTTTGACACATCAACCCTACATGAAACCAAAATCCTGAAAAAGCCCAGACCTAGATTCCTAAACCCTGAACCCATCTTCCCTGGCCCCTAAACATCCCTAACCCCTCCTTTCCATGAACCCAAACACCTGCACAGGAGCATCCCGAAGCCCTATTGCTCTGAAACCAAACAGCCCTGAACCCAAACATCTCGAAGCCTTATATCCCTGAACCAAACCATCCCCTAATCCTAAACCTTAAACCCGAAATTGAAAAAAAGACTCCCCGAGGCCCCTGTCGCATAGGCCAGCTTCTTTGGCAGCCTCAGGCGGCCACTGCAACGAAAACCACAAGGTTCACAAAGGGGATCGTAGGGCTCTTAGGGTTTTTTTTGCGTTTTTTGGAGTTGTCGGTTTCAGTCAGGTGTGAAGTTTCGGGCCTGGGCGTTTTTTTGGCTTTGGGTCCATTTCAAGCTTCGGCCTTGGGAGGTGAAGGGGCTTAGGGCTTAGGGCTCACAAAGGTTTAGGGTCTATAAGGGTTTATAAGGGTTTAAGGCTTTATATCGGTTTAGGGTATAAGCCTTAACATTCTGGGACCCACGCGGAAGGATGCGGCCTCCACGATAGAAACGAGGATGGCAAGCTTTTGCCAACTTCTGTCGTGACTGTGAAGAAACTTCTGGGAGGGACATCACCATTTTCGAGAAGAACACTAGGTTTTTAGAGAGGATAAGAAGGTTGCTTACTTTGGGACTCGAGACCCGCCAACTTCGAAAATGCTTGAAAGACTCAGCGCTTTTCGATAGTGGGTTTAGGGATTTCAAGTTTCAACTTTCAAACCATCTAAAGGCGGGTAGTTTAACATGTGGGCAGTTTCCGTGGTACTCTCACGGCCTATACTTTAGGGGAGGTGTAAAGAAGGGAAAGACGTGGCTGAGATCTCGGATCTCAGGGTCCTGAGGACGAGTACGCCAAGCAGGTGAAGATGCATTCAAACACTCAACGCTCAACCCTAAGCTAAACCCTGATGCCTACTCAATCGCAGAACAGTCATCCCGAAACCCGCGCGTGTCTTTTGGAGGGCCGCCGTCTGCTCCAGTAGGTGCTCTGGCGGACATGCCGATGGCCTGCACCGACGCGTGTCTGCCGCAACACCTCATCGCGTCATCCTCCCGATCCCGGATCCTCCCGATCCGTTCTTTTTGAGTGTCTGCACATCCTCAGGCCGTTGTAAAGAGCATCCTCCCTTTCCGTGCATCGCCGCCTGGGAAACCTCACATGGGTCCCCCTGGGCTTCTTCGTTTTTTTTGGGGGGGCCTGTGCCTCTCCTCTTAAGGGTCATCGCAAGCGCTACTCCAGGATCCTCCGCCCGCGAAGCTTCTGGGTTCAGTGCTGCCGTGATTTGGGACAAACTTTCCTCGGAAGTCCTCGAACACCTGAAAGTTATGAATGGGTAGTCTTGGGGCTAACAAGTCTGTCGACCCATGCGTACTCACACAGAGCGCGTCCACTTATTTTGAAATGCACTAGACCCCTAAATGCCTAACCATCCCTAAAGTAGTAACTCTTCCCGCCAAACCGTACCCTCAGCCCTTAGCCGGGATAGACTCGGGGGCCCCATATTTTAAAACGTTTTTGGGTTTATAGGCTTAGGGTTAAGGGTTTTGTCGAACATCAATTAGAGGGAATATATGAGATTTTGGCACGGAGGAATAATGGCAACTGTTCCTGGGAATACCCCAGCAAACCCCAAATCCAGGCATCAAGGGTGGAGTGGACAACTTGCATACCTCACGCCCTTGTAATTTCCTGGAGGGCAAATACTTCTTCCAGGAGCCATCATGGCAGGTCAGTTTAGGTCTGCATGCAGTGATGAGGGTATAGGAAGAGAGTAGGGCTCTGATATGATGTTTAATACCCCAAGCCTACATGGGATGGTGGCACCGGCTAGTCCAACCACTGGTATCAACTCGTACAACATTTACCTTTGCTGTTTATGCGCTTCCGGTGTCTGTCGCCGCTGCTACCAGCACTCGAAATGGCCTTTTTATGCCTTGCACCCTTCAGTCCGTTTAGTGTCAAAGGAACCCCAAACCTTGAAGCCGAGACTCATTTCTCACCTGCTACTGTACACCCTTGAGCTCCGCACGACAGCACGAAGAAGAGCTCAAACAGCAACGACATCACCCCAACCTGCTGCCCTTGCAGCAGGGAATGGCTTGTACTAAAAACACTAGCACTACTGCCAGAAGCCTCCGATATCTTTGCGTTCACATTTTCCAGTTCACCTAGCTTTGAAGTATGCGAACCGTTCGATAACATTGTCCATGGAAGACTGTTGCTGTTGATCTACGAGGGGGCTCTGAATGAGCCAACTGTGCAGCAGCGCCGGGAAACTCCATCTGTGAGATTGCAAGAAATTGAACTAATTCTTGGCAGCAAGCAAGTCTGCTTAACATCCGCGGTTCCTCAAAGACAATCGCGAACTCCTATCGCGCAAGGTTTCTGAACCTCTGTTTAGCACGGAAGGCATGAAGGAATGGATCCAGAAAGTACTCCCTACAATACCGAGCAACTATGTTCGGGTTTATTTTAGGCATACTCGTGAAAATCATAACTAATCATAATAATGAATATTATTCCAGGAATATCAAATATCAAATATCTTTGCGCAATATATTCATGAAAACGAGCCTTAGTCTAGAAATATCAAGTTTCGTTATAAAATAATAAATTATATGAAATACCAAATATATTTTAAATATCAATATTTTGCGCATGTTTGCCAGAAACATGGATATTTATGACAACGTGTCTTATTCCCTATCCTCGTGTAATATGTTGGGTTAAGCAGCAAAAATATTGTAAATACCAATAGTTTTACATTTTCATCTATCCCCCCCTCTCTCCGCCCCCACTAGGTGGTAGAGCTATCTCGCCTCACCCGGTGGGAACATGCATCACCCTAAGTAGACACTAAGTAGACGCTGCATCGCCGAAAATACGGAAAATGTGCATCAGGGAATACGAATCCCCAAGTAGACGCTGTTTTGGAAGTAGCCGTGTAAAGCATGCAGAAACCTCGCATATGTGGCAGATGCTACGGTACTAGCACATTGGTCATACAATTCTGGATTTTCAAGGAGACGCTTGAAGCCACCGTGAAGCATGTAATGCTATATAACAACCCAGGTTTGTGGTTCAGGGCTACATGTATACCAACAGTTTCGACACAAACCTCTGAGGGTGGCGCGAAACAAGCGCGCGCTACTTCTGAGGTCGGCGCAATCGGCCACAAAACAACAGGGGAAAGCCGAAACAGAAAACTGCAAGTAGATGCTGGCAAAGCAGCTCGAGCCAGAGACCATAAATATGTCCACTTGACATCAAGAACTGCCCAAATCGAACGGAGTCTAGATTTATTCTCCAGGCAGAGCTTCTGAATGTGGAGCAGTCGCTGTTTTTTCCCTCTTCGCGCCCCTTCAAGATCGAAGTAAATCTTGCGCAAGATCAATTCCTGCTTTCACCATGCTAAAATCCTAAAGCCCAAAACCTCAGACCCACAGCACAGTGGCGAGTTGAGATCCTGGGGACGATGAGGCGAAGCAGATAAGGATTCAAGGTATTAAAGGTTTGTAGGTAGGGGCTTCGGGCTTAGGGATTGCAGATTCGCAGCTTCAGGTTGAGAATTTATGGTTTAGGCTTTAATGTTTTCAGGATCTAGGGGTACTCGTTTACGGTTTGCTCTTCAATCTGACAGCTTGTGGATTGGTGCTGATTGTCAGAAGCCACATCCTTTCAGGAATGATCGCATGCCATGCAGTAAAGGCGGTTCATGCGGGTTGATGGTTAGCAGAAGGTTATGGGCACCTCAACTGGGGCCATACGCAACCATTCTTGCAAAACCCTAACCCTTTACCCACGTGCCTTCACGTCAGCCTTGAAGAAGCAGTATCCGCCGACCCCGTCGGCGCTGTGAAGGCTTTGTGTTTTTTCTGTCGACATCACGGCCCCACGCACGCAGCGCCCTCGCTGCCTTCACTGCCCTCCCACAGCGCCCCCACACCCACACCATCACTCCCACCGCCCCTCACCGCCCCCCCCAGGGCCCCAACGCACACCGCCCCCACCGGTCCGCCCCCACCGCTCTCACCGCCGAGCACCCCCACACCCACACCATCACCCTGCGATAATTTCTGAGAAAGTGGCTGTACGGCAGACCGCATCCCTGTAGAAACTAGTTGAGGGGACCCGCAACATGCAAGTTGCCCACGCAAGCTGGCGTTGCCACCTGAATTCAAGCCCTCTCACAGGGTGCCGCCGAGGTCCCTGCCAAGGCTGTGAAGTTGTAGGGTTTTATACGGTTCGAGGGTTCCTCTGGATGTCTATATCAGAAATTCGCCTATACACACACTTCCGCACGCGCTGATGCCTGGGTCCTTGCGAATGGCTCTGCTCAACACGGACCCCTTCCTAGTAGTCTAGGGGTTTGGGGCTTGCGCAGACTTATGCTTAGGGTCTAGGCGTTTAGGCTTTAGGGTTACGGTTTAGGCCCGCCTTCTTATGCCCCGCATAGATACCGACCCACCGAAGGCCACACAATTAAGTTAACAGGACAAATTTCTTCAAGACCGATCTATCTCCAATCTTTTACCCTCGACCCACCGAAGACCTTACAACTACGTAAACGACCCAAGTTTCCTCAAGATCTAACTTCGATCTTGAAAATTTAGGGTTTATGGTTTAGGGTGTCGGGTTTAGGCTTGTTTTGGTCACCAACACTGACTACTTTACTAGATGTGTCGCCCGGTTTGGGTCAACCAAACTGGCTATTTTTTTCAAATGCTTCACGGTTTAGGGTTTAGGCCTGCTTTTTCAGTTTAAGATTTAGGGTTTAGGGGGCTTAGTTTAGGATTTCAAATTTTTAGAATCAGGGTTTAGGGCCCAAGGTATTAAACAGCAACTGGCGGCAGCAAATCGTACTTCTTCCCATCTTTGACAATCAAGCACAAATTGCTGGCAACAAATCATACTTCTTCCCATCTTTGTCAATCAAGCACAAACTGCTGGCAACAAATCACACTTCTTTCCATCAAACACAAATTGATGGCAACAAACCGTACTTCTTCCTATTTTTGACAATCAAGCACAAAGTGCTGGCAACAAATCGTACTTCTTACCATCTTGATCATCAAGAACACATTGGTGGCAACACATCGTACTTCTTCCCATCTTTGACATTGGTGGCAACAAATCATACTTCTTCACTTCTTCCCATCTTTGACAATCAAGCATAAATTGGTGGCAACAAATCGTACTTCTTCCCATCTTTGACAATTGGTGACAACAAATCGTACTTCTCCCCAGCTTTGAACATCAAGCACACATTGGTGGCAACAAATCGTACTTCTTCCCATCTTGGACAATAAAGCACAATTTGCTGGCAAAAATCGTGCACCTTGCCATGCCTCGCATAGATATCGACCCACCGAAGGCAATACAATTAAGTAAACAATACAAATTTCTTCAAGATCGATCTATCTCCAATCTTTTACCCTCGACCCACCGAAGATTTTACAACTGCGTAAACGACCCAAGTTTCCTCAAGATCTATCTTCGATCTTGAAAATTTTGGTTTTATGGTTTAGGGTGTCGGGTTTAGGCTTGCTTTGGTCACCGACATTGACTACTTTACAAAATGTGTCTCCCGGTTTCTGACTATGTTTTGCAAGTGCTTCACGGTGTAGGATTTAGGCCTGTTTTTGCGGTTTAGGGTTTAGGGTTTAGGGTTTAGGGGGCTTCGTTTAGGGTTTTCAACTTTTTAGAACTCAGGGTTTAGGGCCCAGGGTATTAAACACCAATGGGTGCCAACAAATCGTACTTCTCCCCATCTTTGATAATCAAGTCCACATTGGTGGCAACAAACCATACTTCTTCCCATCTTTGACAAGCACAAATTGCTGGCAACAAATCGTACTTCTTCCCATCTATGACAATCAAGCGCAAAATGCTGGCAACAAATCGTACACCTTGCCATGTCTCGCATAGATACCGACCCATCGAAGGCCATACAATTCAATAATTAATTCAAATTTCTTCAAGATCGATTTATCTCCAATCCTTTTCCCTCGACCCACCGAAGACCTTACAACTACGTAAAGGCGACCCAAGTTCCCTCAAGATCTATCTTCGATCTTGAAAATTTAGGGTTTATGGTTTAGGGTGTCGGGTTTAGGCTTGCTTTGGTCACCGACACTGTCTACTTTACTAAATGTGTCGCACGGTTTGGGTCAACCAAACTGATTATGTTTTGCAAATGCTTCACGGTTTAGGATTTAGGTGTGTTTTTGCGGTTTAGGGTTTAGGGTTTAGGGGGCTTTGTTTAGGGTTTCAAATTTTTAGAATTCAGGGTTTAGGGCCCAGAGTATTAAACACCAATGGGTTTCTTCCCATCTTTGATAATCAAACACACATTGGTGGCAACAAACCATACTTCTTGCCATCTTTGACAATCAAGCTCAAATTACTGGCAACAAATCGGACACCTTGTCATGTCTCGCATAGACACCGACCCATCGAAGGTCATACAATTAAATAAACAATACAAATTTCCTCAAGATCGATCTATCTCCAATCCTTTACTCTCGACCCACCGAAGACCTTACAACTACGTAAACGACTCAAGTTTCCTCAAGACCTATCTTCGGTCCTTAAAATTTAGGATTTAGGGTTTAGGCTTGTTTTGGTCACCAATACTGACTACCTTACTAAATATATCGTCCGGGTTGGGTCAATTCGGCCTGTTTTTTCGTTTTGGGATTTACGGGGCTTAATTTAGGATTTCAAATTTTTAGACCTCAAGATTTAGGGCCCAAAACTTTTAATAACAAATCATCTTTCTTCCAATCTTTGATAATCAAGCACACATGGCTGGCAACAAATCATTCTTATTAGAAATTTGGGATTTTATCTGGGCGATTCAAAATTTGGAGCTTAATTATGCATTCAAATCATTTTATGAGAATAAGAATTCCATTTTATAGATCGTAAATCCTAAATCATAATTCTTAATATCAAATGAATTCGTATTTATTATGCTCGCGCATCAGATTCCTCAATAGCTATATCTCGAAAATATTTACCTTTTAAATTTTTCATTTCTTTTTGTTATTTTTTCTATTCAATAATCAAATATGTCATCGATAGAATTGATGAATCCCCTCTAACAAAAGATATTAAAGCAAAATTTTAGAAATAAAATTTCGTAAAAAATCTCCGATTTGCCTAGAATTATTATCAAATTTTTGAACGTCGAAAAGCCTCAAAAAAACACGAATGCAAATTCCTATTATATGTCAATAAAAAATTTCGTAAAAAAGGCAAGATATCTTCGACTTATCCAAATTCAGGCTTCCAATTTCTAATTGATTTAATTTTCCTTGCCGAAAAGTAAACCCTTGTAAACGCTTAAAAACCCTTCTAAACATTATATGAAACCTTCCATATTAACATGGAACTATACATTTCTAAAACCCTCGTAAACACTTCTCAAACACTTCTAAACCTTCCAAACCCTTCTAAATCCTTCCGAAACCTTCCTAAACCCTTCGAAGCCCTTCTAAACCCCTTATAAAACTCTTCTTCATCTGTCTAAAAACCTTCCAAAACTCTTCGAAACCCTTCGAAACCTTTCTAACCCTTAGAAAGGCCATTAAAACCCTTCTAAAACCTTTTGATGCAGAAGCGCTCATTGGAGCCCCGACAATCCAGGTCTTGGAGCCCCAATAGCACCCATCACCGGGGCGGCTGCTGGTCTGACGAATGACGCTTTGTTCACATTCTCCAGAGCCCAAATTCGCGTCAGCGGAACTTAAGAACAGCACTGACCTCTGACTTGTCCGGAAGCTTTCTGAACCAACGCTCGCACTATAGACCTACTACATGAAGCTTCATGGGCAGTCATATACACTTCGAACACAGCAGCCACTTGCCAGTGTTCGCTTTCTACGTATGTCGGAAATGAAAGATTCCAGTTTCGGAATTTGTGTCTAAGGATTACAGTATTCCTGAGCCTGCACCTTCAAAAACAGCCGGCGCCAGGGCCTCGGTCGAGAACGGGCGAACGGCGCCCAAAACAGTCGGGACTACACAAGTCAGGACCTTACCATTGCATTAGCCTATGCGAAGAAACTCGACCTGGTCGGTGAGTTCGGGCCCCTTTAAGGTCCTGGGAACTCAGAGTTGAGAGGCTTCAAAAGTCTCCTTAGGGAGAAACGCCGGGAAACGCCTGTCAGGCTCTCACAAGTTTCGTGGGAGCACGCTTGCAAGACTAAGATTGTAATCATGTGTCGATGGCTTCGTTGAGGGCCAAAGCCACACCTCACATGAACATGAGGATGGCTTAGCCTGCTTTGAGACTTCACCGGCTTCCAAGATCATCTCATCTGCTAGCTTCCTGGCCGGGTCCTGGATTCAATTTTGTCAAGCAAACTCACTCCCCATGCTAGCTTCCTGGCCGGGTCCTGGATTCAATTTTGTCAAGCAAACTCACTCCTGGGGGGATCTCCAGTAAACATATTCCCACGGAAGGCACGTTGACAAGTGAGGGTGGTGAGAGCGACTGAGATTCACTCCTTTGGGGGCTTGCGGTGGGGTGGGGGTAGGTACGGCGCGTGAGATTCGATGTTTGAAAGTCTATACAAGTAGTAGCTGTAGCTCTGGGCGGGATCTGTAGGGTTGGATGAGATTGAGTGTGACAAGAGGGTGAGTCCTCATCCTCCATGTGCACATCCTCCGGCGGCTCATCAACTTGAAGCGCATGAAGCGCCTTTTGTCACCGTGCATGGGCATGGGGGGGGCACGGAACGACCTGTTTCCACTGATGCTTCATGCGCAGGACCCCGTGCAACAACCCACAGAAACAATACCTGTGTCAAACATATCTCTCAGACTTTGCACCAGAAAGCATCCATCTACACCCTATACCTTTTGCCAACAGCCTGAACCCCAGACCCGGGAACTCAAAGGGGCCGTAATTTAGAAGCCTGATACCAAGCCCCAATTTAACCCTCAACCCTCTATGGCATAAGGACTCATAGCGGGGGAAAACAAGGTGCTGCGAGTTGGTATTACGGGGCGCCGATATCCAAGGTCCGTAGTGCCCTAAATCCTGACCTGAAACATAAACCCAATTTAAACAGTTCTAAATGCTGGAATGAATACTGGAATCGACTTTAGAACTACGAAACTTCTGCAGTCGAAGGCAAAGCCCTAAACCCTGCAAACCCAAAACCCAAAATCCAACTGTGATCCGGGCATTGGTAGGGGCGATCATGGGGATCTCTTCCGACTCCTTGCACGTAAGCGCTCATTAGGCGAGCGTTCAGGGGTCTACCTCGGAACTTGCATCAACATCCCAATCAATCAATGGGGATTCTGTACAGGTGTAGGTTTCAGTTTTGTTGTTTTGCTACTCGTGTTTTTGGGGGGACCCTTTTCCTAGCAAGGGGCCTTTGTGTAGAAGGTACCTACAAGGGAACCACCCCAAGCCCTGAACCTAAACTGAAACCCCAGACCGAGCATGCGTGCTTGGGTTGAGAGCCTAGGGTGCGGGCGTTCCAGTTAGTTCACAAGGTTCCAACGGCTGGCTCTAGAGTATTATTAACCCAGAGTGAGGAAAGTGACCAAGAAGTGAGGTCCATTGAACTAGCCCCGGTGACACGGTATTATAAGGAGTGAGTCTGTGAACTAGAGAACTTAACAGGCAACTGTACACCTTGAGACCCAACCTCTGTTTCCAAGCCACTAATCCCCTGTTCACGGAATCTTCCCTATGATTGAATGGTTGAGATCTGGGCAGGGTTAGAACCCCCTTTCTTCAGCCGAAAAATGCCGAAAACCTGGGTTTGGGCCAGATGAGGTTACGTACAACACCAACACGCCAACACACATATCAACACACATATCAACACACATCAACAAACATCAACGCACACACACATCCACACACATCCACACATACATATATCGCGTTGCGAGTTGATGCGTTGATGCATTGTTCATGCGTTGCGAGTCGCGGTGCGATGCATGTAAACCTCAGCTATAGCTAGGCTCCTTCATGTTGATGTTGATGCGTTGCGAGTCAATTGATGGACGCGGGATGACGCGGGCAGCGGGGGGGGGCGGGCGGGCGCGGGCGGGCGGACGGCGGGTGGGCGGGCACGGACGCGGACGGGCGCGGGCGGGCACAGGCGAGAGGACGGGCGCGGGCGGGCACAGGCGAGAGGACGTCGCAAAAAACCTGGTTTTGGGGTCGGGGGCGGCTACTTTTTGTTCGTGCAACGAGAATAATAGTAAGACTAAAGAAAAAGTATAATATCGCAAGACTATGAAGGATCCCCCCAAGAAGAAATCACAACTGAGGGTTCCGATTGGAGACGCTGCCATTCTGGGATACAGGGAAAAGACATGGGAGGGAGGGAGGGGAAGAGAGGTGAGAGGGAGAGGGAGCCTGCAAGGTATGCCCCCGAAACCCTAAGCCCAGCCTTCTGCGCATCGACCAGGAGCTCAATATGAACGCTTCTCGTCCTCATGTCATTCATGCCTTGCAGCTCCGAGATGCAATCCTTTGTGAGACAGTTCTTGCTCAAGTCCATCTTAGGGCTCTTGTCCCGCGTCCGCTTCCATTTTTTCAGAAGTGCGGGGTCCACCACATCAAAGAATGTGGATGCGTGGCCCTGGTCGTGCAGGGCCACCCAAGCTTTGAACAAGATCTTGGCGTCAGCGTCTTGAATGTCATTCTCCTCATTTTTTTTGCTCACCCTGAAGCTTAAACCATTGTGCCATAGACATTGAACCAAAGCTGAATCGGTTTTGGAATGGTTTTGGACTGAATTGCGGAACACGACTGGGATAGCATGTTGGATTCCAAGCTTAGGCCAAGGGTTTTGGGGTCCAGAGTGTAGTCCAGGCAGCCGCCAAGAGAAGCTCTTTCAACCCTAAGCCGGGTTTGATTTCTTTGATTCCATCGGCGAGAACCTTGACTCCGGCACCTGCAATCTTGTTCTGGCTCAGATCCAAGCTCTCCCAGGGGCAGGAGGCGGCGAATGCCTTCTGGAAAAGAAGGCTCTTGAGGTACCCTAAACCCTAAACCCTAAACCCTAAACCCTAAACCCTAAACCCTAAACCCTAAACCCTAAACCCTAAACCCTAGGGTTTGGCCTTCAGGGCGGTTTAAGTGTCGGAGTGCTCGGAAAAACTCCACTCCAACAGTGGTCTGACCCTGAAAACATCTTATGTTTTCAGCTAAACCTTTCGATAAGCACATCTCAAAGGGAATTGCTGTTGTGCTTCATAAAACACACATCTGATCTTAAACAATCACACCCCCCCCTGATGATCAAAACTTACAATATGAACTATTTCAGTTCTGTTTTATTGTTTCTTGTTTTGGGATTTCCGCAATAAGCAGCCCACAGCCTGACGTGTTGTCTTGGGTTTTCGTGACATTTAAAGAATAACAAATAAAGCAGGCAATCAACTGACCAAGAGTAGTATAACTACCCGGGCACGGTCACTTCTTCACAGCGCGTTTGTGCTGGCAGGTGTGGTACGGAGCAAGAGAGCAAATTTTTCTGGATGTCTTTGCGACGCGTTGTCAGCGCAAGATTTGGGCATGGTCGCCAAAGGCATGGACGCTTGTGACAGCTTTTCTTGCTCCACATCCTTGTGCAGTATGTTGTACAAAGAGGCAAACATGCTGTCCATACCAGTGTTTTGGGCATGATCGCCAAATGCAAAGACGCTTGTGACAGCTTTTCTTGTTCCACATCCTTGTGCAGATTTTTGTACAAAGAGGCAAAAACGCTGTAAATACCAGTGTTTGGGCATGGTCGCGAAAGGCATGGACGCTTGTGACAACGTGTCTTGTTCCACATCCTTGCGCAGTATGTTGTACAAAGAGGCGAAACGCTGTACACACCAGTGTTTCGGGCATGGACGCAAGATGAATGAGGTCCTTATCAACCCCGCCCCCCTTTCCCACCCAAAGCCCCCCGAACCAACAGGAACCGTGAAATCGAAGGAAACGACCAGTGAAATGAAAGCGTGTTGGCCAGCTACCCTCGTGAAATAAACCAATACAACCGGTACAATGAGCCTGATGAGTGAGTGAGTGCGTGAGTGTGTGAGTGAGTGAGTGAGTGAGTGAGTGAGTGGTGAGTGAGTGTGCGACTGTGTGAGAGTGAGTGAGTGAGTGAGTGAGTGAGTGAGTGTGCGAGTGTGAGTGAGTGAGTGTGCGAGTGTGAGTGAGTGAGTGTGTGAGTGAGTGAGTGGAGAGTGAGTGAAAGTGAAGTGTGTGAGTGGTGCGAGTGTGAGTGAGTGGAGTGAATGAGTGTGAGTGAGGGAGGAAGGAGGAGGAGGAGACGAGGAGGAGGAGCAGGAGGAGGAGCAGGCGGGACAGCCCCAAAAACAAGAACCCCACACAAAGATGCGGGGAACAATAGAAGAATGAACAGAACTAACAAGACGATTATGTATTTGTTGGTATTGTTAAGTGTAGTTCATATAAGTACTAGAACTAGATAATCAATGTAACGGTTAAAAATAATATTAGTTACAGTATGTTAACTGTAAAAAATAATCATATCAAGTACATTTGCCCTGATTACATGCAGTTCATTCATTTGGTCGGTGAAAATTTCGTTTTTTCGAGCCGGATCGGAGAAAAAACCATCAAGGTTACCATACTCGAGCCGGCTCAAAAAAACAAACGCAAAAACAAAACGCATCGAATGGCACGAAATGGGGGGGGGGTTAGCAATCAATTATTTTATATGTACATACACATACACTGTTTAGCCTCGAATCCACAGTGTTGGTTTTGGGTTTGGATGTTTTTGGCTTTTTCTTAGTTGAATTCCAAAGAACATGAAGGACAACTACTGGGACACTTCGCGTGCGCGCGGAATCCTCAGAAAAAATGTTAGAGCAGACCCTCATTCTCACTTTCACCCTCTTTTTGAGAAGAACCCCCCGCCCTTGTTCAAGAGGCCGTTGCTTTTACAAACACTTCTTTATGTTTCTACTGGTCTTGGCCGCTGTCTAAGTTGAGGGTGTTTGGGCACTAGGATTCTTAGGAGGCTTGTGTAACACCTTGTGCTAGTGGTTGTATCTTCTGAAGCCTTTTCTGCCCAAAACAATAGGGTATCATATGGACCGGGAAGCAGAGGCATTACACCAGGTCTGCCTGGGAAGCAGCGGCATCTGACTGCAAGCGTTGTAAAACGTAAGTAGGCCTCCGTGAGGCAGGATTCTGTCCAATGGGGTCGGGAGCGACCGGATCGATTGCATCCTGATCTGTGTCTGTATGCCTTCGTCCTATGTCCTATGAAATGCACTTACGTACTTAAGATCATCTGGATGACGGAAGAGATGTCCTAACTACCCGCAGCTGCGAATAAACCCGGGATGGGGGCTGAATACTCCTGGATGAGGAGCAGGCCAGACTAGCAAGAAAGTTAGTAGAGCACTCTGCATCAGTGGGGTTGATAACCCTATGCTGTAGGAAGACTTAATTTTGATAATGCGTCTCATTTTAACAATATTGAATCCAAGTGAACTAGCTGTGGGGACGTAAGCTGGGCACTTTCCACAGAGTACAATAAAGTGGCCTGCACCATGCATCGGTAAACAAGAAGCCTCCATGAAGGAGGCAAACTAGACTGCGAGAGTTCAATCGTTTGGACGGTGAAACCGCTTGGGAGATGCAGTAACCTGAGTGTTTAGAATTAACGCAAGCGTCATCGCTGAATGAAGGTTCCCCAATACTTTACCGCCGAGGCAAGAGGAACAACCAGGCCTTTACACCCTTTCCCTAGGCAATGTGGGCAGTCGCAAAAACGCATGGTATCGGCAACATAATAAAATATATTGGACTGAACCAGGTGCAGCAGGCGGTTGAGTTAGAGGAACGCTGTGTCATCAGTGTAGAACGCGGAGCGATGCAAACCTCAAAAAGTGCAAGGGGCACAGGCGGGAGCACGATTTCCACAAAACGCGCACGGGGCCTAGGCGAGAGAGCGACTCGACACCATCCACGAAGCATAAAGCATGTAATTTACGATGTGTCGAGGCCGCAAGACATCCGAAGTGGCACCCGCGCCTGGGCGGGAGTGCGATTTCGTCCACAACGCGACCACAGCTCCAGGAATAATGTCAGCGTATCGCACGCAAATCGATCTAACACTCCTTTGCTCGGAACGTGAAAACTCCTGGTGTTGGCAAACTGCTTGGGGAATTATAGAGGGATTTCCCGTAAGACATTGTTTGGGAGGGGGGGGGGGGGGCCTGATACTAAACCGAAGCAGCAGTAAACTCCAAAGGCCAAAGCCTGGACGAAAGGCTAAAATCCAGACGGTAAGCGCCGTCTACCTCTTCGTCTGCCTTTAACGCACTCTAAGTCTGCATCGCAAGCAGCATCGCCTCATGTTTTCTGTTGAACCCAATGTCCCCATCATCGTTTCTGTTGTATACTCTCGACGTGTTAGATTGCAAGCAGCGTTCCCATCACGTTTTTCTGGTCTTGACACTCTCCAAATCTTAAATCGCAAGCTGTGTCCTCAGGGCCTTTTCTCAGGCTAATACCCTCTAATTTGGATCTCAAGTCGTTTCCCCACCGTGTTTCTTGCGTAAATGAGTAAAGGATGTCAACATGCGAAATTACAAGCAGTGCCCTCATCACCTTCTCCTTAGCCTTTGAACCGCAAGCAGCGTTCCCCCTCGGTATATCTGAAAATCCGAAGGGTTCTGGCAACACCCTGGTGTCCTCAACATAAAGCGAAAGAAAGCGAAATATTATTGTTTGTAAACCCGTGAGGTGCCCTCAAACTCAATCTGAGGGAATTTTCATTAAGCCTGGTGTCCCCAACCTCAAGTACGACAGGCTCTTCTTAAAACCATGGGTGCTTGCATCATGAAAAAGGAAACGTCTGACGCCAGCACTCGCAGGTGCCCTCAAACTCAAAACGGATTTGTTTTTGCATGAGCCTTGGTGTCGACTTACCAACTGACAAGCGTCCACAGCGTCCAGCATGGGCGGCATGGGGTATCTAATGCTTTGTACGGGTCGTAGCTTGGGCCCTACGACTTCGCGATCAGAAAGAAGCACTGCTCCTCGGAAAGCCCATATGTTGAACTATTCCCTACGGACCTGCTGCCACCGAAACCCTGAACCTTGGTTCTTTAGGACATCAAGGCCTCGGCAATGGGCTTCATCTCTTCATCGGCCAGCCAACACTGTTGCAGAGACACCTTGCTGTGGTCGAGATGGGGTTGAGGGGTTTTTTGCTGGACTCAAACCCCGAAGATGCCCACAAGCCAAGACTTAAAGACTTGAGTTCAATACCGAAAAACCACCGCAGCGAGCCCCAGCGAGCCCCCCACCTTCTTCAGGGACGGGATCCAGCAGAGACGCCGCACAAAGGCCCGAAAACCCCGATCCCCCCGATCATCTGCAGCTGTGGCAGCTGTGAGCTGGTCTAAACGGCAATTGGTCAGCTTCAGCTGCTGTAGGACCCGGAAGGACTGCAGGGAATCGGCGAGTATGTCAATCTCGCATGCTGGCAGTTCGTCCAAGTCCAACTCCCGAGCTTCGCTTGCTTTCCTGTCAAAGGCATTTTGCTGCGCTGCCACCAGTGGCAGAAAATCCCCTCGATGGGTGAAGTGAACCTGTGCATTTCTGAAGGTCTTACCGCAAATCCATTTTGAAGTTGGTTCGGGGTGGTTTAGGGGACCTTGCCCATCCTTGCCCCATACACATCTTTGAATCGAACTTGACTTTGGCAAACCCCCACGTCTCCCATGGCAAGATCTCGACGGAAAGCTGCTGGTCCTTTGGGTGCGCATCGCACGGATGAGTCTCGGTCCAAGTAGTGGCCAAACTTGTTGGAATTTCGCAGGCTGGACCATTGTGATTCTGCGATGCACCATCCGCGTTTCATATACCTGCAGGAAAGTGTGAGGTACCAAGAAACATCTCAGCAAAGAACTGAAGACTCACAGACATTTACAGACTGTAGATGGCTGCCATGTCACTCGGTGGTGTTCTTTGTTAGCTCACTTGGATCTCGATCCATAACTTTTCCGGAGTCTTTTGAATAGACTTCCACGCTGCCCGTCCGGGCAGCCTTCCAGTTCTGAGGAGTTAAGGATCGCACACGGACCGTGTGTGTCCACTCATGTGTATAGAGCATGTCCATGCCCTTCATAGCAAGACTGAAAGCATGCTCCTGATGCCCGCTCTTGCGCTCGAACTGATACAAGCTCACATAGTCGATGAAGACACCGAAAATCTTGCCTTCTGCACGCTGTAGAACTTTGACGAGCTCCGCCAGCTGAAACCCGTAAGGATCAGGGTGTTGCATTGTTTCCCAGACGTGCGACAGAGACACCACACGCTGTTGTTCCTGTTTTTCCTGTGGGTTCTGCCGCATCCGCTGGCACCAAGCAGCCACCTTGGCAAGGTCAAAGACTCAAAGATGAAGAAAACCCCAGCAAGATACATGAGATTTGATCAGCGGAGAACCCCTATTTCCCCAATTTTACAAACCCTACCAGGGTACTGACCCCACACACGTCACAAAGCCCCGTCCCCCTGCCTAAGAAGGATCCCCAGCATGCATCCCAACAGGAGGGTTCTCTCCGGCAGAACTGAGACGGACACGTAAGATGCGGGCCCTTATTTTGGTACCCTAAAATTGAACTCTCATGCACAATGATTGAAAAATGCCATTTAGAGCCCTTGAAATCCCTCGCCTCTGCATGACTCAGCAGGGCCGGCCGCCCAGATCGCATCCTGATCTTCTCTGCTTCCTGTCTTCGAGGCCAGAGCTTCTTGTCATTGTCTAACTCCAGCAAATACTTCACATTGACGAGCTTGATGTCCTTGGGTAAGTTGCGGATCAAAAAACCAGTCCCACAATGTCCGACATCACAATCTTTTCCGGATGACGGCCTAACAAACCTGAAATCCGAGTGTCCGAATCCAGCAGAAAGGTCGCCAGCAACATGGGATCCTCCAATGACTCCATTGGGTGCCTCCGTGCCCGGCAGCCCACAGCACACACAAAGATGGAGAGCAGACAAATCGACATCATGCTGTAGGCAGCTGGGCCCAGGAAGGCATAGAGGTCGAGGTTCTCGGACGTGTCAGATCGGCTCAGCCATCGGGCCAGAATCATGCTCCCAATAATGGGGAAGCTACATGCCAACATGCCTGAAGCAACCCGCGCGACGAAGGCGGTGTAAGTCTGGCTCCAAAGAGGTTGCGTGAGCGCTCGAAACCCCAGCTCCCGCAATCGAAAGCAGCTAAGCTCGAAGCGGATGATCACCAGGACGAGGACGGCGAAGAAGTTTACCAAGCTCAAAACAAGGCCGGCTACAAAGTGTCTCCCATTCACCATGTCTGGAGAGTCATATGTTTCCTCCAGGTGCCATGCGTTTTCAGTTGCACTAAAGAACCAAAGATCACTGAAGGTGTCCCCATCGCGATTGCCACCGTGCAGCCAGATTCGGCCTTCCACAAGGGCTCCGGCGTGGTGCATGAGCGGCCCCGGCTTTTGGCCCGCAACCTTGACAAACTGCCACGTCTCCTTGCGGACATCGAACTGGAAGAGATCAGAACGATGCGGTACACCTTGGGTGTCCCCATGCATCCACAAGAAGCCGTTCTCAAAGAAGGCGACATGGCTGTGACAAGCAGGTCCAGCTGGCAGCTCCTGCCAGCCATCGCGGACGCTATATGACCAGGTATCTGCAAGAATCCGCCCGTCCCTCGATAAGCCGCCATGCAACCAGATGGTGTCCGAGTTGTAACTTGCCATACTTACCAGAACATGCCAACTGCGTGGCTCGGGCATGGGCCCATCTCCGACTGACAAATTTTGCCAGCTTGCCCTGCCTAGCCCGGTCAGGTTGCCGAGCCAAAGGTCACCGAAAATGCCTTGCCCTGCACCGCCATACACCCAGAAAACACCATCAGGGTGCGGCTGCATGGTGTGAGCATAGCGAGGTGAAGGCATGGACTCTGAGCTTATCTTCACCCAGGCCCGGTCTGACAGGTGCCAAGTGTCACCCAAGATGCACGCGTTGGTACGGCCCCCAAAGAGGATGATCGAGGGGCCGAAGGTGCCGGTAACAAAGCTCATCGAGTGGTCTCGGCGTGGTATCGGTGGCTCCCCCAAGGTTTGCACCCGGCTCCACTTTACCACCAGGTTCTTGGGATTGTAGAGCCAGAGCTCGTTGACCTCCTCGGCATATGCAACGGGACCATCCCGCAATGCTGCGCCTCCAAAGACCCAAAGCCTTTCTTCAGCGTCCGGGACCTGCAACGGTGAAAGGCCCAAGGTACCCAAAAAGACATGGAGTTTAGGGCTTAAATGGTTTTAGGAGGTTCGAAACCATAAACCCGAAAAACCACCAACAAAAACCCTCTAGGCCCCATATGCCCCACCATGGCATGGCCAGCGCGGCGGGACGGCACACCGCTCACGGTCTCATAGCAGAGCGCAAAAAACACCCACCGCAAACGGCCAAGCGCCATGTTTTCAAGCTCTGCTGGAAGCCCTGAGCCGCTCGCGCCTGCGGTTTCTCCATAAGCCGCATATAAGCCGCAAACACCAAAATTTGAGTTGGATAGGTGCTTGTCTGACTTGTCCACCGTGATTTCTTATGTGGCCCTACATCTGGGACTCTTCTCTTTGATGAAAGGCTTTTTGGGGGGACTGTTCTTTCCGAATCCTTCCAAAAATCAATCAGAGTGGTTTTGCCAGAATCATGATTATTCATTCATCATTTGCCAAACCAAATGAACAGTCTTGCTGATTGCCCCACACAGCCGCGAAGAGGCCAGGAAGGTTGTTTCGCTCCTACTGAACCAAAACTTATCCTAACTGAACGAGAGCACCGAGGGTAGGCAAAGCCCAAGCAGCTAAGTTGCGAGAGGCCTTGCAATCTGACAAAGGTGATGAAGGTTGCAAGCAAAAAAGTCTGCTCGGCAAGCACACCTTTCACACACTGCAAAGCAGCTAGTGCCCCAAAGACGGGGAAAGGCTCTCCCCATACTGAGCCTCCGGCTTCCAAGCGCATCTCATCTGCTGTGCCGCTGGGGAAGCACTGAGGGGCCGTACTGAGGCAGTGGGGCAGAGGGGCGGGGACGGCTTGGGAAAAAACAACCTTAAACCTCGATTCAATTTTGTCAAGCTCACTCGTCAGGGGATCTTCATTAAACATTTTACCACTGAAGGCACGTTGACAAGCGAGATTCACTCCTTTGACTCTGGGGATCAACGGCCTTGTTGGATGTTGGACGCTTGTCGGAGCTGAGCAGGAGGTGCCCCAGTTCTCTGGATCCAAAATATCCGCATATCCCGACACCATCGAAAGGAGACCGTTCTGTTCTTAAAAACATGCTCTCCCCCTTCACTTTTGCTCTTTGCGCTACTGTTAACACCCGGATTGTCAAACCTGGGATCAGCACGAGTTTGCAAGCTTCGGGGAGTGCGAAACATTCTGTCGGGTCCGCTGAGGAATGAACTGGAGCAGCATTTCAGAGGCAGGCCAACGGTGCCACGGTGCCATAGGAGCAAGGCAAAGACCGACTGTTTTCCGCCCAAAGCCTACCGGTGCAGACGGCCTGGCCCTGCGGCCGTAACCTCATTGGGTTGCGGCGGCCCTGAGCCAGGTGCAAACGGCGGTTTTTTTGCTTCACACCGAGGAGAAGGACACGCCCCGTGGAGGCGAAGCGTGCTCTGGAACCAAAAATCACCGCCAAAACACAGCCACTTAAGGGATCGACACCTCTGCTCACTCAGTGAAGCTGAGAGTCAGCAAACCGCTTGCCTGGAAACAGAATCTCTCTCTCTCTCTCTCTCTCGCTCAGGAAGAGGTGGATGTCTCGCCAGCTCCTGCAAGGAAGGAAGGGTCCTTGTCAAAGTTCAGGTGGAGATGTAAGAGTCTGGTGGATGAGGTTTTGCTGGGACGCCGTGGTCTCGGAAGTTGACTTTGACTGCAAGAACTGCTTGAAGATACCACATGAGTCTGGATTAATTTGAGAGGTTTCGTGAAACCTCGCGCTCCTCCAACACGGGCTCCCGCCTGGCTGCAGGTATAGGTCAGGTCGGACCAGCTACCAACTGGAGTCGAAGACGAACCGTTTCAAACCAGAAGTGGTCATCAACAGTGTACCAAAGCACGGCCTTTCCAAGAGTCATACTGGAGCAAAAAGCTGTAACTTCGGCTTGGCCTGCGGCCGAGAGGCGTCTAGGTCTCCTTCCCCCCAAACACAACCCTTCCCCCCAACGGTGTCACTCCCCCTCTACCTTGGGACCCCCCCCCCCCCCAGATCGCTTGGCGGAGCTGCAAACCGATGCCGTGGGGGATCCCGCCTGTCCGGGGGGGGGGGGGGGCGCCCCAAAATGCAAGAAACTGTGCCTTTTTTGGGGAGCTCTTTTTGGGGCCCTTTCTTGGGACCCCTCCTAAAACCTTCCCTGGGACCCTTTCCTGCGACCCCTGGACCGCTGCCGAAATTCCTGGACCCGCTCCTCGTCCAACCTTCCCTAAAACCTAGATTCCTAGGTGGAGTTTTTTTTGGGATTTGGTTGGGACCTGCTTTGAAAGGTTTTTGGAATGTTGTGGGCCTTAGGACATAGGCCGGCCCGGCTGCCGAGGCGGCCCGCGCAAGCGTTTACAATTACATCTCTCCAGCACTCCAACAGCCACGCCAGATCAGCATCGAGCGGTCTTCTGGTGCAACAGGCCGCCAGCAGCTTCGGACAGCGCCTGGAGGGAAGGCTTCCACTATTGAGAGCATTGCGGAGCCCAGCGCCCGAGCCTGAGCATACCCCAAAACCTGGAAGGCTGCTGCAGGACTCTCGCCAGAGCCTGGCCGAACCACTCCAACAGACCAACAGACAGTAGAAGGTCTTAAATCCCCCGAGCCTCAATCCCGGTGAAACACCCAAAGCCTGGATGCCAGCGGCACCGATGCGGTTGTACCCAAGAGATATCATGGTGATGATGTCTCGTGTTGTGCGCCAGAAGCTGACTGCGAGAGCCTGATTGCAAAGCTCCAAGAATCAACAGAGTGCCAGTTTGGAGCCACGTAGTTGCGTTTGCAAGCTGCTGCGGAGCCTGATCAAAGCTCCAACAACAGAGTGCCACCACGTAGTTGCCAGTCGGAGCGTCTTGGCCCCATCGTCACCAATGCAATTCATGTCGAGCAAGATCGCAGTGATTCTGATAGTGGCATGAGTCAGAGCATCGGCAAGAGCCTGTTTCAGCACCAAGGCCATTGCACAGCCAAGTGCAATCGAAATACCTCAAAACCCCGAGCCTTACACCCGGTGTCCCCGATGGAACTGTCACGGAGGTTGATGTACGTGACGGTGGAGTTCTGCTTCAGGGCTTCCGCAAGGGCCTGACAGGATGTACATGAAGATTCCTGAATACAACCGGCACGTCTGAAACACCCGAGCCTTAGCCCCGCTGTCACCGATGGAATTGCCACGAAGATCTATGTGTGTGATGGCCGAGTTCTGCCTCAGGGCGTCTGCCAGGGCCTGACAGGAGGTCCATGATAAGGCTGCACGGCACGACCGGAACATCTGAAACACCCAAGCCTGGATGCCAGCGGCACCGATGCGGTTGTACCCAAGAGATATCATGGTGATGGTCGTGTTGTGCGCCGAAGCTGCTGCGAGAGCCTGATTGCAAAGCTCCAACAACAGAGTGCCAGTTTGGAGCCACGTAGTTGCGTTTGCAGTCCGGAGCGTCTGGCACGCCCGAGCCTTGGCCCCATCGTCACCAATGCAATTCATGTCGAGCAAGATCGCAGTGATTCTGATAGTGGCATGAGTCAGAGCATCGGCAAGAGCCTGTTTCAGCACCAAGGCCATTGCACAGCCAAGTGCAATCGAAATACCTCAAAACCCCGAGCCTTACACCCGGTGTCCCCGATGGAACTGTCACGGAGGTTGATGTACGTGACGGTGGAGTTCTGCTTCAGGGCTTCCGCAAGGGCCTGACAGGATGCAAATGAAGATTCCTGAATACAACCGGCACGTCTGAAACACCCGAGCCTTAGCCCCACTGTCACCGATGGAATTGCCACGAAGATCTATGTGTGTGATGGCCGAGTTCTGCCTCAGGGCGTCTGCCAGGGCCTGACAGGACGACTCCAACAGCGCAGAAGCCAGGAGAATCAAAGAACCACACTGATGGACACTCGAGATCAATCGAGCCTCAGCCCCACTGTCACCCATGGAATCGCCACTCAGATCTATGCAGGTAATAGCGCAGGTGTGCTTGAAAGCTTCCGCAAGGGCCTGGCGGCTCCGTCCGACAGGAGCTATAATCACAAAACACGCAAGCAGAACTAAACTTAAACCGTGAACCTCAAACATTGAGCCTGAACGCTAAATCTTGGGGCTTTGGGAGGTGAAGGTTGCAAGGGGTTTCATTGGGCGCTTTGCCTCGTTGCGCTTGAATCCGCCTTCCTCCTGGCACAGGCTAGCCAAGTCTACGCCTCGAACTTCGCAAGGAAAACCACAGATTCCCAGTGCTTCAGCACCTCGGCCTTCGGGGGCAGCTTCTTCAAAGGTGCCTGTGGGCAGGGTTGAGAGCTGAGGGTTAAATCTCAGGGAATACAGCGGGTTGGATCAGCTGGCTGTCGAACGAGGCACCACATACTTCACTTCGTGCTAAGATGCTGGGCTGTGCGCTGCGGACAGACCTTTCCACTGCATGTGAAATATTTCATGTTCTGGCATAGTGTTTAAGATGAACAATACGGTAAAGGAAGTCGGGAATTAAAACCCCCAGAGCCCTAAACACAGTTGCCCAGAGCAGACACACTGTTGTACAGCCTCTGACTGGCATGAAGTTAGAGAGCATCACGCATCCGTCAGAAGTGAGGCACGATGAACACTAGATGTGCCACAGTCTTGTCCATCAGACAGACCCCCTCCTCGGGAGGGCAAGTCTCGAAACGCTTCAGGGCATGGCTCGCAATTCTATGCGATATACAAGGCGCAAAATTAAATGAGGACTTTCTTGTTTTTCCTGAGAATCTTTGTTGGTTCCGGTTTCGCCTAGGCACCGTGCACATTCCGAATCGTGAACGACGACCCTCTCGGTGTTTCCGCGTGGCCCTGTCGCTCTCGCCTTGGTTCAATGCCCCATGCCTGGGCATGCTGCGGTGTGATGGTTGTCCGCCGATACGGAGTCGGATTACCGTCCCTTAGATGTCCCTTAGGGCGCGATTGCAAGCTTGTCTCAAGGACCTTTTGCGAATTATTCCGATCGCCTACATCTGAATTGTACGGGGAAAGGATAGGCTCACCTGGTCGCGCGGAAAGACGAGAACCCTCACGCTTGGCAGAAAGAAGAAGCGTATGAACTGTCGAAGTCTAAGTATCCCCGGAGTTGGGACCGGGCCAGCTCCAATGTGTGTGAGTCTGACTAAGGAATGCCAGGCGCCTCGTCTCGGTAGTGAATCTTGACTGCAACGCAGATGCAGGCCAAGACCATCCAGGATCTCAACTAAGCTCAAAAGAGGTTGGGTACTTCGGGACTGTTTGAGGCCTTGCTTGTTCGAGGCACCTGTCGGCTTTCCTCGAAAGGCTAAAACTCACGGGCCGCTTGAGCTGGAAACAACAACAAGGTCACGTGTGCGTAACGGAAGGCATGCTTTTCCTTACTTGACATGTCGACAACCATAGCAAGCGTGGCAATCTTGTGACCACGCGGGGGACGGGCGGGGGAGGGGGGAGGGGTTATTGTAGACCCCTTTTTTCAAAACGCAATTTTGTGAACAACGCGCTTTTTTTGTTTCTGAAAATTCTGCGTCTCGCGGTCGAGAACTTAGCTTCTGAAAATTGAAGGTTTTGGCGCGTGAAGGTTTTTCGGGTGTTTTTGGATGTACATTTTTGTTCAACATTGTGTTTTCGCATGGTTTTTTGCCATCACATGCAAAAAAGCAATTTTTTTCAGGACTTTTGCGGGCCAAAAGCTACGGGTAAATTTTTGTGTTTTCTTGGCGGTTTTGGGGCTGTAGACGCAGGAGCACACGTGAGCCGTATAGCACGAACGTTGCAACCATTGCATCGTTGGCCAGCTGTTGACTGTGGTCGGTTGGTGCTGGTACTGTCAATGCGTGTTTTGCGCAGACATGGATGCTCTGGCCATTCGCACGCACTGGGAACACGGACGTAATCATCGTGCGGACATGGATGCTCTGGCCATTCGTGCGCACTGACATATAACACGGACGAAATCAATCTGCGGAAATGGATGCTCTGGCCATTCGTTCAGCCTGGCAAGAGGGACGTAATCATCACGCGGACATGGATGCTCTGGCCATTCGCACGCACTGGTAACACGGACGTAATCATCGCGCGGACATGGATGCTCTGGCCAGTCGCACGCACTGGTAACACGGACGTAATCATTGTGCCGGACATGGATGCTCCGGCCAAGCAAAACACATGATTTCGTAGAGAGCACGTGTCAGCAAACATGGTGCGGACATGGATGCGCTGGCCAATGGGTGCAGGGAATGGTCTGAAAACCTAAGCAAAACGCATGTTTTCGCACAGAACACGTGCTCTCTTCCAAGAGTGGCAATGTCACATGTCAAAAACCCGAGTAAACGTGCACTTTGTCTGGCAAAAATGCGTCGGTGGCCCGTTACCGCAAAAAGCCACAAAAATCGCATTTGCCAAAGAAGGCCTTATAAACCCCCCCAGCCAGCCAGCCACCCACCCACCCCCCGGGTGGTGAAGAATGCCACGCCTGCCAGTGTGTTCGACATGTCAAGTAAGGAAAAGCTGCATTCCGTTACGCACACGTTACCGCCGACGACGACAACAACAACGACGACAACCACAACCACAACCACAACCACAGCCACAGCCACAACCCGCCAAAAAAAACGACAATCCAAGGTAAGCCGGAGCTCGCTGGAGAACATAGCCCCACGTGAGACGCCAAGTCTCGGGACACTCGACTTTGCTACTACTTGTACTGGCTACGCTTCAGCCTGGCCTCCGGTCGCACAGCACACAGCCCAAAAGCATCCTAAACCAGGGAATTTTGGAGATCTGCGAGGGTGGTGATGACTCGTTAGCAGAGATGATTTCTTTGAGGATGCTCGATCGAAGGCGACGCTTGAGAGTTCAGGGCACTAAACCTCCAAAGTCTGTGTTGATATCGGGCTCAGAGTGCCAGGGTTCTGGGCTCGGGCCTTGAAGTGGGGAACTTTGGCGTAGTAGGGCTTGGAACCCTACGTAGCCCTGCCTCCAAGCCAACATCTCAAACCCCAGCCATCCCCAGCCTCAGCTCTCGTCAGACATATCTTCGTGACAGTGGCGTTGTGCTTCAGAACTTCCAAGAGGGACTGGCAGGGAGGTCATATCGCAGGACAACCGCAGAGCACAAGTGGAGACTGCGCCTTAACCCCGGCATCACTGATGTCCTTGCTTGCGAAGTCTATCTGCGTGATGCTGGCTGTGTGCTTCAGAACATCCGAAAGGGCCTGGAAGCAGGGCCCAACTAACATGTTCCGCACTCATTGTGGACTCCAGACCCAGTGATGCTTGAGAAAGATTCTGACTTCTGGTGTAAAACTTGGTATGGATATGTATAGAGATCCTGCAATTTCAGCCTTGTCTTGCTGTAATTGGTGCGTTTCGGCTCAATCCGTGGTTGTCTTATTGGCACGTGGCAGGGTCAAAGCGTGCATGGCTGTCTTGCAAACTGGCATGCCTCGGCTCAATGCGCGGCTGGCGGTTGTCTTGTTTATTCGTGCGTGTGGGCTCTATGACAATGAGTGTTTGTCTTGCTTATTGGTGTGTCTCGGCTCAATGCGTGGTTGTCTTGCTTCTTGGCGCGTATGGCCTTAACGTGTGTTTGTCACGTGTCTTGCGTATTGTGGTGCGTTGCAGCTCAATGCGAGGTTGTCTCCGCCCATGGGCGCAGCCCCTTAATATATATACTAATATGTACGCAGGACCTTTATGCGCTGTTTGACGGGTCTGTTTCCCTTCTCAAAGTTTTGAGGATTCTAGCGTATTTAACAGGCCTTTAAAGAAGTAAAAGGCCCCTTGAAGCCTTTTAAACTTTTGAAAGGGCCCTTAAATTCTCCAAAATCAGTAAAACCTCAAAATTTTGTAGAAAAAGTATTTGGGGGGGCCCCAGGCCATTTAAAATGTTAAAGGTGTGTTTGTCACGTGTCTTGCTGTTGGTGCGTTTTCGGCTCAATGCGTACGTAGGTGTCTTGCTTTTGGGTGCGTGCGTCTTCAACGCGTGGCTGTCTTGCTTATTAGTGCGCCTCGCGGCTCAACGCGCGGCTGCCGCAATCTTTCCTTGTTTGTGCTACAGCCCGAAGAAAGGTTCCGAAAAGTCGAAAAGCCCGAAAAGCCCCGAAAAGTCGAACAAGTTGAATAATCAAAAACTTTTCGACGTTTCGAGTTTTGTTTGCATTCTCCACGTAAGGAAACCATGCTTTGCCACCCCATTGCTAACAGCAAGCAAAGCTTTGAAGAGTGACCAACCTTAAGCCCCCTCCATCATTTCGCCCCAAGCTCGCCAAAACCCTGGCCCAAGCCCAACCTTGGCCATTGCCGTGCCATCTGAGTCGCCTGCAAGCCTGATCTCAACTTCCTTGACATGACTGTGTTTTTAATGCAAGATGGGCATTGAAAATTTTAAAAAAGTTCCCGAACGCGGCTCCAAATGAGGCCCAGTGTCCTCGAGAGCTTCGAGAGAGACCAGTGCCTGCTTTTGCAGGCGTCAGCAGATTGCATGGATCTTGTGCCCTCTTTGCGTGGCCCACACAGACCCCCCCCTGCAAATAACGAATGCCCCAGGCCTGCAATGTGCTATACTGCCAATACTGCTGGCACGCCCTGCCTCTCCCAATTCCTGGGCCTCCTTCTCGCCAACTTCAACTTTCCGAATTCTTAGCGCCCTCAGTTGCTTTACTTTCGTCAGCTCTGCAGCGAGCTTGCTGACCTCGCTTGCTGGAACGTGCTCGAAGACGGCCTCCTGGCAAAGGTACGGGCAGTGAACTCCTGTTGAGCAAGTCAGGGAGTTGTTGGTACATGTGCTTCGCGTCGAAGGGCATGCATTTGGCACAGAAATGTGTGCTGTAGCCATAGTTGGCAGGTGCCGAGCCCTGAATTAAGGCTAGGGTTTGGGTTTAGGCTAGAACAGTAGGACTCCTGGCTGTGCACGAACTTGGCCTTGTAAATCTGCTTGTGGAGATGGGTCAATAACTCCTTGTCCGCTTCATCTTTGAACTTGGCGTCCGCCATCCAGGTCTTGAATGACTCCGGCGTCATAGGCACTCTGTATCGACTGCAAGCATGAGAGTCAACCCATTGATGCTGGGCAGGCCTGCCTCGCATAATGGACCACTCGACTTCAGCTCTGCACCACCCTCGCTCGAAATAGGGGATGCGATTTTGTTTGAGGTTGTTCATGTTGACCCTCTCCACTTGGCCTGTCAGCTGATCGTAAATCGGCACGTGTCGCTTTGCTTGCCAGACCGTCTCCGGGGTGAGACCCTCGACAATAAGCGTAAGACTGCACTCATGAGAGAAGAGTTTGTGCATGTAGCCTTTTGAATTATTCCACGTGTTAGGGAAGTGAAGCACCGACACATAGTCATAGAACACCCAGATGTCGTCGTCATAGGCTGCATCATAGAGCGAGATGCAGTCCACAATCTTCTCCAGCTGGTATCCGCACGGGTCTGGGTGAAACCTGCTTTCCCAGCAATGCGAAATCGAGCAAATCACTGCCGGCTTGCGACCCTCTGACCAGTCGGCCACCTCCTCATGGGTCACCAATGCCGATTCCTGTCCATGTAGGGTGTAGTATTTAGGTTTAGGGGCTTCGGTGAAGGGCTCGGCTAGGGTTCAACGCGTAGGGTTTTTAGGGGTTCTATCAACACTTGAAACGAGAGGAGAGCATAGCCGCCCCACACCTGTTTTCCTTTGCAGATGCAGTACTCAGGCTCTGCTTCCTGGCGTCGGGGGAAGGGCAGCTTCCCAGCTTTCAGCGTGTAAAGGTACCTGAGGTCACTATGTGATACTACGTGCCCAAATTGAAAACCAAAAAACAACATCCAAAATTGTGCGGCAGCCGGGGCACTCCGCACGAACCAGGCGTATGTCACCTTTCTTCAGCGCTTGAGCCAATGACTTCATCTGGGCCCGGAGGGCTGACGTGGCCTGGCTGTTGTAGAACAGTTGACAGGTGGGGCTTGAAGATGCACGCATATTACTGGGGATGCCATGCCTCCAGCCCAGTGCGGAGTCCTGAATTGGCACGAGTGCCTGCGCAGACAACGAACAAGATTCCAATCAGGCGAATGTGTTCACACACATATCATTAGTTGCACTGCTGCAAGCGGGTTGTGGTAAAATGCATCGGACGCTGACAACTCGACATCCCAAGGTCAGCAACTTGCAAGTTCCGATAGGATAACCTCAACCATACAAACCATATCCAGCCCAGGAGGAAAGCACTTCCACACTTCGAAACCGGCGTCCAATCACGGAATCTCAAGCTCACCCCGCTTGTATCTCCTTTCAATGTCTCCCCTAGCAACCTTGTACACTTTCGGTGCCTTTTCGCGAGATCAGCAGATTCTCATCGTCAGACTCATCAGCGTACTCCAAATCCGCCATTGGTCCTTGGAGTGATGGGTTGAGTTTATTTCTTGGCAATCAAGTTCCCAAATCTTGAAACCCTTAAAACTTCGTGGACAGAGCTTTGGGGCTGGGTCTTTGAGCTGCCCACACCTGAAAACCGCGTACCGAGTGTTGATCCTCGAGTCGCCCACAAACGAAAATCGCGTACCGAGCGTGATCTTCGAGCCACCTTTTGGCGGCGCAGGGTGCATTTGGCGTAAGCTGCGTAAGTAATGCGTAGGCCGCGGTCTTCGTTTCCAGCCGAGAACCCAAGTAAGGGTACAATGCATGCGCAATGGCCGCATCCTGGATTTGCCAAGTGCAGTAGGCTTAGTCAGAGCAGCTTGGGCTGCATGTAGCTACCGCACAGCGCCGAAGCGAAGGAGCTACATCATCCTATGTTTAAGCATTGCCTGGCTTCCAATCGAAGACATGGAAGTGCCCAATAACTGGATCATGAGAGCCCGTGACCATTCTCGAAACACCATGAGAGCGCAAGGAAAACAACAACGATCTAGCACGTCTTATAACTTCTCTAGCGCATTCTCCCACGATTGTCACGCGCATGCAATTGCTGCTGCTGTAAACAGCAGTTGTGTTTGACTGTGTGCATTCTCCCGACGAGCCCCGAAAGCACGCGAAGAGCTCCAAGCGCACTCCAACAGCATGTTCCCCCATTGTTTCCCCGAAATGTCTGGCTGCAAAACGAACGAATGGAAATGGAAAGCCGAGACAAAAAACATGGACAAGGAGAACCAGTGTCCAATCGAAACACAATGTGTGCGCAAGGAGAGCATCAACGATTTAGCACGTCTTAACTTCTTTGGCTTGCGCATTCTCCCGCGCTTGCCATAAACATGGTTGTTTCTGCTGTAAAAAGCGTTGTTGCTTGACGCGGGAAAGTTGACCGTTTTGGCCAGAGGAATCTGAAACCCCAATGAACGCAGAGGACTCAAGAAGTTGACGAGGTCGACTGCGGTATCCTTCCCCCAATGACCGCATGGATTTTACAGCCCCAAAAGCATGAATTCGTTGCGAAAGTATGTAAGTCTCAAAGGACCGCTTAGCCCAAGCACCCCTCTGTACATGATGAGGTTACATCCATGCTCGTCAGCGGAAGCGACTTTTACATCTTCTTCACCCCAGTGACTACAATGATCCAAACAGACTGGGGGCGACAAGGGCCGTTGGGAGTATCGGTCAACCCTCAGTCGCTTGTGTCCGCGAGGAATTGCACTGTGAGCAAAACTGCGACTGGGCAAGGTCAAGCCCGGCAACTTCTACACGGATTTTCACAAGAAAAATTTGCAAGACCGGCGACGGCCACAAGCCAACCTGCCTTCATCATCGGGGTGATCGATGTGCACAATCCCACTCAAGCAGTCCGCATACCAACAAAGGCGCTTCAGGCAGGGGCTATGTCTACCGGAAGAGGAGCTATCGGATCCACGGGGGCGGCCTCATTTGACGAACTTTCACCTGCAGAAGCAACCCTGGTATCTGCCAACGCCTTGACGACCCTGCAGGTTTATCGATAGGCGTGGTGTCGGGGTTGAGGGCTACGATCTCTATATCTTTGAGCACCATCCAGGCGGAATGGCATTTTTCTTGTCAGGCGGCCAAGAGTATGCTACCGCTAGAACCTTGAGCATCGGGCATACATGCATTAGTGCTGGACTGCTATGTACTGCATGGCTGAGGTTAAATCGTCACTCCGCCTCCCCAAAGCCCCTCAAACCAGCAATCCTAATGCTCTCTGGCAAGCTCGCTTGCCATCATCTGGAAGTTTGGCTTCAAGGTTTAGCTTAGGATGCCCGGTCTGCAGCGTGAGTTTTGAGTCGAGCCGCTCGTTCTGGCATCGCGGCAGTCAGCTTCGCCTTGACAACAGTCCTTCCACGGTTCTGCCTATCAGTCCGGCTCTCTACTTGTAAGCACTGGGTCCAACACCTAGCAAACATGGGCCCAGCTCCCGAAGCTTGACCAAGCCATATGCTGGGGAAAAAGGCAACGCCACGCTTACACAAACTTCACTTGACGCGTCTGGAAGTTTGGTCCAGCGGCGAGGGTTTATGAGGGCTTGTTGAACCGCAGGGTGTGGATGGATGGTCTCATGTCCTGGGCACGCTTGCAGCTGCAGCTGTTGTAAGCACCCATGGCTGTCTAGCAGGTGAAACCACGGAGAGGTGAAGGAATGTTTGTGCACTGTCACACTGTACCTGTTGATGGACACTTGGAGTTGTTCTTTGTAGCCAGGTCCTCCACTGAGCTAAAGTTTCAAGACAGATCCGATGGGCTGCAGATCTTTTCTTGCGCCGCGTGCCATTGACAGGGGGTGATTGCAAACCAATGCCTCACCAAATAGAGGAAACATCGCTACGTCTCAAGCGGCGTCTCTATTTTGGGGTTGCTGTGAGTAGCTCCAGGGCACCAAGTCTTGGAACGCGATGCATTCTTCGTAACGCTCGTAAGCCCTGACCTCTCCATGGAGTCGACACCCCGCAAAGCCCCCAATCTTCAATTGATCGAATCGGTAGAGTGTCAAGGTTGGGGGTTTAGGCTTCAGGCTTTCGGGTTCAGGGTTACGGTTTTCAATGAGCATCCACATCTTGCTTCAAGCGAACCCTAATGCATCGTCGAACCCCCCTTTTTTCGTTCTGCCAAGAACCACTCTCTCATTCCACAAAGTGCCATTCGCTGGGAAAATCTTGCAAACAAGGCAGCAGGCTACGCTGTGCCAGACTTCAGCAGCAACCATCAAAGTTTGACGTCGATGTGCTCTTATTGCTCATGACATGTCAACTTGTCAACGGCTGCAGAAAGTATCCTCTTCTGGTGGTCACTTGACAGCCCCCACAGTCGTGCAAGGGCATTCTCGAGGTCCTAAGCACTGTTGACATTCTTTGACGCAAAGATTGAATTTCAGGCTGACGTAGACCGTAAGGTAAGGATTGCATCACACACACATCGGGCCTTCGATGCCTACCTTTCTAGCCAACGAGTAGGGCCGGGCCCCATCCTTTCTAGGACTAGGGCACATTTTGGCCACTGGCCGCTTCTCCTTGAAACCACAACTTGCCAACGACCGAGGATGCCCATCTCCAAAGTCATCTAAGTGACTAGAACCCTCAATGCTGAAGCCACAGAATTTCTCCGCACCCCAAAGTCCTCCGGTGTGCATTGGCCCTTGTTCACCGTCGATGTCATTATCACTTCACTCCACATTCCTTGGCTTGTTGACATTTCAACAGGGATCATGGGAGGCCGACACTTTGCAGAAGGGTTTGGGTTTCGGGCTTGGGTTTAGGGTTATAAGGCTTCAGTTTTGCTGTTCAAAAGCTTGAAGCTGAAACCGTTCCAATACATAGCCACAGAGCTCGCGCACTCCCCCTTTGGCAGGGATTTTGGAAGCAGCACCTGGCTGGTTGCCAAGGCACACAGGATCAGGAGGCCATTTGCCCGAAGCATCTTTTTCGAATCATCATCGAGGCTCTTTCCCGAATCATAATTTAGCATGTCAAGATCGATGCACATGGTTGTGAAGTCGGCATTTGCACCACTGATCATGTAGCGCTGGTAGACCTTGAGGTTGGCGCGCTGCGCTTGTGAAACTCAACCGAAAAGTTTTGAAGAGTGTAAACGAAACCATTTCTGTCTTTCCAGGTTATAAGCCCACCTTGCATGCCCAGGCACTTGGTCAAACCGCATGGCCTTGCCCACCAAATATCGCCAGAACTGGCTGGGGGTCCAAGGCCGCTTCAAGCGGATGGTTTAGACCCCTATTTTCCACACTGGTTTCAGGGGGTGAGGCCTTAGTGGTTCTAACATTGTTCATTTTTATTCTTAGACATACTTAGACTTTTTTTATATTTACACTCATACATCCACAAACAAATACATAGCAGAAGGGTTCCCGTTTAAAGAGTTGGGGGTCTGTGGGTGGTGTGGTGACCAAAACCAGACAGCAGCCGCGAACCTGAATGCTCACAAGAGACACGGAGACACAGGGTCCAGGTTTTTGGTTCGTTTTGTTATTTATGGTTTGCAGAGGCTGCGGACTATAAAAGCAGGGGTTGGGGGGGCGGGGGTGGGGGCGCAGCTCCCCCATTTGCAAACGCAATGCTCGCATGATGGGTTTCAACATTTGAAGCAAGCTTGTTCGACTTAAAACACAATGCTCGCATGATGGGATTCAATCAGATTCATATGTTTTCACGCAAGCTTGCACGGCTTCAACAAGCGAGGGGATTGGGGGGGGAAGGGGGGCGCAGCCCCCCCCCCCCCCCCCCGTTTGCAAACACAATGCTCGTATGATGGGTTTCAAAAACTCATACGAGTTGAAACAAGCTTGAACGGCAAAAAACTCCGGGGGCCCCCCATTTCGAAAACACCGCAAAAACCGTGGGACTGTCGGTTACACCGCACCGAGATCACACTTACGGAACGCCTATTTCTCGGCACCTACACCGCGCCACGATCACCGCACTTACACAACACAGCCAACTATACGCATCCCTTGCAAACGTCGAACTGATTGCTTTCGGGCCCTCGGTATCTAGTTGACATCCGCGTCTGTTCCCCTCTCAACTGCTTTCATCATCCACCTCTCTCTCTCTCCCTCGCTGTCTTTGTTCTCTTGACATAGCAATGCAGACAAGGTAGCGTTTCAAAGCGCGCTTCGAATCACAGCGACGACCAAGTGAGAAGCCATAATGAAAATACAGCATTCTCATTCGTACGGATGCCAATCAGCATATTACAAAGAACAATGTTAAGGTAATTTACGCGGTTTTGCATGTTCCAAAAAGGTGAAAAGTGTCTGCCCCAGGAAATTTGCGGGGCACGGCTCCAAAACGATTCAAAGGCAAATTGTGAGGCTTTGGTACGTTGAATAAGGGTTGTAAAACGACACGCTCCTACGTGTTTTGCGAGGTTTTGGCACGCTGAGCAGCCCCAAAACGATGCCTTGCAACGCTGCTTGCGAGGTTTTGGCATGTTGAACGGTTCCAAAATCATGCATTCCAACATATTCCACCGTAATTTGCGGGGCTCTGGAAGGTTGAAGAGAGGTTTCCCTGAGCATTGCAGGCATTGCATATTCATTCCAATCAAGCGTCCTCCTAGGAAAATGTTTTCCTGGTCCTTGGGACGTGGGGCGGCCCTGCTGCCGACACGGCTCGCGCAAGCGTTTACAAAGTTTACAACTATTCAGGTGTGCTCAGCAGCGGCGGCTGTCTGCACCGTACTTCGCCCTGGGCCCACATGCAACCCCTGGACTGCACGTTGCACGCAGAGCCCTCCCACAGCTTCACGGCGACCGAATGTCTTTTTGCTGCCTGGCCTCCATAAGCCCGCATCTTTTGTTGCGAAAGCCTCGGTGATGGGTTAACGGAGAATGTCAAGAATTTCAAGTCGCATGAATGCAAAATGTTGCTGACAAGTTTGCTTTCGGCACAGGAAGTTTGCTTCGACTCGAGGAAACGCTGTGATGTCAGCAACTGTGAAGGCACTGTCACTATTCATAGCAAGCCTTGCATGCTCCAGTTGAGGCCTTGTACTCACATTCAATGGAGATTGAAAGTTCATCTTCTTAGACCCGACTCTCTGTTGTTTCTGTGCAGTAAAGGCGTGAACCACGAAGCTTGGAGATGTTATCGAGATCTTGTCGTCCTCAAAAGACCAAGAAATCCAGAAGTGCTCATCCTGAGAAGCTTCCACGCTACCAAAGGGGTTTAAGGGGTTAAGCTGCTGCAGGTAAGCCCTATTTCGGATGTACAGATCTTAGGGAAGTTATCAGCTAAATCCCTCACAAAAAGCCCAGGGTCTGCAGTCGGCCTCAAAAACTTGAAGTACGCACCGATTCTGGCGACGCTTCTCTGTCGAAAGCCTAGAGGGGCATAAGCCCTTGGCAAGTATCATTTTGGACAGCTCCCCTAAACCCTAAACCCTATTTCCCTCAAGAGGCAGGCACCTGGGAGCTGTGGGTGCATGTTGTTCACGAAGCGAACCTCATCCACATTGTGCACGAAATCCGCGAAGAAGTGAAGGCACAGGTACAGAAACACGATCGCCAGCACAAAGATACTGATCACCGCCGCCATGATACCCAGAGACTCCGAAGGCTCGATGAGAAGAAACACGGCAACTGCGCCTAAGTTGCCCAGCTTCATGGCCCCGGAATCATGTATGTGAAAAAACCATGCTTGAAGCTTTCTTAGGTCACGAACGTTGACTTTGTCTGTGCTGGATTGGAAGTGGAGTGGATTAGGCTGGGCCCGGTGTCTAAACAAGCATTTTTTGCCAGACATCGGACAGACAATGAGTTTGCAGGACCGCATGCATCCGTAGCTAAGACTACATGACTACAGTGACTACACGCTGCGTCATGCTACAAAGCTCTACTACATGGCCATGGTTGTCACCCTTACAACTGCCAACAATAAGTCGAATTTGCCAGCAACTTGTGTCACACACTCTGCCAGGACTGCTGTAGCACCCGCCAACACTGCTGTGCAGAAGAGCCACGCCCATCAACCCACCACTGCTGACATATTGTATCACATGAGCTTAAAGAAAAGCTTGGTTGTGGCTAACAACCAAGAAACTGAACATGAGAAATCTCGCGAAAAGAAGCATCATCTCCAGAAAGTCTAGCAGGTGAGCACGTTCGTTTGAGTAAGGCCTGAACGCCGCAGCCAAACCAAGCTGAAAACCTGCAGGATGTTATTGTGCTTCCGCCTACGCACTCAGAGCATCCTTAGGTCGTAAACCACTAAACCCCAAACCCTGGGCCTGCAGTCTCCTGGTTTCGCAAGTCCGGCCTGAAATCAGGGGAAATAGCAAAAGTTTGCTCTCTGTCTCCCGCATGATGAGGGACGTGTACGCCACAATCATCATCACAGCAATGTCTATTCGCTTGACCAAGATGTCCCACAAAAAGTAATCTCGCTCGTAGCCCAGGTAAAAGTACCCATACTTCCTGGCAACTGAACATGCTGAAACCCTTCAACACTAACAGACAAACAGCCCGGATCCTTTTGTTCCTGCATTCAATCGCAAGACCAGATGAACAATAGGGCAAAGCGTCCTGAAATTTTCAGGCGTGTGCCGATCTTGTACCGGAATCCTGTGAAGTGATACTCCTAGAATGATCACGAAGAGACCGCAAACTGCCAGGCCCACGTACGCAATGATTTCCTCGTTTTGTCTGGTGTGGCGATTGGGAGCCAGAGTTGAGGGTCTGCCCATGTCTGCCCAAGAAGAAAGCTTGACACGAGAGTTAATGCAGGTTTGTTGGCTAGATTGCTGCCGTGCCTGCTTTGCACCTGCTTTATTTGCTAAGCAGTACTCCCATGCAGGAGGGCCGTAAACGAGGCCCAAGGCCAAGGAACCGGGCTGTCAAACAAGACCCCCATACAAAAGAACTTGCAACAGGCCACGGGGCTTTGCACATTATGTTCAAAGGCAGGGCGGCTAAGCAGCAACAAAGTAGTTCTCATCACATGTACTGAGCCGTAAATTGAATTCCAAGTTCGCGCTGCTGTTTTGCGGGATCTTCAACGACCCTGCGCAATCGATTTGCTAAATGATGCATTTTATGCAGCATGACATAATGCCGCGAAACATGAAAAAGCCCCCCAAGTAGTCCGGCCGCTTAATCTGACCAAAAGCGTGAAACTCAAATCCACAAAGCGCAACGGAGCTGCAGAAGGTTTGTGTTCAGGAGAGGAGCACTCCTTGGCAAAGATCCCGAAGCTTCCAGCCAGGTTGTTTCTTTCCGTGCTTCCGGCTCTAAGCTAAACCTTGTTCTGGGCAACTGGCATCGTTCCTCCACTGCAGCAGGGCAAACTGTTCATCCTGCTTTCTGAATCAACATGCAGCCAAGTGTCAACATCCGGGCTAGGCACCAGGCGGTTCACGAATCGGCCGTCCCCTGCAAGCCGAAACTCCGGGACTGGGGCCCCAAACGCCCTTGAGAACAAAACCCTAACGCCCTAAAACCCCAAGTCCTCATTACCACACCAAGGCCAGAAAGCCATCAAATGCCATCAAGCCAAGCCCTCTAAAACAAGCCTGGGACTGGCACGCACCAAATCATGCGAAGGAAGCTGGACAATAAGCTCGGCCAGAGATAGTAGAGGCCAATGCGCAGGAGAAGAAAACCTGAGACAAGGAAGATGAGAGCACAAAGTCACTTATCTGGGAGCGCCAGCTGCCCACATCTCTAAGCTTTCTGACCGTTCTCAAGATCAAAGCACGTGCAGGGCCCAGGAGTGAAAATCGAATCGAACAAGATAAAACTCCGGCACGATGTAGCAGGGCGACTGGCAACCGCACTTTCAACACCCGATTTTAGGGTTCAGGGATGTTCAGGGTTTAGGGTGGAAAGTTTCGAGCCTATGGGGCTTCAGGGGCATCCTCTCACCATTCAACATTCCAGTAGAAATAACTAGCCCTCGGGCCCTCGGGTGCTGCATGGCATGCAACACTTCTGACTGCTCTTCAGATCAAAGGTACTCACAGAATCGGACTGATTCATCGGGTTCTCTTGGTCTTCAGACAGGTACTCGACATGCGCCCACATCGGGCTCTCTTGCGTTTCCTTGGTGGGCATGTGGGCAGGCGACCAGGTCTCCTCTAAGTCCCTCTTGACGAATGCTTCACTAATAGTGAGGTTTCGGAGTGCGCACGGAGTTTCAGAAACAGTCACGAGGATTCACGCCACAAGGGTAAGTTGCAGGAAACTCAGGAGGGCGTGCCGGAGTCCATTTTCTGGATACCCTGTTGGAGGCAACTTTCTTTCGCCGTCTTGGCTATACAGCTATACACACATCATCAATCTCGGAGCAGGACGCCATCTCAAACTCAGGTGCCATGAATGTTCCTGCTATTTCCTAAACTGATCTAGACCGTGAGCCTTGATAAACTCTCCAAAAAACTCGCGACTCCCACCGCACCGCCTCCCAACCTGCTCCCGTGGTTCTACCAAGCTGCATCCGTGCAATCTCGGGGACAAAGCGCTGCAATGGTTTGGGGTGCTTTCAGAACTCAGGAAGCTCAGGGTCCTCCTCCCTGAAAATCACGCGAAAGCACGAAAGCCCTGCCAGAACTCAGCCTCTGCGGGGGGGGGGGGGGGGGGGGGTATGCTTCCAGGCCACAGCGAGCTTGGGTGCCTCACAATGCGCGCTTGGGGCTTGGGGAAAGGGCTTCGGGTAATTGTTGGGGCCAGCTGGAGCATTCAATTACGAACGCAAGCGTAGCTGGCACATGCTGGCACTGGTGCCGTGCGCGGTTCGTGGTGCCAAAGAAACGCTGCAATCCAAAGCTTAAGCCGCACGGACACCTCCAACACTCCTCCAAGTTAACCTTCCTGGGAGACTTGCTGGCAGCTCGGATACTCCTAATGGGTTCAGGCTCAGGGTGATGTCTGGAACTCACACATCAGCCAAACATTAGTTCAACGAGTTCAACGCCTTCGGAGCATCCGGCCTCTCGGCCATGCGGCTGGCAAGCCGCAGTTCGAAGCTGGATTTGTATGTCCTGCCAGCTTGGAGAAAGCGCGTTTCGGCCCTTGCGCACAATCCTAGACTTTGCTCTCTCGAACAGCAGCCTGAGGCTGCTGCTTGAGGTGCCACTCATGCCTAACACGCCACGATGTCATCATCGTGTTGTCATGAGACCTCGTGTTTTCATCCGAGTGCGGGCCTTGTGGTCAACGGCAGTGGGACTGGTCACGGGTGTGTGTACAAGCACCTTGGCCCCATGTACACTGCGGCATGTGCGACATTGTTTATAACAGCATCCAACAAAACTCCGAACCTCTCCATGCCTTGGCGCTGTCACTGGAGGAGGCTCTGATTCAAACTTCCACCCAAGTATACGTTTAACGTAGATGCGGACCGCATAGATGAGGGAACAGAGACCGAACAGAACAAGCGTGAAGCAGACCGGCAGGCACAGGTTGTAAACACCTGTCAAAACTCCAAGGACAAGGGTTCTTGAGGGTGGCTTTATTTAGGCAAAGGTCAGCAACGAGTCCGGAATAAAGACAGGCCTACGAACACAAGTTTGATGGCGTTGTCTCCAGGGTAGGACTTCTCTGCCTCACACAAGGATTGCGGAGTTTCCCACTGAACCCCGAGCAGTGCCTTTGGTCCCAAGCTGTCAGCAATTTGTTCTGCCTGGCACATCAATGCGTAGTCTGTAGAGAGCGTATTCGGAATCGTCACGGAAAACAGCGCAAAGATGCTGAACATAGTGCTCATCACGTCCTCAGCGCTTGGTGAACTGAATTGTGAACATCTAAGGATTTGAGCCATTTGCTTCGAAGTCTTATATGCCTTGTGTTCGATCTGCGGGGCCCTGCGGGGCTGTTCCAAACCTGCACCAAGTCCCAAACCCTAGTTCAAGGCTTGGGGTTTAGGGTTCGGTGTTCAGGGTTTAAGGCTTAGAGGTTACGATTTGTTTCATGTTTAAGGCCATAGGCCTTGGGGTCGAGGGTTTTTTTGGGTTTAAGATGGTTTCTTTAAGATTTGACAAAGTTCCGCGCTCACCTGTGTTCCCGGCAGCCGCCCTTTTCGAGTCATGAAGCTGGAAAGTGGTATGCAAAGATGACAGTAATCCTGTAGTACACCACTTAAGGGACTCAGGTTTGTGGGGTTTATGGGAGCCCTGGAGCAAAAACCTTTAAAAGGGTTCAGGGTGGAGGTCTATTAAGTATTATCTTAGCTTTCCCTGTCCGACCAGCGGTCCCAAAGATTTATGGCATGCTGCGCCAAGACCTGCGCGCGGCAGGTACTAGAGGCTACTACTTCCTATAAAGTCTTCGTCTTGCTGCATAGACCACGTGATGTGTTTCTGGCAGGACATGCCAATTCATGTGTATACACGTGTCTCATATGTATGTGCGCGCACATAAAAAAAAGCAAGATGAAGAAGGTCTCAGCCCAGCTGCGGAAGCCGGGAACACGATGCCCATCTTCTGAGCGAAGCCCATGTCGACCGGTGCGTCTTGGCTTCTTTTTGAAATAGGCTTTGGGCGAAGTAGCGCTTGGCTGCTTTGGTCTACCTGACAGTTGCCAAAAGCCTTGGTTAATGGATTGTGCAAATTTTAAGTGCTGCTACTGCCAACAAGGTTTCACTTCACAGGTGCCCGAAACCCGGAACCAAACCAAAAAACCTAACGGCCGCGAGTTTGAGGCGACAACTAGCCGAGTCTCCCCCACTTAGCGTCCCCAAGACCGTTGCAACTGACCGCAAGTTGTCCAGGTCGAAAATGGTGAGGATCGAACCTTGGAAGAGGGTTGATTGCTGAGGTTCAGAACTGGTTGACAAGCAAGATACGAACTTTTGCCTGACACACGCGTGCACACCCAGTCGAAGCTGGCTGGGAAGATCCTCAACACTTGCTGAGGGATCTCCAAGCCATCTGATTTTTTTCCTTTCCTTCCTCACTAAGTAGTACGGCAAAACAGCGTTCTCACAAACGAAAGTGGTCTGTGTTATGTCAGCGTCCAATCCAAGGCACTTAACGCAGACAAGGAGACTGGGGCATAACTACCCTATAAGCATACAACGATATGGGGGAAGTTTGGGAGGACAACAGCGAATATGAACCCAAGTACAGCGATGATCAAAAGAAAGGAGGAACATATCACATAAGTGCATGTGCAGGAGAAGGCGCCTCTTCTCCCATCACAGAGAACTGCAAGCGTCTTTGCTGGCGCAAGACTTGCAGTCTCCCTTGCACCCCCAGCAACTTGTATACGCAGAACATGGACCGAAGTCACTAGTGGTAGATTTCTAGTCGCACACACACACACACACACACATTTACACTTGATGCAAAGTTGGAATCTTGAACACTGAGTTGCTCGTGTACCTGAAAAAGAGGAAGAAGAAGTGTTTGTGTAGAAGAGCAAGTGCATGATGAAGAGGCAGAGGTAGATTCTTAGATGAGTGGTGTTTTATGTGAACATGTGTCGAGGCGATGTTTGGGAAACATGCTCATCACAACCACTGCCCTCCTCTCTTCATGCCGGCTTGCCTCTGCAACGCTGCAACAAACATGCTGCACCATACTGCTGAGCACATCCCGTCCTCTGCTTCCCATGCTTCAATCTTGCTGGACCAATGCACATGCTGCACATGTTCGAAAAACATTCTGTTGTCCATACCTGGCACCTCCTGCTGCAAATCCTGTCCACTCTGCCCCACCAGAACAACAGCGATGATGGTTCCAATGCACAGTAAGATTGTACATGTTGAACATATCACTACAGGCACACAGCTGGGCATCTCCACCTGCTTCACCACGAACTCACGGGGGCATCTTTGTTAGCAGGGGACCCATAAATCGCGCTCTTGCCCTGCTGGAATGTTCCAAAAATGTTCTGGTTGTGGTTCCCGGAGCATGTGTTTCCAACACACACACACACACATCCCGATGAGGCAGGAGGTAGGAGAAGTAGAAGAAGTAGAAGTAGAAGTGGACCTTGGGGGTGAGGAGGTAGAGGTGGACGAATGGAAGAATATGTGGTCGTAAACACTAAGGAGAAAAAGCACGCGAAAACGAAGAAAGGAAGGAGGTGGACGCACAAGGTGTTCAGATGATCGTGGCCACACAGAACTGGTCATCACACGTCGTCACATGCTCGACGCCACACGGAACTGCACATGATCACGCGTGAACATGCCGAACTGTTCTGCGTGTGTTTATGCCCGCTCAAAACGAAGCGCTTGCCCTGTTGGAACTTGCTGCACTGGCATGTAGCAGGGGATGTGTCGACCTTCTAGTTCTAGGGGGAATTGGTCTCTGCGTATGTCGGGGCCCCGAAGGGCTCTTAGCGCGTCACAGATCAGCTCTTTGATGATTTGCGCACGCATACATGGATGAACTGCCTCCTCGGTATGTCCCTGATGGTGTATTCCCTGGCTCCAGTGTGGGGTAGCAGTGGTCGGTTGAACGCTTCATGCTACAGCCTGCTACATTCGACAACACAGTGGCATGAGGACTCTGTAAACTGCTCAGCCTGGGGCCTGACTCTCCATTCCAGCTTGATGGTTCCAAGGAGTGCTCCCGAAAAACACACGTTCGATACAACTGCTCAACGCGACTGCACCGCAAGATTGCACACGCAAAACATGCTGCACAAAATCATGCGCCACAAAATAGGTGCAACTCAAATACCTGTTCGTGTCGGTGTGCTTTGGGAAATAGTGAAACAACAGCGAGGATGGTAACATTGCGCGAGGATTTGCAGTACATCACATAACACTGCAGGTATGTAGAAATGGCGTCCCATCTCCATATATGTATATATATATATATATATATATATATATTTCTTTATATCACTGTGCACTGAGAGCGTCTTCGTTGGCAGGAGACTCGCAGGAACACTCCTGCCCCCTGCAAAGATGTAAAACCAGAAAATTGTGTTCAACAAAGATAACATGCGTTCCATTGCGATGCTGTCTATTGGCCGTTCTTGCCGAGTTGAAGGAACTTGTTGTACAAACCGCATGTATAGCGGGGTGCCACACACATACAGACACACACACACACACACACCTACCTCTCGGGGGGTTGTTTCAGTCTGGTATGACTTTTGCCATATTTCCTCATGAGGAGGTCGTCGTAGTTGATGAATGCGAAGTCTGTGTTCACGTACTTGAGGATGTCTTGTGTTTCTTGTTGTGAAGTTTTGGGCTGCAGTGTGCTCGATATTGTTCTTCGTCACGTACTTCGTCACGCAGGCGCATCCTGCACACTTGGCACGTGTAGACTCCGTCTGGATGCGTTTGATGTTGTCTTTAAGTAAGCCCTCGTTCCGACAAGTTTGGTAATGACTTGGTTTGTCTTATTGGGATCATGCCAGGCATGGCATCGATAGACTTCTTGCTGGACGTTCTCTTTCTCGGCATTCTGGACCCTAGTTCGAACCAAACGAGATTGGCGCACTCTTTTCTCAAATGTTAACATAAAGGGCATCGGGCGGAACACGTTCTTTTGATGCCGCATGGTGCAATGCTCCGAAACTGTGACAAAGAGACAGCTACTTGCTACGGTTTGCCGATTTCGCATGGTCGATATTTCTGGGCTGCGGTCTGTTTGTTGTACTCTCGATGTTTTCGCCGTAGCTGATTTTGCCACATTGCAGCTTCTGCTAGACTCTGCCTTGCATCTTGTCCGGAGAACCCATCTACAACCAGCACCCAACAAATGTGCTCACCTCCTTGAACATGCAGATTGCGCTTCTTGGCGGAAATAACACCCCAGTCCTTAAATGCAGTTGTTCCTTTCTGGCCCAGAAGCATACAGTCCACCACTGCGCAGCCATGCGCTGGATGGTGGCATGTAGCTTAAGGCTGCCTGCAGCTCCCCTCCAGTCGAAAGCAACTCTAGCATACAGCCCCTGAAGCTTTGACTTTTCAGCAAGTATGGGTTGCAGATTCGCCCAAAGCCCGAATCCAGCCTTTCGCAGCAGCGGAAGATGCCAACCAGGCGACGAGGGAGGCGGTGACGGCCACCCTTCACAGCTTGCTTCTGGCATCAAGCTGGAAAGCCCATGAAAGTTTGGGGTTCAAGCTAAGCTTCGAGGGTTTAGGGCCTCCAGGGCACATGGAGTTTGCTGCGTTAAGACTTCAAAATATGCACACAACTACATATCATGTACCAGGGCATATGAAACCTCATCCCACCCCAACGACCAAATGCCATAGCAGGTAGACCTATACGACCATGCGCATGGTCTCGGATAGTTGCTGACAATGCGTTTATGGAGGCCGCAGTGATGGAAGTGTTCTGTGCTCACACGGATGTTTCAGGCTATATTTTCCTTTCTGGTTCACAGCACAATTACGCTTAATTGAACAGTCGTAGCTGTAGCGATGCTCACGTGCCGGCTGTTACCAGCAGCAATGCCACAACTCCAAGAGTCTTCTCAAAAACATACAGACTGATACTGGCTAAGTGATCTTGCTGACTCTTTCACAAAAAAATCGGAGTCGCGAGTCCTGTTACCCGGCTGGCAATATTGTAGAGTGTGCCACGAAAACCCAGAGGATAAATGATGCGTGGTCATGCTGTGCCGACCCACATGCTGATCTCACAGTGACGGTCGCTGAGTACGGAACGATGCTTACATGGAGTTAACTTGTTCTGGCGATTCTAGGGCATGTGTAAAAATGCACGAGCCCAAACACTCCCTCGAAACACACCCCTGGGCACTGGCACAACACTTCGTACGCCAACTTTGGAACTTCGAAACGAGAAACTCACAAGGCAAACAGCTAGCAGCTAGCTGACATCCAAACGAGCGGAAGCTTCTTGAGCTGCGTGCATCAGAGATCAAGAGTACCCTACCGTGTGCAGGGGCACCGTAGCAAGCCAAAGGCGGCCACAAAGATCAGCCAAGTTGTCGTGTATGACGGGCAGCGCTCGCATGCGGCCTGCAAAGTTTCGCTCGGATTCATGCCTCTGACCGTGGAGCCTATAATATTGAGGGATCCGGGTATACGGCAAGGTCAACAAAAAAAGGCATGCTGACAAGGAGCTGCCCCTCTGCTGATTTACAAGGCGTACGGGCCACAGCTGGCCAAAGTGCGTTTTAACCCAGGCCTGCCACTGTTTTCACATATTTGGAGGATTTCAGGCCGTAAAACTACTTTGAAAATTGCATTACAAACGCCTAAACTTTGAAACGAACAGGGATAAAGCATATCCTTTCTTTCAGCAGGTCGCTTAACTCAGAATCGAAAACGCTACAAATACCAGTGTTTTGGGCATGGTCGCCAAAGGCATGGACGCTTGTGACAACGTGTCTTGTTCCACATCCTCGCGCAGTATGTTGTACAAAGAGGCAAAAAACGCTGTAAATACCGGTGTTTGGGGCATGGACCCAATATGAATGACGTTCTTATCCCCCCCCCCCAACACCCCCCCTGGGTGCGGCTTAAACTGGGTCGAATTGCAAGCTGGTATTCGTATTTACAAGAGGAAAACAGGCCCCAAAACGTATACTTATTTACAAGAGCCAACTGCCAAATAAACCCGATTTAAGCTCCTGGGGGGGGGGGGGTAGGCCGGAATTGTAAAAACTTAAATAATTTAAATAATTAAAAACTTTGATACTCTCCATAATTTGAAAAATTTAAGTAATTTAAATAATTTAAATAATTTAAATAATTTAAATAATTTAAGAAATTGAAATAATCTAAATAATTTATAAGTTACATGCGTTAAATAATTTAAACAATCTAAATATTTAAACAATTTAAATAATTCAAATCCCCAGGGGGGGAGGGGAGGGAGGGGGGCCCGACCCCTCTTTTGTCAGTCGGGAATTTTAATAACTTAAATAATTTAAATATCCAGGCCCGAATTTTAATATGGAGGCCTCTCCATATTTACATTATTTAACTTATTCAAACTATTTAAATTAGTTAAATTATTTAAAATGTTTAACTTATTTAAACTATTTAAACTACTCGAATTATTTAAACTACTTAAATTCGTCAAGGAATTTTAACCATTAAAAAAATTTAAACATCCAGGCCCGAATTTTAATATGGAGGCCCCCCCCCCCCCCTCAATTATTAAATCATTAAAAATTCCCTGCCCGGCCCCCCCCCCCCCCCCCCTCCCGGGGGATTTAAATAATCTAAATTATTTAAAATACTAAAATTCGTCGGTGAATTTGAATAGTTTGAATATTTTAAATACCCAGGCCCGAATTTTAATGTGGAGGCCCCCCCCCCCCCCCCCGCCCATATTTAAATTCTGCGGAGTCGCACTGGAAGGGCGGACGGCTGTTTTGCTGCAAACGCAAGAAAAGTGAAGTTCAGTGATGAGTGAATTCTTGTGATACATGTGATACTGCTTCTGCTCAAATCTGTCTAAGCAGACCGGAATGTAAGACTGGCCAGCTAACATCAGTGCAGACACTGCCTCATCTTCGGGCCGGCTGCAAGCGGCGAGATCAAAAGTACATCTGTCTATGTGTATGTTGCGTGCTGGTCTGTACCTGCAGGGATATCTTCACAAATTCTTAAAGTTCGCGGCCCTTTCCCGCGCCCCCCCGCCCTCTCCCGGGGGATTAAAATTATTTAAATTATTTATATTACTAAAATTCGTCGGATAATTTTTCATCATTTACATAAATTAAATATCCAGGTCCGAATTTTAATATGGAGGCCCCCCCCCCATATTTAGATTATGAAAATTCTCTGCCGGATTCTAATCATTTAAATATCCAGGCCCGAATTTTCATATGGAGCCCCCCCCCCCCCCATATGTAAATTACTACACTTCCCTGAAGAATTTTGATAATTTCAATAAATTGAATGATTTAAATCCTCCTGGGACCCGCAATTTTAGTGTGTTTTAAGAGGTTCTTGAGAGGGTATTTGATGGTTTGACTTGCAGCTGTTTTTGGTTTCGGGGCCACCACTTGGGAGGCTTTTTGGTGGCCCCGAAACCGAAAACAGCTGCAAGGTAAACACAACCGTCCCAGACGCCCCTATCCCAGATGCCCCCAGGGCGTGTAGAAGGTTTTTAGTGTGTTTTAAGACGTTCTTGAGAGGATTTTGAAGCCAAAAACAATGCTTAAATTATTGAATTCGGGCCCGCTGGTCCCTAAGATTTTGGCTTCCAGTTTTGCTCCAAAAAGCTAAGTCGCAAGCCCCTGGTCCCCAAGCTCTAAAGAGACAAATCGCAAGCCCTGGTCCCCAAGATTGCGAGGTCATTCTTTGCTCCAAAGAGCTAAATCGCAAGCCCTGGTCCCTAAAATGCTGGGTTCAAGTTTTCCTCCAAAGCGTCAAATCCCTAAGATTTTGGCTTCAAGTTTTCCTCCAAAGAGTCAATCGCAAGCCTTGGTCCCAAAGATTGTGGGTTCAAGTTTTCGCCAGATCGCAAGCCCTGGTCCCTCAGATTCTTCGGGGTCATTCTTTGCTCCGAACAGCCAACTCGCAAGCCCTGGCCCCATGATTTTGAGTTCAAGTTGTCCTCCAAAGAGTCAAATCGCAAGCCTTGGTGCCTAAGACTGTGAGTTCAAGTTTGCTTCCAAAGAGCCAAATCGCAAGCTAACATGTTGGGTTCAAGTTTTCTTCCGAAGCGTCACATCGCAAGCCCTGGTCCCTAAAATTGTGGCTTCCGGTTTTTTCTCCAAAAAAACAAATCGCAAGCCCTGTCAAATCGCAAGCCCTGGGTGGGCTTGCGATCTGGCTCTTTGGAGGAAAACTTGAACCCACAATCTTAGGGACCAGGGCTTGCGATTTGGTTTTTTGGAGCAACACTGGAAGCCAAAACCGTAGGGACCAGGGCTTGCGACTTGGCTCTTTGGAAAAAAACTTGAACCCGCAAAGTTAGGGACCAGGGCTTGCGATTTGGATCTTTGGAGGAAAACTTGAAGCCCAAATCTTACGGACCAGGGCTTGCGATTTGGCTCTTTGGAGGAAAACTTGAACCCAACATTTTAGGGACCAGGGCTTGCGATTTGGCCCTTTTGAGGAAAACTTGAACCCAAAATCTTAGGGACCAGGGCTTGCGATTTGACTCTTTGGAGCAGAGAATGATCCCGCAGTCTTAGGGACCAGGGCTTGCGATCTGGCTCTTTGGAGGAAAACTTGAACCCACAATCTTGCGATTTGGCTTTTTGGAGCAACACTGGAAGCCAAAATCTTAGGGACCAGGGCTTGCGATTTGGGTCTTTGGAGGAAAACTTGAACCCACAATCTTAGGGACTAGGGCTTGCGATTTGTCTCTTTGGAGGAAAACTTGAACCCAAAATCTTAGGTAGCAGGGTTTGCGATCTGGCTTTTTGGAGCAAAACTTGAAGCCAAAGTTTTACGGAGCAGGGCTTACGATTCGGCTTTGTGGAGCAAAACTTGTTGCCAAAGTTTTCGGGAGCAGGACTTGCGATTTGGCTCTTTGGAGCAAAACTTGAACTCAAAATTTTTAGGGACCAGGGCTTGCGATTTGACTGCTTGGAGCAAAGAAATGACCCCACGAAACCTGGAAAGAAAAGGTGCTCTTTGTCCACTCGAACCTTTCGTTCGTTTCATTAAGTATAAAGTATATAATTTAACATGTACAAAAGGGCTGTCCAAGTTTTTTAGAGTGTTTCGGGTGTCCTTTTCTTCCATTTTCTGTAGCCACCCACATTAACAGGACACCCACACCAGAGACTCCGATTTTGGAAGCTGAAGGAAAGGCGCTCCCCTTTTTCCACCGCTGCCTTCCTGTCGTTCCTTGCGCAAAAGGCAATAACAGAAAGAAATGATGCTACGTGTATCCAAAATTAGGGTGTCCTGCTTTTCTTTTTCCGTAACAAGACCTACCTTTGAAGGACACCCACACCGGAGACCTCCATTTTTTGCAGCCTTGAAAGAAAGCAGGCCGAAGACCTAAGATTTTATGTGCTCCCAAAAGATAAATCGCAAGCACCGTCCGCCTAAGATTTTGGAAAGATTTTGGCAAAATGCCCAAAAGACAAATCGCAGGCACAGCTCCAAAAAATTGGACAAACTTATGCTCCCAATCAGTTTTTCTTTGGGGCAATAACAAAACCCGAGTGCCAGCTTCCAAATAAACCCTGAAAGCTACGCGGCCAACTGCGGCCCCGTACGCCACAAGAATGACGACTCTTTGCTTGAGATGATCCCGCATCCTGTCATCAGTGGGAGTTGCCTCTCTGATCCTTGCAACGCGCTGAAATCCCTGAAAGCTTGACATCTCCCGCCGCAACAGGACCCGCTTGGCCAAACTTACTCACCCATATGCAGGCAAATTTCCACACTTCCTTCATCGCCTCTTGCCCCCTCTTCTGTAACTCGATGTATTGGTTCACAAGGAAGCTCAAGGCACTCTCCAATCCACGTGAATGCTAAGCCAGCGGCCAGCCCTGACCGCCCAAACCCTCCAACCTCTTGGAGCCTGGGGTCTTGTGGCCCTCTTCGAAACAGGGTTGTGCAACTCTTGATACCCGGGCGCCTTGGCAAACCCTGAACCCCTGATCCCTGGCAACCCAGACTAAGCCCGAAACACGCCTGGAAGGCAGGTCTCGCAAAGCCCGGCGCACACTCTCCGCAAAGCACTCCCCCGGAGTTTCTTGCACAGGCATTGCTGAAGTTGTAATCAGACCTGCGAAACAACCCATGTGTGAGCATTTTCAACTGGAGACCCACAGGGACCGTTTAGGACTCGCAGAAGCCGCCCAGCAATGTGACTCTTCTATTGTTCAGCCAGGCTTTATAGGTTTAGGGTCGAACCTCTCCAACGGCTCCAAAACAACCAAAACCGTCTAGCAAAAAAAACAAGAGCCTGCCGGGACAGTGCTTGCAAGGTTTCAGTGCCATATCAGAGAACCTTGAAGTCTGAAAACATCAGCTCTGCCTCCCCAGTCTACAGTTGCTCTCACAGCTCGAGTCGGCCGTAGGGTGAAACAGGGTTTGGCCTCAAGGCTCGGGCATTACTTTCTTATACAATGTCCTAGCTTCTTGCCGAAAACCAAAGGCTGCACTAAACAAGAACGCCTGCTACCCCTTTCCACGGCCCATCCGCCTGTCTTGGCAAAAGTCGGAGTTATTCAAGCACGCTTCGCCCCCCAGGCACGAGCTGAAGCCGTCACTCCTCCTCGTGCCTTAGGGGCGTGTTGGGCGTGCGTATCCAAAGACCCTCAAACTCCTTCGTTCGTGATCACTGTCCTTGACATGTCAATCGTACAGTCTCATTGCTGGGCTTCTGAGCCTCCCAAGGTTTGAGAGACATCCAGTCACGCGCTCTGGAGTAGCTCTGTCGTCCAATCCATATCTGGTTCTTCGATCGATTCGTTGCTCTCTGCTCGAGCTCGACGCCCTCAGGAGCCGAACTTGAAACAAGCCAAGGCGCACTTGACAGCGGTCGTTAGGCCGGTCTGGTAATATCCTTGGAGCTGAGGTCTTGGCTGCACTCAGGAGTGTAGCTAAAAATTAAACTTTTAGCTGCCTTATTAAGAAACCCAGTAAACCCAAAGAAGGTAAGGATCTAAAGTTACAGTAAAGCACCACAAAGTGTCAATGACTGGTTTGATCTTCAAGCCTTCAGCGCTGTGTCCCTCGGCCTTCTCTGCTTCTGTTGGGCTTTTTGTTTGAAGTTTGGGACTGTGGAGTCGTCGGGGTTAGGGCCTGGGCTTGGGCTGAGGTTTCATCACAAGATCTGGGCCTTCAAGAAGGGCTTTCGGTCGAGTTGCATTGCCTTTCCTTCTTGCACCCTTCACCGGCGCAGGGGAACTGAGACTCTACAAAGCGAAAAAGAATTGCCGAGATGCCTTTCCTTGCAACCGGCATCATGTGCTTGCGGCTCCCGCTATGCCAGCCTCCCACGGGTCTCCCACAGGAAGTGTGATCACAAGTGCTTTGGTTGAGAATAGGGTTTCGTCCATCACGGGTGGCCAGTGGCCAATGGTGCAGCATGTCCAGTGTGACGGATGGCATGATGAGGTGTTCGGCTTGGGATGTGTTGTAAGTGGAGCTTGGACCTTGAAATTGCATTTGTACATCTTTTTACACTGCGTGCTCTTTACGGAGTTCAGGAAAGGCACAAGAAACGAGCCTCCTTTGCAGTACAGGTTGGGATGCACTTCGCAGTTCTCACATATTATGAGGCGGTCAGACCAGGACTCGATCACCGCATAGAAGCCCTCCATGCAGAAACCTCCGCCAAGCACGTGCATTTCGAACAGAAAGCAGTTGCATGCAGTTGCGTGCAGTTACACGCAGTGGCATGGGGCGAACGCCAAGACAGGAAGGCCAAGATGACCGAGGAGCAGTCTAGGTCCCTGACAGCCCCGAGCTGGGAATCGGCATTTGTGGGACACTTGCCAGGGCATTGGCTCTCATCGTCTGGTGACTCTTCGCTCTTGTAGCGGCCCCGCTCGCACTGTTCACACTTACCGTCCTGTCTGAAATGACCTTTTTTGCAAAAACAATCTGCCTCTGACCTGGCTTGCGAATATGAGGTGGAGCCTTCAGGGCACTCGAGCTCTATCCCTGTGCCGTTGCAGAAGTAGCCAGCAGGGCACGGAATGCAGTTTAAGGTGCCCTTCTCCTCTGCCAAACCAGCCCCGCATCTGCATGCACTGGCCGAGGTAGCTGCACGCTGCACCGTGGACGTCCTTGTGTTGCCTGGGCAGTCTTGACCTCAGCCAGCCAAAGGATCCTACCACACAAATTCTGTCCGCAGAGGGACTCGGAGGCTGTGCTCAGGGATCGAGGCTCAGCAAGGGAGAGCAAAGAAGAAAACAAAGCGTATGAGCTGACTCATTTCGCTACGGCACACCGCGCACTGCCACTGCCGACAACCTCCTTGTACTTCCCGGCAGGGCATTCCTGGCAACCTCCTACATATCCATCCACCTCCTCATAGCCTGGGCTACACTCGCAGTCGGCCTGGCTCGTCGGGAGGATTCCCGCAGGCACTGATTGGTGTGCAGGGCATTCGATCTGCTTCCAGGTCAGCTCGGGATCTGACAGATGAAGATCTGTGTCTTGCAAGTCCAGTGTCTGCTCTGCCAAGTTCTGCCGCAACTCCATCAGAAGCACATTCATGCTTAGGTCCTTAGAAGCTGCAGCTGCATCCTCCTTTGTGCGATGGTGCAGGTGCACGACGATGGTGCGGTTCCACAGCCGAACTTGAATAGCGCTAGCGGGAATCCTGGACAGGTCGGCGAGCGTGGCCTGCACGATTCGTCTCTCCCTCTCCCCAAAAACCAGCACGCTGGTTGCAAACAACTGGATGTGCACGGCCGGCACATTCACTGTGTTCCCCCTGCTGGAGCCCACGTCGGGAACACAAGACTGGTTGGACACGGAGCCCTCCGCGTGAGTGGACAAATTGGCGCAAAGAGTGCACTCGTTCGCATTCCCCGGCAAGTTTTTGAACTGATCCTTCGGACATGGCATGCATCGATGATCCTGATCTGAGAAGAAGTAACCTTCCATGCACACACACTGACTCGGAGAAGCCGCTTGTGTCGTCAAAGTCGTCCGGCGGTCATTGCAAGCCAATCTTGTGGCCGTTCCACCTGCGAAGGAACAACCAGTGGAACAACCCAAAGCCTTGTGTTTAGCAGCTTGTATGTGCCTATGTGCTACCATGCGACATGTTCATGAACCTGAACCCAGCAAGAGCGCTGGAGAGAAAGGAACGCAGTCAAAGCATGCATGCTTGTCGAAAGTGCTGTCTATTCGACACGTGACTACAAATATTGCGAGGGCTTGACTGCTGTTTCTTGATTTGGCCCTTTCTTTTTATACAAACCCCATCAAACTACTCTTCCGTTGTTGTCCTGGTCTGTTGGTAGTGTATGTGCATTTGCGTGTGCGTGTGCGCGCGTGTGTGTGTGTGTGTGTGTGTGTCACTAATTCCCTCCTCACAGCGCTCTCATCAACGCTTTACATGTGTAGTTGCCAAATGTTCCACTTGACACTCTTTCTGGAAGAACTGGCTCATCTCCGGCCATGGAGCTTGCGGGCTTAGAATGGTGCTCTCTGCTCTGAAAGAAAGTCCCGTGCGTGGAGTATGGCCTCCGGCAATGTTCATGGCCTTGACCTGAATAACTCAGAATGTTGCCGCCTTCTGGCGCTTGAGAGAAATGGACGGCCGTGCGACTTAGAGCTTCGAGGTTCAGCAAAACATCCCTCCAATGCTCCAGTCCTGCCCCTCCACCGCAAGGCCACCATGATGTCTGACATGCAGCCGAAACTTGAAAATGCTGCCTACTGAATTGTACGCACGAAAGGCAGTCCCTGCAGCTTGCCAGCTTCCGCTCAGGCCTGCACAAAAAAATCCTCGCGGGCATTCGCTACAGAATGGCTGTGAGTTCAGCGTTCCCTGGAAGAAGCCAGGTGCGCACTCCACCTGAGCTGGCTGGCGATGGCCTCAAAATCGCATCGGCCTGCTTATCCTCATAATCGCATGTAAGCATCTGTTGTTGTTTTTCCCCAAACAGTGCCAACACTATGAACTACTATGGGGCTCCCGTGAACGGAAAGGAGGTTTACATGCCATAACCATGCAGCGTGTGTCCCTGGGACCTGGCGCTCGTTCTCGCGTTCTGGACGAAAATCGCACGTGGCCTACGCGGGCATGCCCGCGAAGTTCTTGGGGGCTCCCGAAACGTGGATTTCATCGCAAATAGCACGCCTTCAAGCCTCGCGAAGGGTGCAACAAATCGTGCTCTCGCCTAAGTTCTGCGCCCACAGAACATGCCGGTCAAAGAAAGCCCAGAGTCTGGTCTTGTCAGTATGCGGGCGCATGTCCGAAATCGGCCAAATCACTCCAAAAAACGTGGTGATTCTGGGTGCTTTCTGCTCTCCTTTATTGACGCGTGAATGCTCGAAATCGTTCTCCCGCTGAGGTCCCGTGTACTGTTCGAGGCTTACACATGCACCGCACTCGTGTCGCGAAACCTGGCACGTGTGCTGCTTCCGCGCAACGGCGCTCTCGCCTCGGTCCTGCGTCTGCTCTCCTCTTTCCTGGTGAAGTGCAGATGTCTTGAGTCGAACTGTCTCTTGTCGCTCTTTAAAGACATCCAAAGCTCCAGTGGCTCGACAGTACAAAGCTCTAGTGTGGCTCGAAAATCGCTATTTTTGCAAAACACTCGCGGAGGACGTCCGGAGCTCCAGTGGCGAGTGCTCTCGGCTTCGTGTGCTCTTAGACGTGTCTTGGAAAGCTCTTGGAGATTTGGCATGCTCTTCGAGTGGTTCGGGAGTGTTCTTGGCGTGGTCTTAGAGTGCTGGAGTGGTCTTGGCGTGTTTTCGGTAGGACGCGCTCTCATGCGCCCTGCGTTTTCTGGGGCTTTCTGGGTGGGGGGGTCGGGGGGGGGGGGGTGGGGGGGCATATCCATGTTGGCAATATCCAGGGGCCCGAAACATGCAAGCCCCAACAAGTACCCAAAAAATTCGATGTAAAACATAGTCTACACAACTTTGTGTTTTCGTCACTTTCAAAAAAAGGCTCCCGCCTAGGCGAAACACTCAAATGGTGCTAATGTCTTCAGCAAACTTTTAGGTTTGACTTGAGTCCTCAACTGCATCGCCAGAAAAATGTTCTGAGATCTGTGCTTTGGTTCTGAACTCTGAGGTTTGGGGCCCGACACACGCAAGCCCCAACAAGTACCCTTAAGAATAGACGTAAAAAGATAGTATACACAACTTTCGCGCTCTCGTCGCTTTAAAACAAGGCTCCCGCCTATGCGAAACACTCAAAATCACTAAAAAACGCCCGCCCTTCGAGGAATCTGTGCTGCGCCTTGCTGGTTCCCAACACCGGAATGAGTGTAAAATCTACGTTTTTTGCACTTTCGAACTTGAGCACACCCAACGCATGCACCAAAACGCAGGGCACGCGAAAGCGCGTCCTACCCTTTTTTGGGCAGCTCTCACGAGGTCTTGGAATGCTCTTGATGGTCTTCCACTCTTTGGGGTCAACGCTGTTATTTTGTTTGGGCGGGGTGGGGTTGTGTGGGTGCCAACACATGATGATGGCAGCCGAGCTTCCCACAGCGTACCTGCTGCAGCTCCAAACACAGGGGTAGAGCCGCAATTGAATCCCACTGGGCACCAGCACAGCAGATACCTGCAAGGGTAGATCGGGCCCGTCAGGATACATTTTTAAGGCACAGGGCCTAACCAAGCTTCAGGGGCATGCGATTGGTTGCCATCCACCACCTTCCAGGTCGTGATGTGGCCGGCAGCTCGCCGAAGGACACTCGAAATGCCTTGGGGAAAAAAAGACATTATTACATATAATACAATCATGAAAGCATATTGTAATAATGAATTATGGGTGAATCCCTCCGCCTCCGGCCCGCGCGCAACACAAGGCCGAACTGACAACCGCAAGGGGAACCTGATCCTTTCTACGGAACCCGCGTCGCTTAGCAAACCCAGAACGCGATCACTTGGCCAATCGGGAAACCAAATGGTTTGCGATCACTTAGCAAACATTTTTACGATCACTTAGCCAACTCTAGCTTTCAGGCTAGGTTTTGGCTTTACGGTTTAGGGTTTAAGGGTCAAGGGTTTAGGGTTTCGGGTTTAGGGTTTGGGGTTTAGGGTTTAGGGCTTCTCTTACCTTTTAGGGTTTAGGGTTTAGAGTTTGGGGTTTAGGGTTTAGGGTTTGGGGTTTAGGGTTTAGGGTTTAGGGCTTAGGGCTTCTCTTACCTTTTAGGGTTTAGGGTTTCCTTTTGGGGGTTTAGGCTTTAGGGTTTGGGGTTTGGGGTTTAGGGTTTAGGGCTTAGGCTTCAGGGTTTAGGGTTTCTCTTACTTTTAGGGTTTACGGTTTCCTTTTGGGGTTTAGGCTTTGGGTTTAGGGTTTAGGGCTTCTCTTACTTTTTAGGGTTTAGGGTTTCCTTTTGGGGTTTAGGCTTTGGGTTTAGGGTTTAGGGTTTAGAGCTTCTCTTACCTTTTAGGGTTTAGGGTTTAGGGTTTGGGGTTTAGGGTTTAGGGTTTTAGGGTTTAGGGTTTAGGGCTTCTCTTACCTTTTAGGGTTTAGGGTTTCCTTTTGGGGGTTTAGGCTTTAGGGTTTGGGGTTTAGGGTTTCCTTTTGGGGTTTAGGCTTTGGATTTGCGATTGAGGGTTTAGGGTTTAGGGCTTCTCTTACCTTTTAGGGTTTAGGGTTCAGGGTTTAGGGTTTGGGGTTTGGGGTTTATGCAATCGGTCATGCGGACTGTCACGAAGCGAGACACTTGGGGTTTGAGGTTTAGGGTTTCGGGTTTCGGGTTTAGGGCTTCTCTTACCTTTTAGGGTTTAGGGTTTAGGGTTTTGGGTTTGGGGTTTAGGGTTTAAGGCTTCTCTTACATTTTAGGGCTTAGGGTTTCCTTGTGGGGGTTTAGGCTTTAGGGTTTAGGCTTTAGGGTTTGGGGTTTAGGGTTCAGGCTTTAGGGTTTAGGGCTTCTCTTACCTTTTAGGGTTTAAGGTTTTCTTTTGGGGCTTAGGCTTTGGGTTTAGGGCTTCTGTTACCTTTTAGGGTTTAGGGTTTCCTTTTGGGGTTTAGGCTTTGGGTTTAGGGTTCAGGGTTTAGGGTTTCTGTAGGGTTTAGGGCTTTCTTACCTTTTAGGGTTTGGGGTTTAGGGTTTGGGGTTTTAGGGTTTAGGGTTTAGGGCTTCTCTTACCTTTTAGGGTTTAGGGGGTTTCGGCTTTAGGGTTCAGGGTTCAGGGTTTAGGGTTTGGGGTTTCGGGTTTAGGGTTCAGGGCTTCTCTTACCTTTTAGGGTTTAGGGTTTTGGGTTTAGGGTTTATGGGGTTTAGGGTTTAGGGCTTCTCTTACCTTTTAGGGTTTAGGGTTTAGGGTTTGGGGTTTAGGGTTTCGGGTTTAGGGCAACAACACTGTGGCGCAGGGTTGCAGACAAGAGACAAGAAGGGGTACAAGAGCTCCAAAAATCAGCGTGCTAAGCGATCATGTTTTTGAGCGTGCTAAGCGACTGAAAGAAAAGTTGGCTAAGCGACCCCTTGACCCTTTCTACAGCTAGCCTCTCACCAACCAAGCTGTATTCAGACATAGGTGAAGAGCGAAGAGGAAGGTAGCCTGCGGTCAACATTTGCACCAAGATGCATCCTCGCTGCCCTCCACCGCTGTTGGCTCTGACAAGTGTGAAAACGCGGGTATCAAACTGCAGTTGCTCTCGTCCATGGCCAGAAACACCTAGGCGGGTGAATTATCCAGCGTGCAGGGCAATCCGGGCTCGGCTGTTATGCGGAATCAGAAAGGAGCTGAAACCGTTTCAAGCCGATGGCCTGGTTGGGGCCAGTGACTTAGCTGCTGCAATACCAACACCTTTGGGCCTTTTACGGCTTGTTTCCGATTGTAAGATTGCCGTGCAGAATGAGCTTGAAACCAATGTTAAGCCACTGTTAAGCCTTGTGGTTTTGCTGGTCCTTGTTGTTGCTTCTCACGCGGTCCTTGTTGTTGCTTCTCACGCGCTCCTGTGTGCGCGCGCGTGTATGTGTGTGTGCGTGTGCGTGCGTGCGTGCGTGCGTGTGTGCGTGTGTGTGAAAGAATTTTAGGACATGCACATCAGAGGTCACTCCCTAGCTTACGTACCCGGAGCCCTGCTCAACAGCCCTGGCCCCTCCTGGCCCCAACCCTGTGGAAACAAACCTGCAAGACTGCTGCAAGATCAAGGCTGGTCGCTGCCCAGGTGTGAGGGGGTAATGGACTCCAGCCCCACTTCAAATTAAGGACCAAAAAAAAAATTTAAATTTCGGTATCAACAGGGTATTTACAGCGCTTTGAGGCCGGAGTCTGACCTGGCACAGGCTCCAATCGCTGCAAGTCACGGCGTTCTTGATTGTTCACAGGCTGCCATTCATGGCGACGCCTGGGTAGAGGGCGGCGTGGCCCCCTTCCGGCAGCCCTGACGAGTCCCGCGCCGCAGCCAGGGGCGGCGAGTCTGGGGGCTGCAGGCTGACGCGTTCCCTTCGGGGGCGGCGAAAACTGATGTCCTGCAGACCGACGCCCGAAAACGAGCGGGGCACAGAAGAAAGAATCCGGCTTGAGCGGCGACAGCTTCGGCAGTCGCCGCTCTGCTTGTTCCTACACACGCTTCGTGTGCTGCACAACATTTCTGCCTGCACAGGCTTCAAACACTGGGAAACCCATCGTGGCCGGCATTTCAAGATAGGATGGACAATTGTATGACAAGATGTTTGGGATGCGGACGCAACCCTCCATTTCTCATAATAGGAGAGCTCCAAGTCGTCGTCGATAAGAGTTTTTTATATTTTGATTGAGAACCTCTGGTTGAATCTTGGGTTCTTCCAATAACGTAAGGACATCCTGTCGAACAGGTGGGTCCAGTGACAGATTCATCTAGTTCGAGAGATCTCATTCCGCAGGAGCGCTTTTGTTCCGTTCCACACCGCAAGCACGGGCGAACGAACTGAGCCCACCGAGCGGTCCATCCAGGACTACTGCCAAATCGTGACTGACTTTACGCGACACCTTGGCCTGATGAAGCCGTCCAAGGCCGCAAACAAACAAGCTGCTGAGACGATGCCCGATGTGCAGAACGAATACGTGTGCGCTTCAGACACCTGTGGATTCCGTCCGTGGCACCTGTGCCCGTTCCCATCCGGCAGGCACAGTTGTACCAAAACTCGGGCTGCAGGAAGCAGCCGCAAAAAAAGCGTGGGATGGCCTGTGACATAGCCAGGCACCGATAGTGGAAACGAACAGCAGGCTGCTGCTTAATCAGGCAAGATACCCCCTATTGATTCTTGGCCCTGCACCCGAAACCCGAAACCCCCGATGCGCGGTTGGGCAGCTTCAGTGCCCAGTCTTTGGCCCTCTCACCGATGTGGAGAAAAGGTGCAGGCGCAAGCACGATACCCTGCAATCGCTCACAAGTTTCGTGGAAAGGACACCGCCGAGTTGCTGCTGCATGCTACAGCAGATGGTGCAGGAAAGGGGTCCGGATGCCGACATAGTAAAGGTGTTTTTGCACGGCGTCAGCGTCCAAGAGATTCGGCTCGGGCAAACCTTGGGATGGACGTAAGTGGCACGCCCGGATCAAGACCAGGCCAAAGAGGCAAGTGGCAAGATCACTGTCATGCGTCATCTTGAACTCAGTTACTTTACCGAGTCCGCGATGTGCGCGGAAAGGAGCAACGACGTCTGCTCAAAATGGACTACAGGCGGCAAATGCCCAGTGTACGGGGTATAGAGCGACGCATGGCCCGTCAATGGAGCCTTACGCTGGCGTAAGGCAAAAGGGTAGCATAAGCATCATTGGGGTCAAGGTGCATCTGAAGGCTCAGAAAAGGTACCATCATGAGCATCATTGGGGTCAAAGGCCGCTGACTCGGCCCCTCTCGGTTAGAGGTTCTAGGGTCATGGTTCAGTGCTTAGATGATGTAGGTGTGAGAGCACAGCAGCATAGGTGACATTTAAACTTGTCTCTCTTCCCCTGACCTGCATGCTGATATGAGCTGATGCTATCTGGAGTGCCACTAGCCTGGGCATGGGAAAGACACTGGCGGAGTGGACATTCTGCAAGCACCTGCAAACTGCCCAAATTGTACAGTTTTGCAGCACCTCCCCCCCGTCTAACCACTTCCATCTCCATCTGCCCGCAACCCTTCCAGTTGTGCTTTGTCCCCCGGCATTTGTGGCCAACCCAACAACACCCAACCCTCAACCCCAAAGCCATCCCAAGCCGGCTAATGCACCTTGTCGCCCCAAGAGAGTCCGACGCCTGACAAGTGCACGTCGCAGGGGTAGCCCACGACGCACTGGTGTTGAAGAGCAACTGGCCCACGAACTCTAAGTAGTCCCACTCGTGCCTGCGTGCTGAGTTCACTTCTCTCCCAAGGCAGAGACTCCTCTCTATAGTGAACTGCCTTTTGAGGGTACGAAGCCCACGTTGCTAGATTGTGTTAGGGTTTCTTTGGAGTCGGCTCAATCATTCTAATGTGGGGCCCAAAACCCCGCAGTTTAATTCAAGCCATGGCCTTGAAGTTCCAGCTGCTTTCGCAATTGCCATCGATACTGCAGTAGCACATCCTCACAACAGAGAGTTTGGAGAATACCCGCATCACTAGCCTACCCTGGAGGTAGCTCCTTCATCCTCAGAAGTGTTCTAAGCATGAAGCCGCACCTGTAAAGGCCAGGCATACTCTCCAGCACTGCATCTTCGAGAAAACTGAATGTGGAATGAGCTTCGTCCTGGGCGTTCGAGTGAAGAGTGATGACACTTCTGGGAAGCGTAAACCGAAAGACTCTGACAAGTATATCTCGGAGCCCACAAGTTGGGGTTGCCCAGGGGTTGCCGATTGATGCGAACCAGGAGTGTGCAGGAACATTCGAGAGGTGCATCGCCGACCAACGAGCATGTTTGATGCTGCACAAGTGCATTGCAGATGTTTTCAGAGTGCTACGGCTACGGATCTTGAGGCTGCAGGTTCGGGAAGCCACGCCTGCCCAGGAATGATCAGGAATCGGTCCATGATATGAGGCTGCGGACTTTTGCAAACAATCCTGACTAAGAGACTGAGAACAAGACTCGCAATATTGCTAATATTGCTGCACTAAGACTACTGATTGCATCAGGCGGCAGTGTTCCGTGCAATGCCACCGCCCGGGAATCCTGGAATAGGTGAGCCATGTCCACAGTCGGCCAGAATCATCAAGCGATCCCCGGGTCGGAGGATGCCTTCAACATTCATAGTACCTTGGCTTGCTTTGCTTCAGAAACGCGAGAGCCAGCGAACCCTAAGCCAAGGTGCATTGTTGACCAAAGAAACAAGTTTCGTCCTGCTGGCGGGAACCCGGAGCCATCACTGTCAACGTTAGTAAGGAGGAGGTTTGCGGCAAACAACTCTATCTACTTATCTCTTGGGCGACATCCTTCTAGTCGCTTGGGTAAGGCACGCAAACACTCACATGATGCACTGCTGCAAATTCAGCGGCCTGTGTGACTGGCAGCCATGCACAAGGAACTTGACATGGGGATATTCGAGTTGAAGATCCACAAAGAAAGCTCCGCTTACCTTAGAGGCCTTGCCCTCCAAGCCCATGCTGTTATGCGCGGGCACATCCCCAAAACGAGGCGATGGAAAGGCTGGACTGCCGCACTCTCCAAACATTCTTTGCTTGCGCGCGTCTTTTTTTCGAATCCTCCATAAGAGCCTCCATATTCCTCCATCACTGACACTGGAATTCACTAGAAATCACTGACTTGGTGTCCAATTGTGATTCTGCTGACTTCGGGATCCCTGCTAGTAGCCTAGCCCTTCTCAACTCTCCCCCCTGGCCTGGCCGGACTTTGCACCGAGAACGCTCAGTGTTCCTTGGCTGCAGATGCGTCGCCGCTGCCCCGCATTTGAGTGTATTGAATCATGGTTGTGGGCCGAAACCAACGAAATAGATCATGCGCAGGACGCAGAAGCTACGTAATCGCTTCCCCCTCATACTAAAATAAATCCTGCCCGTAAAGCCAAAAAATCGGTCCGGCCAAGTTATTGACGAGGAAGTCAAGTCTTCGACTACCGAACACTTGACATGGCCATCGTTGTGGCAGCATTTGCACTCTCAACATGATGCGAGTTTGTTGCACAGATGCTGCAGTATATTCGGTGAAGCTTGGCAAGGAGAATGGCAAGGTCGATTAGTAGAGGACGGCGTACAGATTGCCGACCGTGGTTTTCTATCATAACCTACTGCCTACTGACATTTCGCTGGCTGTGCACTCAATACAAGAATGCATCGCTGAGTGGGAACATCAATATGGCAATTTTAATATTTTGCAGCCAGATCCGCACGTGGCATCATGCTACTGCAATTGGGCAGGTACAAGCAGCTTGTTGACATAAGCAGGATGCATGTGTTGACATTTCGCCAGGTCAAGTGGTGGCTATTCCCTTTTTTGTGGATGGCGACATGGAGTGCCGCACTTATGCTTTCCCAGTCATCTTTGTGGTATATCATGTGGGACCTCACACTCGCACAGGTCATTATCGAGTTGATCTGAGCTGGCCTCGTCACACTCTTAGGATGGGAGTGATGACAACAGACACCTTCACCCCGCAATGGCACACTTGATGATCGTGCATGTATCGGAAACAATGGCTATATAGTAGGCCTCCTCAAGGTGACGGAGCACCCAGCTCACATCCTCAGGTAAACTGTTTTAGGTTCTTTTCGTGGCTGCTTTGTGGTTCGCCACGGGCCACGAGATTGATAGCGAGGTGGATGCCAGCGAGGAGGCAAGAAAATCTTCATGACCAGACCTTTTCGTATGATCTGCTCCATGTGGGCTGCCTTTTCACTCAGTGATTCGTTCTGCTCCATTCTCAGTCTCTAGCCCTATCACCCCGACCTAGCTCAGTGCACCACACCGGGTTTTCTGCTACACGTTCGGTCTTTACAGCTTGTTGTGTAGTCTCGCTTGAGGTGATGCGCGTGCATACCATTTTTTACTGCCAAAAACACGTATGGGCGCCATACCCAAACTAATGGCTGTTGACCATGAAGTATCCAAGTTTCCTGCAGCTACAGCGAAATCCGTGGGCTCCATGCAGTTTGATCTTTCAGAAGAGCACCAACACAGGTTGTAGCCGCTGCCTGCATCCACCGTCAGCCGGTTATCTTTCTCCTCTTCAAATGCACCAAATCCCAGGTACATCAGCGATCCTGTGCTGTGCCCGGCATCTGTAGTCAGATCCTCCCCCACGCTCGCCTGCAGTTGGCCAACGCCATCACCGCGACCTTCCGACAGAGACAGCCCATTCATGCTGCCACACTCTTCTCGGCGAACGGCCACCCGGTCGTTTGTCGACAGGGAGTGTCCCTCGAAGGGGAGGTCTGCGCAGTACGATCCACGGATGCACTGCAAGTTGTTCTTACTAGGGCTGGGGCCCACAACTGTGAGCTGCCCTGCCGTCAGGACAAAATCTCCACCAATGTCGGTGCAGGTCAAAGTCGCCATGTTCACACACCAGCAGACATGATAGATTCCACCATTTGGGGCGAAGTCTTGAGGCCCATGCATGCCCCATTCATACTTCCGTCCATTTGAGCTCGGTTCTGACACCCCGCTGTTCGCCACCCCGGACACTGCCGATTTGCCAGGGTCCATGCAATCGGACCTGGGCTGCTGGATCAAAAAAATAAAGAAGGATAAGAAAAAAACACGGCCGCCCAGGATCAAAAAAGTAATAAAAGGGATCAATAAACAAATAAACCGTCGTTCGCCTAAGCCCTGTGCGCATAATCTGGCGTTCGCGAGTGGAAGTCCCGTGCGTGTTTCGAGGCTTGCATCGTTCCGCATCCTGAAAACGTGGCAGGCGCGTGCTGTCGTGCGTTTTGTGCATGCCGTTGGGAGGGTTCACTGCGTGCGTCCAGACTACGGAGATTTGCTATTCGCGATGTTGGAAATCGCGCTCCCGCCTATCGTCGCTTTGGGCTTTGGACGTCTGCGTTCGCCAATTGCGAAACTGTCGTCGGCTGGAAGGGATTCTTACGGTGTTGAAGCAAGCTTGCACGAGAAGCGGAGGTGGGGGGGGGGGCAGCCCGCCCCCCCCATTTGCAAACACAATGCTCACATGATGGGTTTGGAAAGATGTTGAGCTTGCCCGGGGGGGGAGCCCTCCCCCCCCCATTCGCAAACCGAATGCTCGCATGATGGGTCCAGAACATTCTGACAACCTTTCATGCAACGCAAAGGCCTGCAACCCCAAGCCTGAACCCTAAACGATTTTCCAGAATGGCTCAGGCACGAACTGATCATCATGCGATGCCCCTCCCGCAAACTGTAACCGGCCACATTGTCCACAACGCAAGGATGCCCTGAGTAGCATAGCTGATCCTCAGCACTGAACCGTGTTTTGATGAATCACGATCTTGAAAAACCCCCAGCGTGCTGCACTATGGAAACTCCTCGAGCAATGCATCTCCTATTTTCGGACAAGTGAGCTGGAAGCTTTGGAAGCTCAGACAGCACGTGGCGGCCTAACCTTTCGTGAGAGCGCATTGGCCACCAAGGTTCTACTGCTGTTGCAAGTGGCCGCATGCATGCATCCGCGGTGGAGCCCTCTCCCACTGTTGTTGAACCTTGGCCGTTCTCTACTTAATTCACCTAATTCCTTGCAGTTCAGGCTTGGGGTTAGGGCTTAGGGATTTGGCTCAGCCAGGCGAGGGGCGAAAGCGTGAAGACAAAGCACGAGAATCCAACGCCCATATACAGGGCCGAGCTCGACATCCAACAGCCACAGATGGCCACAGGGTACCCCGACTGCAGAACTACTATGAACATCTATATGAACATCTATAAATCCTGAGTCTTTCCAAGCCGAGGAGCCTGGCATGCAAGCCTCGCAGGCCTCTCTGCTACTTGCTCCCATGGCATTGCTCCACTTGCCGACAGAGCACGGTGTGCAAGCCTGGTTGCCTGCCAAATCCTCGTGGGGATGCAAGGATGATGCAAGGTACAAGTGGTACAAGCCCCAAACATGTCCACTGAAGTTGCTGTCGCATCTTGCTCACATCCCGACGGGCCACGCAAACTTGACACCCGGGCAATACATGGCCGCAGCCACCTGCGATTTCAGCGTCTCAAGCCTCAAAAAACCCCAAAGCAGCTCCTTGAACGTTCCTGCTGGGCACGGTGCGCAGACCATGCCTCTAGGAGGCCAAGTGGAACGGCTGTTTAGAGTTTACAGTTTAGGCTTAGGGTTAGGGTTTAGGGTCTGCACCAAGAGGTCTACTTGTGAAAAAAGCATGGGCTCAAGCAATTGTCACTGTGCCTTCCAGGAATTCACCTTCCGAACAGACACAGGCGGCATCACCTGTGGCACTCTCTTGATGCATCACTCGGTATTGGACTGATGGATTTGCGTGCTAGCCAATGGATGCCTGTGCAACCACGACCCCACGTTTAGGAAAGCCCTTACTTGTTATGGGTGCTCTGCAGGCTCTTTGAGCATGCGAGTACTTCTCTCTTGCAAGTTGAGCTCTGTTTGAGTGAAACCGGCAAGTTTCAAGGTTTTGGGTCTTGGGCTCATGTTTAGGGATTGGGTTTAGGGTTTGTGGTTAGGTATGAGGGGAGGTTTAGGGATTAGGATTCCGCTTTGGGTTTGGGACCTAAGGGTATGGGAGAAGTGCCCCCCAAAGGTCAAGCCCAAAGCACTGCCCAAACCGAAGCTCCAAACCTGCGTCGCGCAACACGAGCAGACGACTTGCGGATGCTGTCGAGGCATGAACAATATCAGTGCTGTGCACATCCCAAACTTTTCTTCGGCAACTCCCACCCTGCAGGCCAGATGAGGCAGCGCAGGCTTGAAAGCTGTCGAGCCTGGGAAGCATGCGCTGCATAGGACTTTCAGAATTTGGTGAGTGTATGGGTTGAGGGAGTTCCCTTGGTTCAAAACACGGGTTTCTGTAGAATATGATTGTCTTGACACTCGACCAAAAAACCACGTCACAAACCTCACGAACTCTTTGGACACCCGCCTCACGACATCCTGCGAGCTGTTGGTCCTCACAACGTTTCGACCAAACGTCCATCGCTGTGGTGGTTGTGTTTCATTTCCAGAAAACAACCTCAACTATCGAAGGCCGATGTGGAACCTAGCCGTGGGTCCTGGCTACAGCCTGGACAGCGGTGCTCTCAATCGGAACCAAGATCAGCGCATGGTGCCACCCAGAGCCGTGGTCCCCGGCCTTCTCGAACCTTGGCTGGGGGCACAGACGACGAAACAACATTGCGTCAGTCGAGGTTCTGGGGATGTAGCCTTGGGAACACACGCCGCTGTCTTCGCGATTTGCGTTGCTGCTCTGCTGCTGTGTATCAACCCCGGTTTACCTACTGCAGCTTTATTGTTACATACCGCTGCCGCTGCTGCTGAAGCGGAACAACCCGATCCCAGACCCGATCCTCAAAACTTAGACAAGTCTTCCGCTGAGCTCAGCATCCATGTGAATGTAGCCAGTTTCCCCAAAAGGCAACCAAGGAACAGCAAGGTCCAATTGGCATCCCTTACCAGGAAACAAAACAGGAACCATTGCAAAGACGCTGCCAACCTCTTGGCGGTTGCTACACGGCTTTGTATGGATCTGGCCCGGGCAAGGACTTACGGCATGCGGATCTACGAACAACCCTACACAACACATGTCCCAAACATGCGACAGTCATTTGTTACGGCTTTTCAATGCAACATGCTGCCTTCCGCTACAACACGAATCTGTTCAGACCCTTCCCCGCCTCATGCTTTCGATCTTCAAGGCCACCGATTCGGAGCCGAAGATTTGGTAAGCCAAACTGAGAACCTCCAAGCTATCACATCAAATGGTTGCACGATGTTGCACGCGGTGAGCACACAATAGTCCACATGCGTGCGGAGCAAAATCATTGTGGACTTGGAAGAAAAGGTGGTTCCCTCGCTTGAACTTGCTGGCTTCACACTCACAATCGCACACCTTTGATCCTGCTGCACGATGTCTCCTGGCACTGATTGCAAAGTGAGCCGAGCGTGATGGCTCTAGTCTTGACAACGTGGACGGCTCCACTCGGATGAAGCCGCAGCCGCGGCTTTTGCCAACCCCTGTGCCCAACCAGAGCTGTTTCGCGAAGATGAGCCGCGAGCTTGGTTTGAATTATGCGAACAGTCTTGCCACTGAGGCGCCCAGTCCGTTGCTCCGGACTCTTTAGGGCCCAAGAGTCGACAAGATAATGTCTCTCGCGCGGTCTGAGTCTGCTCCTCCCATTCACGCCACGAGTGTGATGCGTGCGCTTTATCACGGAGCCGCTGGTTAGCCAGAATGGTCGGCCGAACCATTGACCCGGCATATCCCCACATGCTTCTTCCACTCCAGCAAGCAGAACTTCATGCAGTCAACGTCTGGATGTTCGCCGTTCATGCTTTCTCCGAATCTGATGGTGCGGAGGTCAGCAGCACATGAAATGGACATAGTCCGTTGATTCGGACAATTCGTTCATTCCCAAACTTCCAGATAGAGCGTGCGATTCGCGCGATCGTCGAATCCGGCCACTGTTCAAATAAACGAGCGCGTCAAGGCCAAACTCCCGTCTTTGCGTATGAAATCGATCTGGCGCGCCATCGTAAACCATTTGCTGGCATTTGCTGGACTACGTCTGCAATCCTGTCGTTGGCATGGGCGAGGCCGTTCTTTGTATGGAAAGCAGCGACGACTCATGCTTTGTCGGAATGCAAAAAAAACTTCTTGAGAAACACAAAGCAGAAACAACAAAACCCAAAGCCGAACAGGTCTAGGAATGAAGAAGTGCATATTAGGAAGCTCTAGAGAAAAAGGCCTCCCAGAAAAGCCCTCCCAGAAAAGCCCTGTGAAGACACAAGACTTGCAGTCTCCTTGGTAGCCCCCCTTGAAAGAAAAATAGTAAACGAGGCGTAGATTCTAGCAGAACCCATTATCTTTCAAGGTGGCCACACACCAACCCGACCCCGCACAAGAGCGCTGCCAAGGCAGGGCTGGACAGTGAAGCTCTGCGCTCTTCCCTCCGGTCCAGTGTACGCCGTGTACGCTCTGTACTTTTTCTTCCCGTCGAGCCGAAGGGTTGGGCAGTGAAGCGTGCTATACGGCTTTTGACGGCCAACCTGGCGCGTACGAGAACCATTTCTTACCACCCCACCCCACCCCCAACAAGAAAAGACCCTGAAACCTGCAAAAGTGGCTTAAACGCAGGGCGCTTTACGGGCACCGGTCCCGATAACCACCTCCCACCCTCCACCTTCCAACCCCCACCCCCACCCCGACGCCCAGTTACAACTTCGAAGACCAAAGGTGTGCCCTTGTGCCCATGCCCCGACTAAATTTACCCGGCACACCCGAGACGACCCTGAGTCCAACTAGTGCGAAAGACCCAAATGTGCCATTCCAACCTGTCCTTGGTTTCGCTGGTCATCGCGATTGCGGCACTCCTTGGCAGTCGTTGCGGTTCTCGTGTGCTTTGGCTGCGTGCTGCAACAGTTCACTGCATTTTCCGTTCGCGCAACCTATTGGCAAGACAGAACAGCTCAAGTATACAGTAACATGGAATCTGTGCTCGTATGATGTCTGGCTCCCGGTGTTAGGCCTTGCTAGATTCACGCGAAAGATGTAAAGCCACAAGTGCGTTAAAGACTTCGGGCGCTGAACGAGATAGTGCACTCAATGCACCCGAATAGTGACACCTTCACACACATGGTTGCCACTTTCTCATCCTGACACCCCCTCCAACAGTTCGATGCTGTAGCTGCCACCTTAGGCTACTTTCGAAAATCTGAGTTCAGTTCTTCCGTTCGGGCTGTGTCCTTTCCTCATTGATGAGTTTGTCGCTCCATCTTTGCCCGATGTGCCCGTAGCCGTACTTAACTATGGATGCTCAATGACAGTGCCGGACTATACTGGGCTCCTAAACCCTAAACCCTAAACCCTAAACCCTAAACCCTAAACCCTAAACCCTAACCCCTAAACCAACCCTAGGGCCTTTGAACTTGGGAATATTTCGCATCGCGGCTTGTTGTTCATGTGGGGGTTTAGGGCCTGGACTTAAACAATGCAGGGGTGCTCAGGTCCAAGTATTTCTGAATGGCAACCATGCTGTCCAAGTCTTGGCAGAGGTGTTTTGGGGCAGTTTTTCGGCCAGGAAGTTGTAGACGAGCACAGGACCCTACTGTAATCCTCAACTCGTGACGGGAACAGAGGCAAACATTCAGACAGCTGATCTCAAGTTGGCCATGGTTCTTCCAAACGAACTCTCGCTCCCCTGTGTCATCTCCTTCAGCCTGGAGGCACCTTGGGCACACAGCACAAGACTTTCCATCTCCTTAACGGTCGCAACTTGTCCCACATGCAGCCGTTTGAGGCATCGAAAAACATCTCAAGGTCAACAAATCAAAGCTGAGGGGAAAAGCCAAAAAAGGGCCAATCAAGTCCTAGTTATCATGCCAAAGGTCCCTCATGTCAATGCATAAGCATCAAGGTCGAACATGACAAGCATGCACACTATAGTTTACCTCTATGCACGAGATGTCTTGATTGTTGTATGTGCTAGCCTCTCTGGCTGGAGCACTTCCGTGCAGTATGTGCTACTGCTTCTGGAAATCTTGCGCAGGCACTGCGAGTGGAAAGCTTCTGGGTGGTTTGAAGTCGGCAATTGATTCTATGTGTTCTGACGTTTATCCCAATGCAGCCTGGGTGCCACCAGCCTTGATGTGCTGCATCACGCACACGCTGCCATGCCGCCGGGGGGGCGCTCTCAGTCCAGATGGTGCACTCCTCGACCCCTGAAACCTCAAGCCTCACATAGCCTCACCAAGCTAAGGGCTTCTCTTCGTCCCGCCTTCTATTTCATGTCTCACTTTCTGAGCTCCAGGGTCCAGAGCCCTCAACCTCAAACCACTCGCCCACATGGTCCACTCCTCGATGTCGTCCACATTGCAAGTGAGCTCTTCAAAGACCTTCCTGGGGCCCCAGCAGCGCAGGCTCGAGACTCAATGATACATTGAAGCTATTTGAGGAATGAAACTCGCCATATGGCCAGAAACCATCACGATCTAGATCCCGACTCTCTGAAGAAAGCATTCAGGAGGCTTGGGCATCTCAGAACTACCCGATCCAAGGCTCATGCCAGCTGGAATGAAGCCTTGGATGTCCAGAGAGTCCAGCGCCATATCGCTTTTGAAGCCATTGCCCGTGGTGCCGACAAAGCGAATTGCACTCGTATTTGGCGGAATGCTGACCGAAACCTGATGCCAGGAGTTACCTGCAGACACAGCATGTGATCATTCAATTATAGCGTATCCTGTCGGGCGCATCTGAAAGGTTTCTCGTCTTCTTTCGTCCTCCAAGGCACTTTGATGTCCAGACTTGGCCCAGTTCCTCAGCATCCACTGAAGCGTCTCAAACAAGTTAAGTATTATGTGGTTTTCGCCGAATGACCCAAAAAGCGACATGTTGCATGCTGAATACAACAGCCCCCAGATTTAGGCGACCGTGCCATTTTCCGAACCCGAATCATCCCGAACCGGAAAGCCCAAAAAGCTTGCAAACTTACATCTAATCACGAACAGCCCAGCATCATACTGGCCCAACCACCAGCACTCCTGTACTGCAGGTCCAGTGTCCCCATCGAGGAACCAGACCTTGGGGCTGGACTCCGAGGAGCCCCAAGCTCAAAGTGTGGCAGAAGATGGACTTGAGTAACTGGCAACCTGCAATACTTCATCACGTTGGGTAGGCTAGAGTTTTGGCAGACGCAAAAGCACCACCCCGCCCCCACTTCCCTAGAAGTAGGTCATGGCTCCGAGTCACATGTGGTATGCAAAGCTTACTTCCAGCTGAATGCCGTTCTCCGTGAACTCTGGGCTCTGGAAGAAGAAGGCCTGGATTCTTGGCGTAGCAACAGCCACGCCTCGTACGCACGCTGGAATGACGAACACAAACCATTCACAACTTCACACAGCCCTAGCCACCTTCTTCCAACAGAAAACTCGTGTCGATGGGTGTCTTAAACGGTAACGAAAACATGAGGAGACAGGCACACGGCGCGCATCAGCAAAGAGTTGCACATGAAGCAATTTCGAAGGACCAGGAAGTTGTAGGCGGGATGAGGATGTGATGGCTCAAATCAATGCTGGCAGCTCGCCAGACCATAAAAGGCGGGAGGGGCTGAAAATCAACAGGACTAGTTGAGGTGAAAACCACCTGTCCAAGTGGATATCCCTGAACTGAAGCAGATTCTTGTTTACTCTTCTCATCTCTTTCGGTTTATCGAGCATGGATACTGATCGAATCTTATCATGTATATTCTATATTCTAGCGCTTTGTCGGCAAAACGTACATTTGTTCATTTGGGGGGGGGGGCTTCTCTTTACTTTTCGATACAGGGCTTTGTTGATCATCCCGTGACTTCATCCAGTAGCCTGCCTTGTACGGGTGGTTGCCACCGCTGGCCTCCAGCGTAGGAAGCCCACATGGATCTGACTTGAGACCATCTGCTACAGCATCGGGCAAGAAGCTCGAAATACAAGGTTCCCTGTACGGACTATAACAAGACAATCGAAGACATGCCAAAGGCATAGCTTGCCTACAACCATGTCGAACCGGACAGAACCCAACGGTCCTGGACTGCTGGTCAAAGAAATCCACTGAAAGAGCTCCCAAGTCAACCGATCTAAGCAGTCTGCTGGTGCAGGTCTTCATGCCGCTTGCCCAAGGCTCAACAGCCTCCAAGTAGATGTACCAGTCGCCTTCGAAAGCCATGGATGGCCCAGTGCCAAAAGTTGGGGTTTGACCGGATCTTCTGCGCCAAGCCTGCAGGAATAGGGAGGACAGCAGCTTTACCCGGCGAGACGCTGCAACACTATGAGTCATTGATTGAATGGCAAACCTCCTCAACATAAACATCGCCACCATTAACGCCGCTAAGTCTGACAGCATGACCCGCGGAACGCGCATCAACAAATTTCTAAAATATAGCCAAAAGATGCCAAAAGTGTTGTGGCTCAACCTGGCGGTGGCTGCGGACAACTCCAAAAACGTGCACAGGAGCCGTAATCCTGCACAGACATGTTCGGGCGACAAAGGACAAGATCCTCCGCTTCTACACCGAGTGCAGAGGCAATGGGCCCCGCGCACGCTGTCCAAATCCGCGGCGGGGGTCCAAGGAAGCAGGAATACGCCGTTTGCACGCGCAACCAACACGTGAGGGCGTCAAGCCGCGAGGGCGTCGGCAACGGTCCCATGTAAAACTTGGGGGGTGCAACGCTCCAACGAGAGCTCCTGCAAAGGACACTTGCTCCCACTACGGTCGATCACCACGCCGGGCAGGGCACGGTAACCAAGGCACCTCAGCACAGAGCACTGGCATCACCAGCGCAAGCTCTCCAACAAGTCAACCCTCAAGAGTATGCTAAGAAATGCTGCAGATGACTTGCAGTGAGCGCCCTTCACTTCATGTGACGACGGCGCACAATTGGCTGCGACAGAAACGGAAGACAACGCATGGCACGGCGACACCGCGTTGGCCACCCCAACGAAGGGCGCGCTGGGCGGCCTGGAGTCTCACGAGGTTTGTAGGCGGCATCGGGCTGCTCCTGCCCCGTACGCTGTACGGGGCAGGAGGTCCGGCCAGTGCTGCTGGTTCAGGACGCTCTGCGGCAAAACAGAAATCAGGAGCGATGTCTGCGTTGCGCCAAACTAAATAGAGATGGTGGGGCCAGAGGATTGCGCAGCATACTCCCATTTCGACTCAGGAGACATGGATGCACCAAACAAAGCTGGGAAAAGTTGACCACAACCGAGCGCGCAGACCCGAAGCGTCATCGAAAGAAAAGATCCCGCAACAGGACCGAATTGGGCAGGTAGCGGGCAGCCGAAAGGAGAGGTGCCATCAAACCCTGTAGAGAATGGTTCAAGCCTGCAGGGAGCTGCAACGAAGCACACTTCCGCAAAGGAAGAGGGGAAAGCTCGGCAGGCGACAGGCCCCAACGAGAAAAAAAAAACAGAGGGCAGTTCTCAACCCGAAGCGGAGCTGCGACTGGTGTAGCAAGAGCAGATCCCAATGTCAGGAAGGGACAGTCAACGGAGCCGGGCATAGAGACTTGCAGCCAGGAAGGAAACTGGCAGAGTCAGAGCAACGACATCAGGATCTGAAGGAAGGGCATAGCATCACTCCATCGCGAGCACCTGACCCGTGTCCAGCTGCCCTGTCACACTGTCCTCGCCATCGTCGCCCAGAGGCATTGGTTTGGCGGCTTCGGCGGTTGCGGTGGCCCGGGGTTGGCAGCAGCACGGCAACTGGAGCCACCAAATGGCTGCAGTCTCCTCTGCTCCAATTTCTGCTGCAAGGCAGAGTTTCCGGAATTGTCTTGGCTGGCTATATGGTTGTGTGACGGAGTTCCCAGGGGCATCTGGGGGCGCAAAGCCTCGTTGTGTGTTGCACGCCGTCATTGCGAGTGGTCTGACCCTGTTTCGAGCTGCGGCATAAGCCTCCTGCTGCAGAATGAGGGGCTCCTGGGTCTCCTGTGTTTCTTCCTCTCCTTCAAGTATGCAGTCCGCATCTCGGTTTCGCACGCGTCCCATCTGTGGTTCTTCTTCTCCTTATCCACCGTGAACTTTTCAACATGAGGTGCGGGCATGGTTGACTGCTGCCTGGACTTCTTTCACCAAATCCCCATCCTTTGATGGCTGCTGAGTTCGGCGTTAAGATAGGAGGCGACGGTATGAGGACCCTGAGCTACCTCCACTCGCCGACGTACAACAAAAGAGGTCCCATCCTTCAAGCACTCGGAACGCAATTCTAAAGGTCTCTTTCCACGCCTTGAGCACTGTTATCTTAGGAGGTTTTTGCTTTGCCGGTGTATGCGATACAAATACTGCGTGGCATTGCGTGTCTCTCTGCGCATCAACTGTCTCGGATGCATGGCCGAATACTTAGCCATCAACTTCTGCACGGTGCAACCACTCTTTGAAAGCACCCCAAAATGCTGCACCACGCCTGATCGCCGTCTGTGCTCCAACCACATAAGGGGTCCGCTTCATTTTCAAAGTTGCACCTTGCGATCAGCTCAGACTTCATCAACTTAGAGGGGAGCCCGGCGTGTTAGGATCGTGGTCAGGCTGCAGCCTTTTGCTAGGGATTGGTTAGTTCATGGACTCTGGTTGCAGGATAGGTCCTTGTACCGTACATGAGAAGTTTAACATGGAGAACCTTTATCTGCCATTGAGGATAGCTCGGCTTACGCGCAGGATGCTGCCCTTTGTCAAGCTGTAACCGGAAGCTGCAAATCCAGGATCCAGCATTTTCAAGGCTGCACAATGCAATTTACCGTGATGTTTCCAGGCGGTGTCTGGCGGTGCTGGTTTCCACAATCAGTAGACATCATATAAATGTATGTGGTACCCCCCCCAAAGATCCACCCTCTTCTCCCTTTTTTCCCTCTGTTGATGTATTGTTGCTGTGTCGTTGATGTGCTACTTTACTTTTTCTATCTTTTAATAGCCAAACACATGAAAATATACACGACGCACATCACCATTACCTTTATTTACTTGACCGAGGCCCTGCGAAATTAAGCCGCATTTAAAAATTGAGCTAAATGCGGACATGACCCTGTGAATTTAAAACTGCATTTTGAAAATTAAGTTAAATGCAGACCACCCCCGGGAGCCAAGAACCAAGAAACAAGATGCTCAGGACTCTTGATTCTGGAATCTTGGTTCCTGGGGCTGGGCTGCATTTAAAACTGCATTTGAAAATTTAAGTTAAATGCAGACCAGCCCCAGGAACCAAGAACCAAGAACCAAGATGCCCAGGACTCTTGATTCTTGGTTCTTGGTTCCCGGGGATGGTCTGCATTTAACTCAAATTTTTTAAATGCAGTTTTAAATGCAGCCCCAGGAACCAAGATTCCAGAATCAAGAGTCCTGAGCATCTTGGTTCTTGGTTCTTGGTTCCCGGGGGTGGTCGGCATTTAACTTAAACTTTTTAATGGCTCAGGACTCTTGATTCTTGGTTCTTGGTTCCTGGGGGTGGTCTGCGTTTAACTTATATTTGTAAATGCAGTTTTTAATGCAGCCCAGCCCCAGGAACCAAGATTCCAGAATCAAGCGCCCTGAGCATCTTGGTTCTTGTTTCTTGGTTCCCGGGGGTGGTCTGCATTTAACTTAAATTTTTAAATGCAGTTCTACATGCAGCCAAACCCCAGGAACCAAAAACCAAGAATCAAGAGTCCTGAGCATCTTGGTTCTTGGTTCTTGCTTCCTGGGGTCTGCCTGCATTTAACTTGAATATTTACAATGCAAGTTTAAATGCAGGAAAACCCTAAGCCCACCATCTTCAACACTCCGTACTAAAATCTGGGAGTCACGGGCCGTGAAAACTTACACGAAACCGTTTAAAATTGCACCGTCGGATTTTGGAGAGTCAGGATTCCAAGATGCCTCGACAAGAGTCCTGGAAACTCTTGGATCTTGGATCTTGGATTCCGGCCGTGAAAATTTACTCGCTTTCCGTGTGAATTTAACGGCCTGCTTTGGTAATCCGAAATTATACTGGAAATCCCATGTGACCTCCGGGTTTAAGGTTTAGGCATTCAAAATATGCATGAGTTGGTAATTAAAATGGGTTGGACAGAGTTTTGTCGCACAATTTATTGCTTATGAGCTATAAACAGGGGGGAGGTACCAGGGGTCTTCCACACAGCCAGGACCTTTGAACACCCCGCCACCCTGCCCTTCCCTCCGCTCCACTGCGGGCTTATTCTCTAAAACCCTATCGGTTAAGGGTTTAGGGTTTTAAAGAGAAGCCCCGAAACTCTTTCTTGTTGAGCAACTAAACCCAGACCCTTAACTTTTGAACCCTGTATGGTTAAGGGTTGAAGGTTTGGGGTTTTCAGATTTAGGTATGTAAACATAAGTCGGCAATTAAACCTAGACCCTTAACCTTTGAACCCTATAGGTTTAACGTTGAAAAGGTTTAGGGGTTAAGATTTAGGCATTTTAAACTAAGCCCATAGAGATCAAACCTTAGGTGTTTAAGGTTTAGCCATTCAAACCGTAACCCTAAACCCTTTCGGGTTAGAACCCTAAACCCCTTTAGGGTCCAAAAAGATCAAAGGTTTTAACCCTACAGGCGCTGAAGGCATACATTTAGGTTTGCAAACCAGTAAACCCTATAAGGTTTAAAGGTTTAGGGATTTTTTCAGGGTTTATTTCTAAAACCTTCTCCCTATAGCGCTTAAACTTTGCAGGGTTTACAGGTTTCGGGTTTAAGGTTTAGGCAGTGCCAGTAGGAGTAGAACCTTTTTTCGCTGAAGGGCTTGAGGCTTAATTCCTAAACCTTAACTCCCGTAGGGTTATGCCTATGTTTGCAGGGCTTGCCTCCTGTGAAAACGCAAAGAGAAAGTAGAACAAGTACCCACATCATGTATGTATAGGGTATATGTATTGTATCAAATACTAATAGTGGAGAAGGAAGGATGGTAAGCCTCGAAACATAAGACTACGGCAGTATTCGAGCACATAGGGTGATGCGAAACAATCCTTTTCTGTAAGGAGTAAGCCAGAAGTGTAGGGGGGGTTTCGAGTTCGAGGGGTACGCCAGAAGTTTTTGTTTGGATACTTTACGGTAACATTGTTTTGGGGTGCTTCAGGTGGTTGTACGCCGCGTAAGAAGAAATGACAGGAATGATCTCATATAGCATGCTACGGGAACTGTGCTGTTTTTCTTTATATGGCGAAAGCTTAGGGCGGTTTTGAGTACAAGGGGTACGTAAGCCAGAAGGCTATGTTTAGATACTTTACGGATAACATATTTTGCTTTTCGGAATGTTTCAGGCGGTTGCACGCCTCGTAAGGAGAAACGATATAGCATGCTACGGGAACTGTGCTGTCTATTGCAAGTCTCTAAATCGGTGGATCTTTGAGGGGGGGGGGTAGCATATATACATATATATATATATATATGGTACCCCCCCCCCCCCAGTGACCTACCCTTTTTCGCCTTGTCTCAAGTCACCCAGCTGCACTGCAAGCAAACTCGGTGTGCAATATAGCGTATTTCCTAGGGCGTAGACTAAAATACAACTAAATTCGCATACACGGGACAGTAGAAAAACCAAAAAACCAAAACCAAAAAACCAAAAAAAAACAAAACCAAAAAAACCAAAAAAACCAAAACCAAAAAAACCAAAAAACCAAAACCAAAAAAACAAAAAAAAACCAATTTCCGGAACTCTCAGGCATCTTTATGAGGCTTCTCCAAGAGTCCCGGAAAATTGTTTTTTTTTGGTATTTTTGGTTTTTTTTGTTTTGGTTTGTTTTGTTTTTTTTTGGTTTTTTTTGGTTTTGGTATTTTTGGTTTTTGGTTTTGGTATTTTGGCTTTTTGGTTCGCCTTCACGGTCACGAGGCAACAACTACGCATCTTTTAGTGTGCTTATGCTAATTGTGCTTTTCAGAAATAGTATACAAGTGGTCTTTCTAGTGCTTCAGAACTATTTGTTTCGTTATTATGTAAGTAGAGCCGCTAGTGTTTAGTGCATCTTTTGGTTGTACTCAAGTGTAGTAGACCTTATTCAGCCATTACTTGGTGCTCTGGTAGCTCAATTCGCATGAATAATATTTGCCTGGCAAAAGCGATTAATTGTCTAGAAGCAGCATTTGCAATACTTGTCTTGAGAAAAAGCATTTATTGCTTAGAATTGTTTGCTTAAAAAGTGACTCCTACTCGTCCAGGGATACCCCAAAACCCTATAATCCAAACTTCGCCAGAGATTCTCATGAAAAGCTTGCACTTTTGGATGCTTTTATGTATTTGTGAATTTGCTCTTCACTAAGTACTTTTCTAGGGTTTTTGTGCATTTTTAAGCCTGATTGTGCAAGTTGCGTTTTTCAAGCATAGTATATATGTGGTCTTTATTGAATACTTCAGACATCTTTGTTTCATCGTTATGTAAGTAGAACCGCGTCTATTTCCATTATTGTGCATTTTTAAGCTTGCTTATGCAAATTGTGCTTTTCAGACATAATATATAAGTGGTCTTTATTGAATACTTCAGCAATCTTTGTTTCATTGTTATGTAGGTAGAACCGCTTCCATTTCCGTTAGTGTTTATTTCGTATTTGGTTGAATATGGCCCTTTAAATAGTATTCACTTGAGTCAAATTGGGCTATTTGCTTAAGAATTCCTCTAGTAGTTAAATTCGCATAGAATGAATACTTCAAAAATATAAAATGTTTCATGAATATGTAAACATAAGGTATTTCATTTGACTTTGCAGATAGTATTTCAATAATACTTTGCCTGGTGTAAACACAACCGTTTCAATGCATTAGTTGCTCAACAAAGCAGTATTTGCCCTTTAAACCACACTTTGCCATATTTTGGTTGAATATGGTGCTTCTTTCGTATTTTGGTTGAGTATGGTCCTGTAAATGGTATTCACTTGAATCAAATTGGGCTATTTGCTTAATAATTACTCTAGTAGCTAAATTCGCCTAAAATGATTATTTCAAAAATAAAACGATTCATGAATATGTAAACATAAGGTATTTCAGTGGACTTTTCAGAGAGCATACTTTGCCTAGTACAAACACAATTGTATGAATACAGTAGTTGCTCAACAAAGCACCATTTGCACTTCAAACGCACACTTTGCCATATTTTGGTTGAGAATGGTGTCTATTTCGTATCTTGGTTGAGTATGCTCCTTTAAATAGAATTCACTTGAGTCAAATTGGGCTCTTTGCTTAATAATTACTCTAGTAGTTAAATTCGCATAGAATCAAGAAAAATGTTTCACTATTTGATTAATACTTTGCCTCGTACAAACACAATTGTATAAATAAACTAGTTGCTCAACAAAACATTAGTTGCCCTTTAAACGCACAATTTGCATAGAAAAAAACACAGATCTAATCATCTAAAACCAGCATTGTCCGCTTCAGATTCAAAATGTAGATTATTCCAATGCTGGCTTATCGGGGTCTGTGAGGTGGGTGTCCCAGTAACGGCGATTAACTACCGACTTTTGGGCCTTCTTCGTTATTTTTTGTTAAAAAGGACTAAAAAGGCTTAAAAAGGGTAGGTCGCTGGGGGGGGGGGTTGCATATATATATATATATATATTATATCCTGACGCGCGACATGCCATAGCCCCACTTTGAAGTTTGCAGGCCTTGATTCCTCGAAACCAAAACCGTGAATCGCGTCAGATTGCGAATCCTACGAACAATTGTGTGAGGAATCAAGCCGGACCTCACTGCCAAGCTGGCTTCAGATGTAGCGAACACGCCATGTGCCTGAGCAACGCGTGGTCGTGGCTTACATTTCGAGTTGCCGGGACCCCTGAATGCAAAATTACTACGCTTTTTGCGGGGGACATCTACTATGGCCAGAACTTGCAAGTCGAGTTGCGGCTCTCACAAGCAGCAGCAGGTACGCGAGATCCATCCAAATTCCTTCGGAATTTGGATCTCAATGCTCCACTTAAGGCTCCTTCCTTTGGAAGCGCTTAAAGTTCCTTTGGAAGCAATGGAGCAGATCCATAAACGAATTATGAGGCCACTGTGTCCCGAGCCGACATCGATAAAGCAAGACCTCGCTCACGTTGAACTCCTTCCAGTACTCATCCATTCAGTTCCGTTTTCAACCACATCTTTGCAAACGTATGACCATACATGTCCAACACGGCAAGATTCTATTCTATTCTATCGTTTTACTTTGAATCATGTTTAACGCGACCATTTTGCGAAGCCTTTTCTAAACCCACGTCATCGTGTGATGCTTCTGTTGCACACCTCCCGTCGAGGCACACAAATCAAACAGACAAGGACGCTTTTTCGACTTGAAACGCACTTGCTTATGCACTTGAATATGCTTTGTGGAATCTGGGATTTGTTGGCCATGGATCTCGCCCCCCGACCCCCCCCGCCCCTTCACACGAAGACTGAGGCGCACAGAAGCCGAATGGATCCCACACGTGCACTAGTGTAGTGTGGTCATCAGGGTTTAGGGCTTAGGGTTACCCCTAAACGAATTTGTGGAGGATTTCGAGGGAGTGATGTTTCGAGGTTTTTTGGACTCGTGGCGCTCCAAAAGAACAGAAGGAGTTACCCCCCGTCATCCTGACATCGCAAGTCGACCGAGCTTTCTACCTCCCCAAACCCTAAACCCAAAACACTAAACCCTAAATCCTAAGCCAAAACCCTAAACTCCCTAAACCCTACCTCCCCCTTGAGCGTCTCAGACCCCGCTGCTCCACAGTTTCTGTGCCGGCTCTTAATTAGAAGAAAGTCTTGCCGCCTTGCCACTTCATCGCACACGAAATAAACACACAGACTCAATTCGCCAAAGGTTTGCTGCAAACAGGTCTTCCATGGCCTCGAGAGCGCGCTAAATTGCACGAACCTCGTAGCAGTGTTCCAAACAGCTGGGGACCGGCAAAAAGGCTCAAAAGCTAACTAACTTCATTGAGACTTTCAGCAGCCACATGAAGAAAAAAACACAAAGCCGAAATCAACAACGCAAAGCCAAAACCTTCGCAAAAACTTTGAGGGTCGAAATGCAAACCGCGGTGTTGCGCATGCCCTCTTATGCCGGCCAGACACAGCAATGATGTGTCAAGACTGTTTCGGAAGGAGGGTGGCACGCCCTGTGGCCTTCCAGAATCACCGTGTGTTTAGCCATGTTATGTACTTTTTACTAGATAATTTCTAATCTCCAAGGAAGCCAGTGTCGAAAGAAAAGTATATACAATCCTTGGTGAGACACATGCTCAGACACCCTTACAGTTCTCTATCCCAATAAGAACTTTTCATCATGTGTCATGATACCCACATAGAATCCATGTGGCATCCTCAGATCATCTGTAGAGGGCTTCTATGACCCTGGGCTGAAGTCAGAGCATGTTACCCAGTAGATGCCCTGTTGCCCTACCATGTCCTCGGTCCCCTCCCCCTAAATTTCCTTTTTTTTGCATGTTTTTCGGCTGTTTTTTCGGCTCCATGGTGGAAATCTTTTAGGCGCGTGTGAGCTTCAAGTGTGTGCCGACGCTGTGACTCAGGCTTTGGAGGTGAAGACAAAGGCTTCCTCAGACCCTTCGGGGCTTAGCAGGCCACATCGCTAATTGGGTTTAGGGTTTAGGGTCTAGGGTCTAGGGTCTAGGGTTTAGGGTTTAGGGTTTTGGGTTTAGGGTTTAGGGTTTAGGGGTTAGGGTTTAGGGGTTTAGGGTTTAGGGCTTAGGGCTCAGGGCTCAGGGCTTTGGGCTTTGGGCTGAGGGCTAAGGGCTGAGGGCTTAGGGCTTAGGGTTTAGGGTTTACGGTTTAGGGTGTAGGGTTGAGGGTTCAGGGTTAACCCTAAACCCTAAACCCTAAACCCTAAACCCTAAACCCTAAACCCTAAACCCTAAACCCTAAATTGCTGCCTTCTTTCCCTGCTGGCGACTGCACCGCCGGAGTATCGCAGGGATCTCTTTTCAACAGGAGCCTGTGCTCCCCTGATCCGCAACTACTTCAGCCAAACCGGCACGCGGTACTCGCTGCTGCACCGCGGCTCCTCCGTTGGGGAGGCTTCCGCGTGCTTGAAGGCACTGTGAAAGACCGTTCGGATGCGGTCGTAAGGAGCCTCGACGCCACGCTCGTACTGGAACTGCTTCATGACCAGGACCTCATCCTTGGTCACGTCGGGGTAGTAATACCTCGACCAGGGCGCCGAGCCGAGAACCCTAAACCCTGAACCCCAGAACTTGGAACCCCACGACCATCGTTCCTTTGGGCCCCTTTTCGGCAAAGGCGCCACTTGTGGTCGGCACTGAACTTGATACAGGTGCTGACCTGGCCACCAGCGACGAAGCCGTAGGTCTCCTGTGAGAGGACCTCCTCCACCTCCAGGGGCTACAGAGAGCTACAGTGAGGGGGTTTAGGGTTTAGGGTTTAGGGTTTAGGGTTTAGGGTTACAGAGAGAAGGTAGCGGAAGTAGGACACCGCATCCCAATCACCATCTCACCAACTCCCGCGCCCTTAAGAGCAGCTCTCTTGAACCCTGAACCCTAAACCTTGAACCCTGCAGAACCATCCCTGACCATTCCCTACATATTGAAAGACATCCCCTAGGGATGGTTGGATGTCGATCGTTCCCTACAGCACTAACCAGCGGTGGAAGGTTTAGGGTTTGGGGTACTTACCAACCAGTTGTATAAGGTTTAGGGATGCTCAGGTTGAGCCTTCACGGTGTTGGGGTCGCACAGCGCCAAGGGGAAGGACTTCACCTCAGCCGTGCCGCAAGGCAACACCAAGCTCACTTAAGGTCCCATGGGGCTAAGCGTTTACATGGTTTAGGGTTTAGGGTTTAGGGTTTAGGGTTTAGGGTTTGGGGCATCTGAAGTTTTACGGCACAACGCCGTAACACCAGTTTTCCAGGGCTCTTGGGGTGCCAAGTTGCCGGACCCTTCATGGGCAAAACGGGCCGCCAGAAGTTCAGCACCATGTAACCCGCTGTGCTGGGGTCCTTCAACCTGCAACGAGAACAGCCCAGGCCCCAGGGCTCAGGCCTGTGGGATCAGGCCGAGCATGCAGAGCATCCAGGGAAACTACACGGTTTCCCGGTGGGAGCTTCAGAACTTGCTCGGGTTCAGGGCTAGCTGACAACTGATCCTCAGGCTTAGGGTTCAGGATGGTTGTGGGTGTGGGGCCAGCAAACCCAGCTCCTACGATGGAGGCTCGGGGTTACTACCCACCCCCACTCCCCCTCCCCCGCCTCTCCATGAACTGCTCGAAGCTACCGAGGCGTTTGTCGTAGGTGTTGTCGAGGTCTGCGGGATAGAGGCCGTAGTCTTGGTGGATGCCCAAGCCGTAGCTTGTGTTGGGGCCACCCGGGCCGCGCCTCCCAAGAAGCTTCGGGGAAGAAAGAGGGGGGGCTTAGGGTTTAGGGTTTAGGGTTTTGGGGCTCTGTCCTCAGCGCGCCGAAAGGCCAGCTGATGTCCGCCACGTTGGGGAGGAGCTCCCTTACCTCATGTTGCCATGGACTGAACGAACCCTGAACACTGAACCATTCCTGGCCATTCCCAGCAAGGTCCCTTCGGGAAACCGCAAAAATTGCACGGGCGCGAGGCGTCTGGTAGGATTCGAGGGTTGAAACGTGACGTGCTTAATCCCTATGTGTGGCGAGTTTGTCTACTCACGTAGCCAACTCTCTAAGGAACACCACCCGGAACCCTCAGCCTAAAAACCTTCTACTTACAACTTCTACGCCCTGAAATGTAACTGTGAACTAACCTGAAAAACAAGACCACAAAACCCGGGGAGCGCAAACTCTGAATTTACACTCGTAAACCCGCCGAAGCCTGCGGGGTCTGCTGGTCGTTCATCCACAGTCCACTTGAGGATGTGTTGAGGGAAGACATATAAGGGTCTAGAATTTAAGTTCGGGCGTAGGCTTTGGCGTTGAGGGCCCTGGGTTTGGGGAAAGTGCATGTGCAGCGTGTTTCACGAGCAATGATTGGGCATTCCAATTCCCCCACCCTCGCCACTAAAGCACGTGAAACAACCAGGCGCCTTGCACACGTGCTACCAACAAAAAGAAGCGGCTCACTCCCTCCCTTCCTACGGAGCAACGATGAGTTACCAGGGGCTCCAGTTCCTTGGTATAGATCTCACGGACGGGCGAGGCTTCTCCGGGCTCCGGCTTCCTCTCCACGCCAGCCACGCTGCTGTGCTTCAACCAATCCTCGGCCGCCATCTTCGTGGGGTGCTCGAAGAGTACGAAGCCGTACTTGTCGAAGAAGTCGCGCTTGCTGAGCCCCTCCTCCACCTGCTTCTTCCGGGCATCCTCCACCTTAACAGGAACTCTCGACTTTGCCTTGCTCATGGTCCGCAGGGTGCGGAGGCAGGATGGAGAGCAGGGCGGCAGACAGAAATATTTCAGCACGGGAAGGTAGCCACCAATGCAGCAGCTGAAGTCCGCGTACATCTTCTCCCCGGGCTTCACCTGCAGGGTCCGGATGCGAGAAAACGGAGAGCCTAAGATGGCCACTTCTTCCTTGGTTTTTGCTACGATTTCCCGGTGAACCCAAACAACCACACTGTGCCGAGTCCCACTTCCACTTCTGGTCGGTAGTAGCCGTTCATTATCGCTTCGGTCGCCATCTTCCAGAACTCAGCGCAAAGGAGCCACGATTCCACGGCTGCTCCCTGAAAGCCCAAATGCCGCTCAATGGACGAGGAGGATCAACCTCTCACCCTGAAACCTAAACTCTAAATCTTAAACCCTGAATTTGGCCGGAGCCCTATTAAAACGCTACACCCTCGACCCTAAACCCTCAACCTTGAACTCCAAACTTTAAACTCTGAACCATGAACCCTTAACGCTAGACCCTAAATCCTGACGATCTTTGCAAGGACACTTGCTCAAACGGCACCAGGACGTGTGTCCTTGGAACTCTTTCTTGTTTTCTAAGAGATGCTCTAAGCCATCAAACCTCAGTAGAATTCTGACGACGGCAGTGACTAAGTCTCGCCGGCCTGGAATCTCAGAGACACGAAACACTTCGCCAGCAGCACCCGTGTGCATGCCCATACAATATCGAAAAATTGGCAGCGCGGGCTCGGATATATCCAGAATATGATAGCCATTGAGCAGCAAGCCCGCAGCAGACAGCTGAGCGCTGGCATCTGCGCGGCGTTTCAAGCGAGAGCTTCCTAGCAATTCAGGCAAGGTGCCTTGGAGCTGCAACTTCTTGGCGTTGTTGAACTCGTAATGCTGCTTCCATCGGAACTCGCGAAGAGCAAACACAACATGCAAGAGTGCCTGTGGATCTGGCTTACTGATCAAGGGGTCCAACTTGGCTGCAATGTCCACGTCCTCCTTATCGCCACTTTTGCGCAGTTTGAGGGCAAGCTCGAAGGCGAAGTGTGCCAATGTCATTGTCATTTCCTCCGCTAGCCCCGGTGGCAAGTCTGCTTCGTCCAGGGCTCGGAGTAAAGGAACAGTCAGAGATGTTGCGAGCATTTGGTTGCATGCGTCCCATGGAAAAAAGTGTTTAGAAACCCGCTGATGCAGCAACTTCATCTTGTGCATGGTCTCATTTGCCAGTTTGCCCTGTAGTAGCGACACGCTGGGATCAATCTCGACCCACGCAGCCACGAGCGCAGCCACGGTCCAACTTTCTCTGCGAACGCCAAGGGTGATGTGGAGTGACGACAGGTTGTGAAGGCTTTCGGCAAAGTGATGAAGGCCAGCGGGCATGTACAATACGTCTCCAGGGCTTAGAATAAAGCTTTGATGTGTACTTAGCGCCTCTCCTTCCAGTATATGCCAGAGCTTCTTTCCCTCTACTTGCATCACAAAGACATCGTGAGGGTCAGAATGGATGTTCAAACCCTGAGCAGCCGGAGCGCTCAAGTACGCATTGATTTGCGTGTCCAAGCATAAAGCAGCCCACAGTGAATGGTGAAGGGCTCGTAGCCAATCATTGCCTGCTTGGACACCGTTCAAGATGAATGTCCAGGCATCGCCACGCTCTGCAAGTTCACGATCGCAGCTCAGATTTCGCTGGCTCAACATTGCACAAACACCTGCGCAGTCCAACCAATCCTTGATGGTCCAGCCGTCAGCCCGACTCATTGATGCCGACTTGACTCCAGCATCGCTGTTCTCCCTGGGCACCGTAGCCGAATCGAAATTCGGGACGCGAGCTAAACGCACGCATGAAACGAACTCCATCTCGCATATACCTCCATGGCAGTTCTGCGAGTGATGTACGTTACTGCTATTACGTCCATCTGGACGAGCCGGCAGGTTGCCTTCCCTTAGGTCATTCAACAGCCCCAAGGATTCGTTGATGCTGAAGCGAACCCTCGCAGAACCGCGATGAAGCGTCCACTGACGTCCAAAGTAACTGTCCCTGAAGCTTGGGTCGTTTTTCCCTGTGAGCCAGGGAAGCACACCGATCTGCTTCCATGGGCTTGTGTCGCACTGCAACTTTGCAGCTCTAGGCACACGTCTCGGAGGGTGCACAAGTCTCCCAGCACAGAACCCTTCCTTCCAAGCAAGCGTGGCAAGTCTGCAGGGTTGCTTGCCTGGCTCATGCGCAACAGGCAAAGGAGCCCATCGCACGAGCACGCAGAACAGTAGAAACACACCAGCTGGCCGCCGAGTGCAGTGTCGCACAGCTTGCATCTGAAACAGAGTGAGCCAAAATGGCTACGCTGAGACACCTGCCACTTCAGATGCCCTCCAAACCGTCCCACTTTCGCACTTAAGCCCTATCACAACCGTTGAGAACATGCTGAACTTCCTGAAATTCGAATATTCGCACATATGGCTCTTCATAAGCTGCAAGAACCAGCTGACCGGGTCCGACACAACGTGCCTCTGTTCGGATGCACACGCCGTCATTGCCACTATGATCACCGCCTCCGCCTTCACAGCGATCTTCCTGGACCTGCTCACTGACCCACAAATCCATGAGACAGGGCATCTTCAGACATGAAGTGAACTGCGAGACGAATCTCTGGCGCCAGTCACATCATCAACATCTTAAACAGGCCGTGCGCTCATGGTGCTGGGGAACGTTATGAGCCAACTTCTGACTGGTTCAAGACCTTATCAATGACACGGGTACCAAGGAACATGCTGCCAAGATGCTCGCGGATGAAGAATGCCCATGTGCATACACACATGTACATACTGTGATTTGCATTTACATCTGCCGCCGGGAAGGTGACGCTGGTACGAAGATGGAAGCGAAGCCTAGTCCCTCCAAACCCTTAACCCCAAACTGGCCGCAGCTGGAAAGCATGCCAAGAACACAACCGTTGGCAATGTCATCCTCTGAGAGAGCAGCTGCTCCGGTCGACATGGCCGGAGGCATGGCGCTCTATTAAAAGTAGTAGGGTAAACCCGACACCCTAAACCTTATAAGGGGGAACATCCCAAGACCTGGTTCAGCTTGTGGTCCACCGAGGAGGAAATCCAGATCAACAATAAGTCAGGAAGAAGATCGCTCAGAAAGCATCGCCGATACGGTTACGAATTCTTCCGGTCCCCATAGAAGACATATCTATTCACAACGACTTGCGTGAATAAAACTTCTTCGCTTCGAATACCCTTGCCGACTCTTGTCTTTAAACTATCACTGTTGCCGCCAATACAAAGAACTGGTTCATGATTTGATCGCCCTCTACAACATTCTCATGGCCATTACGACCAGTACAAGAACTACTGCACAGTGGAAGTAGCAGGGTGTGTTTCAGCATGACATCTTCAAACATGCTCTGATCCCACTGGGCTTTGGTGTGCCGGAAAAAGCTCTTCAGCGAGGTCTCACACGACAACAAAATGGAATGTTGTTGGCCGAAGGTACAAGCTGTTAGAGTAGATTTGCCCGCCAGATCAAGGATGACCGTCAGTATGGCTTCGCATATAACACATATGTTTTGCATTTTTGTAAGACAAAATAAAATACCATTGAAACAAAGCTCGAAAGAGCCTACTGGCAAGGCCTTAGTAATTCGGAGACGGCTTGGGCGTTTTGGGGGGTTTTCTGGGTAGGTCTCTCAACTAAGGTCCTTGTCTCGGTCCACAAAGCAGTACGGCACCCTTATACAGAGCATTCTAAAAGGGACCCTACTTTAAAGAGCTACCCATATACTCATATAATTAAGTGCGATAAGGGGGCATTGGCACTATCCTCCAAATGACACACCCACACTTTCAGATGCTTGAAACGCCGCTACCGGCTTCCTTCCGTAACATCAAACGCGGAACGTATGCGACAGCTCAACACGAATGCCACTGACTTGGCTACTTCATTTGCTTCAGTGGTAGACCTACAATCAAGTCAGGAGTACGTGTGTAATGAAACCGATGTAAGCAGCAACAGGCGGCCTTGTCTTACGAAGGTCCATCAAAGGGGCGCTTGACTTGGATAAACTGCTGTATCGCCAAATCATCAGATGCTTCAGGAATTTGCGAACACCTGCATAATGACGATGAGCCATCTCAGCATGAAAGCATCATCAGACAACGTGCGAAAGGTGTGTGTGAAAGTTCTACACAAACACTTGGCCGACCCACCCGGAGACCCTGCAAAAACTCCTCGACTACGAACAGAAAGGCTTAGGGTTTAGGGTGCTAGCCTTAGTACCCCAGATCTCAAGCACGTCGAAACCTGATTCTCCCGCTGAATCAAAACTCGAGTCCCTGTTGGGCTGCAGCTAGCTGGTAGGTGCAGGTACTTTTTTTCGCTCTGCTCATGAGCGCATGTGTACAGAGACATGGTAGTTCTATGCGCGCCTCGCACCGACACAGGCGGGGCTTCACCTGAGTTGGCGGCGCCTCCCATACACATTTGAGCGGTCTGCAGAGTGAGCCGCGACAAGAATCAAGGCAGCAACGAAGCCTGCAACGTTTCTGCAGACATAGTAGCTTCCGTAAAGAGATGTCCTCGACGGAAAGGAAAGGCGAGCTTATGCAGAGGAGTGGAGGCAACCTGCATCACCCCGCACTTTCTGAGCCATAGTTCACCCACCCTTGTGAAGATGCACTACGAAGTGTCTGAGTGCATCATGGGACGTGCTCTCAGATTCAGATGAGACTGACGACAGCCCGCTTGTTTCATCTGAAGCACGGCACCCTTCGAATACAGCAAGCGGCTTCTGCATGTCCCCTCAGCCATGGAAAACGTATCTGAGACACTTGCAATGGGCATCACCATGTCCACATCCCTAAGCCCCACCTTCTTCGAAACCCCGAAGCGCAGACCGACCCCCCCGAAGACTAAGAGAAGTCCAGGAAACGCTTCCTGTGACGAGTTCCAGGGTTCCCGACAAGGGCTCCTTAAGGGCTGCGGGTTTTGGGGGTTGCTTGCAAGGTCTTTATAGGGCTTCTACAAGGGCTGTTATGATGAAAGAAAAGTGACGGAGGCTCTTCTGACCCGCCAAGGGACGCTGAAGTTTGCCCGAGGACCGTCCAAGCTCCGTCGCTCAGAAAACGGCCTTCAGCTTCGGGAATATATCCCCGAAACGCAATGGGCTCTGAGGGCTTAGCTTAGGGCCTTAGGGCTCAGGGTCTAGCACTTTAGGGCTGAGCTTCTGTCGAAGTTGTGCTACCTGTCTCGTGGCATGGGCATTGCAGCATTCAAGAC